GAAATTAAATGCATTGATCAAGCGGTCAAATATTCCGTGCCTCCTTTTCGTTTGTATAATTCATGTGATATAATGAAATTAGGTGGGCTATTTAAAATTTTCAAGTTAAATTATAAATAAAATAAAATAAATAAAGAGTATCATTTCGAATTAATGTGGATTTAAATTTTTACTATCTTTCTTTCACAAGTTTGGAAGCGTAAGAATAAGATGGTAAACATTAAATTACCAACAAAGAGAACTTCATGTGTCAACGTTTTGTTTGGAATCGAATTCTTTTGAGATTTGGAATTGATAAAGGAAAAGGAATAAGATTGGATTTGAAATGAATTCCATTTGTGTGTTTGGAATTAGCTGAAATTTAATTATAAAGAAAATATTTTTTACCATTTTATCCTTATTAATTTATATTTCAATCTTATGTTTGACTAAAATGAAGGGCAATTTGGTAAAGTTACAACAAACCTACAACTAATCTAATTTACAAATCCTATCAAATTCAACAAATTTTCATGAAATTTGAGGAAGCAAGAGTTTGGAATTTCAAATCCCATGAAATCCAATTCCATTTTAAATTCTTTTGGTTTCTAAACAGTAAACACTAAAAGAATTTCATTTTGAATTCCAAATTCCCAATTCCAACATTGAGTATCCTTGTTTTTATTTTTGTCATTCAATTATCAGTTTGAAGAGTATGAAATTGTATTCCGTAAAGTTTCTTTCATGGTTCATATTTGGCTGCATATTTATATAGGGTTAATTTTACTACACCACTCTAGATTTGGCCAAATATGATAATGAAATCCCTTTTGAAAATTACTATCGCTTAGACTCCAAATGACTTTTTAGTCAATGACACCGTTAAAAATGTACAAAATGACAATTTTACCCCTATTTTTTTTAATACATTTTATTGTAAAATATTTAAAAAACACTGAAAGGACTAAAATGCCCTTACCCACCCTGCCAATTTCACTCTTCCATTATCTCACTACAAACCCTAGTCACCAAAAGCCCAATTCATCATGCTTGTTGTGGTAGAGTACTCGTTGTACAATTACTAATTGCTTCTATTCCCATTTCTTTTGTTTTGTTGATCATGTGTGTTAATGGATACGAATCTTTGTAAATGGTGGATGAAAATGGAAGAGAGAATTACAATTCCTTTCTTAGATATTATATTTGTAATTTTATCCATTCAAATCTTTTTTTTGCACAGCCATTCAATATCATAGTACTAAAAATTAAATGCATTAATCAAGTGGTCATATATTTTATTCTCCTCTCTTTAGTTTAATCCCTTATATCAATAACATTTTAGATTTTTTTTTTTTAAAACATATGGGAATATATTATTTTCTTTCTTTTTGAATTGCCAAAACAAATAATATTATAATAATGGATTATTTTATTTCTTTTTTTTTAATTAGATTTTAACCATATATATATGTGTGCGCGCGCTATATATGAATTCACATTCAATTCCTATGGTCACAATTCATATAGTTTTTTTTTTTTCCTCACTTAATTGATGTACATGTGTGTGTGTGTGTGTATATATATATATAATATGTAATATATATGCAAATAACTACATTCATATACATATAAGTTTTTTTTATTTCTATTTGCTTCTCTCCTCACTTAATTAATGTACATGTGTGTGTATATATGTATATATATCACTTGCTATCAATATATAGCATGTATATATATAGTTAAAATATAATTTAAAAAAAATAAATAAATAATCAATTCTCATACTATTACTCGTTTTGGCAAATCCAAAAGGAAAAAAAATAATATGAATTGTGACTATAGGAATTGAATGTGAATCCATATATAGAATGCACACATAGATATATATATAGTTAAAATATAATTAAAAAAAGAAAAGAAAATATATATATATATTTTTTGACAATCTAGAATTTTATTGATATAAGGGATAAAACTGAGGAAAGGAGAATAAAATGAAAGAGATAAAAAAAAGGTTAAATGTTAATTTTATCTTAAAAAGTTTATATTTTTAATTTTCATAATCAAAACATGATCCTATCTTCCAAGGAAAATTTACATTTTCAGTACTTGTTCAATAACATGATCCTATTTTCCAAGGAAAGTTTATGACACAACCACCAAATTTAAGCTTTGCACTCGGACTTTCTCGATTGCGGGCTGACAAAGAATTAATAATTTGCTCCATTGCACCGCACGATTCCAAATAATTAGGTTTGAGACTTAAAATAGAAAGGACAAGTGTCATTAAAAAAAAAACTTTAGTGATAGCATCTAATTTTATTTTTATCATGCACTTATCAATTCTTTTGTTTGGAATTGAATCCTTTTGAGATTTGGAATTGATAAATAAAAAGGAAAAGGAATAAGATTGGATTTGAAATGAATTCCATTTGTGTGTTTGGAATTAGTTGAAATTTAATTATAAATAAAATATTTTTTACCATTTTATTCTTATTAATTTAAATTTCAATCTTATGTTTGACTAAAAAGAAGTGCAATTTGGTAAAGTTACAACAAACTTACGACTCATCTAATTTACAAATCCTATCAAATTCAACAATTTTTCATGAAATTTGAGGAAGCAAGAGTTTGGAATTTCAAGTCCCATGAAATTCAATTCCATTTTAAGTTATTTTGGTTTCTAAACAGTAAACACAAAAAGAATATCATTTTGAATTCCAAATCCCAACATTGAGTATCCTTGTTTTTATTTTTGTCATTCAATCATCACACTTCGAATGGTATGAAATTGCATTCCGTAAAGTCCCTTTCATTTCATTATATATAGTATGCATACATGAAAATTAGAGAAGTCAAGGAGACGAGTGATAGGGGGTTTGTATGTAGCTTTTGGGGCCATACCTTGGTGGGGTGAGTGTACATGCGTTGATTTAAAGAGCTCACAGTGACCAAATTAAGTTTCTCAATGCAACCCTAGAATTTTTACCGCCAAGTCTTGCAAATTCATCAGTGGAGTTGAGACCGACCTGACTCGCATGAAACGAAGCAATTATTCCCTCTTATTTTTTTACTTATGCTTACTGAATAATACATATATATACACACACACACACACAGTTAGTCCCCACACACTTCCATGAATTAGTGGCAGCAAGCACTGACGCACTGATCACCACATTCCTCTTGTTTGTTTCGTTGTGGGTTTACTTGGGCAGGTCTGTTATTTTTCTCTAACTAGATTTTTGATCCAGGCCGGTTTTGGATTTTTTCTTGTTTAGATTTGATCATTTTCTCTTTAATTGGATTTTGTAAGTAGTTTTGTGTGTCGGAGTGCCTTGTAGTTGTAGTTTTGAAACGATTGTCATGCTGATAGTCAGACCTTTCCATCTCTCTAGTTTACTACTTTATCCCATAATTATTCCGTGTACAGAGTGTTAGACTCTGTTTCCTCTACAAATTTAGAACACGTTCTTTATACCTTTTTTAATTTAATTTTATGTGTCTGTATTATCATCTTGAATTTAGGCCTTTAAGCCTTCGAACGACCAGAACAATTAGACAGACACCAACAATAGGGTCAATGGCTTGTTGGTCCCATGCAATTCTATGCGCTTCCAAATTACGTAGTAATCTGAACGGCATATATGAATATGTCCAAAAGGTCCAATTTTTTTTAACCCATGTGAAATGAAAAGGAGAGATTGGTCATTTTAATTAAAGTAAGCTGTAATTCCGCAGCAGCTTACCATCAGGGCCCACTTATTCAGCCCAACAATATTGACCGAAGAAGAGAAAGTAGGTATGCCATACTCATTTATTTTCTTTTAGCTCTCTAATTAGTTTCTAAGAGAGAAGGTCAAGCTTAAATGACCAATTAAGCATGAGATATTATATGTTTTAGGCTGTTGGAGGCTGGCCAATTTTGACCGTTGCCCATTCAATATTCTGAATTTTTTAATTCCCTCATCTGTTGGGCACATGAATTATTCCGATTCAGATTTCACACTGGCAACCAAATTAAATCCAAAGATTTATATTAATAGTGACAATTTGTGTTCATGGATCATAATCATGTTGCCTTAATATAAGGGTATTTTACTCGATAGATAAATCCAAAACCGACTTATTTAATAATAGTGTTAGGAACCTTCAATACTAAGCCGCCCCATTTATTAAATGAGTTAACGTGTTAACCCATTTAATGATCTATTTATCAAGATGAGAGATTTAATATTCAATCAAATAATAAATACTAGAAAAATTTTGTTACAATTAAGTCAAATATTCAAAATAAGAAGAAGAAACATAAGGAAGAAGAAACATAAGGCGTATTCGAGATTTATGTCGAAATGATTAGCTGTCCATGGTAATTAGGTTTAAACCAGTAACATATTACATAATTCACATTCACGATTATGACAAGTTAAATTAAACGAGTATAAACAGATTACACGGGTTGACGTCCCTTAATCCTAATCCGACACAAGTAAATTGGTTTGTCGTGTCAACCTGTTTATAATCTGAACCCTTCTAAAATTAACACAAATTCATTTATCTTGTATTGGGTTCGAGTCATATTAGCAAGCGAGACGTAATTTGTCATCCTATTAATATGAAACAAATTACATGTGTTTTTTTTTTTTTTTTAATATATATAATATTCAATTATTGCTATATTGTCCTCATCTCGGTACAAATCTACCAATCAAAATTGTCTCTATAGGACATGAAAGTCACGTGGCCCGCCCTAATCACAGGGTATCGACTTGGACTAACAAAGTCACTCGTTTATACTTGAAAATAGAAAGTAGCTTTTTCTTCCTATTCCTCTTCATTAATTATTTATATTATATATATAAACAGACCAAATATTTTCTAATATTTTATAATATCCCATGCTATATTGACTTGACCAAAATTAGAGTCCCATTATTATATAGATTCCCTCGTCTTTCCGTTGTGTTATTGACGAAAATGCCCTCCAACACTTTCTTTATATATAAAGACGATTCATGAGACTGAAATATGAAAAAGCAAGTCTCCTCCTCACAAAGCAAGGGTGTGTGAAAGTGAGAGAGATAGGAGACTTGTGACCTAAAAAAAAAGTAGGACAGTGGCCATGGAAGTACACACTCTGGTGAAGATGTTCAGTTCGGTTGCTTTGGTTGTTCTATTCGGGATTTTCATCCGCCTGTACAATTCGCTGGTGGCGACACCGGGGAGGCTCCGATCAAAGCTGAGGAAGCAGGGGATAGATGGGCCAAAGCAAACCTTTCTACTTGGGAACATCAGGGAGATCATGAAAGCCCGAAATTCCGCCGGAAAGCCTCCGGCAGCAGCCGATGGCCCCCCCACCCACCATGACTGCGCCTCCGCTCTCTTCCCCTTCTTCGAGCAATGGAGGAAGCAATTTGGTACGAATCACAACCTGGGCTTACATTTCTTTTTAAAATAATTTCCTACTATATTGTGTTTTTGACACCCAGAAATTAAGAAGATATTTATTAAATTTGTTTTTTTCTTTTTCCAAATGTTATGTATTTACAGGGCAAGTGTTTATGTTTGCACTTGGTAATACACAAATAATTCATGTGAATGAACCTGACACCGTGAGAGAGATAACCACATGCACATCCTTGGACTTGGGGAAGCCTTCATATCAACACAAGGAGCGCGGTGCTTTGCTTGGCCAAGGGATTCTCACTTCTAATGGAGCTGTTTGGGCTCATCAGAGGAAAATTCTTGCTCCTGAATTATACATGGAGAAAGTTAAGGTATCAATTAATTACTTACCTACCCTCTTCATTACTTACTTTACTTTCTTTGATTTTTGATTTTTGATATATTGATGACCTGCACATTAACATAATGTAGCTCAAAATCAATTAATTCTTGTAGGGGATGATGAACCTAATCACGGAGTCTACAATAACTCTCCTCAACTCATGGAAGGATAAAATTGATGCCGAGGGTGGGATCGCGGAGATCAAAATCGACCAACACATGAGAAGTTTCTCCGGAGATGTAATATCGAGAGCTTGTTTTGGAAGCAACTATTCCAAGGGTGAAGAAATCTTTAAGAGGCTTAGAGCTCTCCAGGAAGCCGCATCCAAGAAGATCTTGTCAACGGGGATTCCCGGCATGAGGTGACAATTTATTCTACTCTAAGAGCTTAAACGGTTAGATAGAATATAATTTTAATATTTAAATCATTCAAAAATAACTTTTAATGTCTTATGTTACAGGCATCTTCCTACTAAGAGCAATAGGGAAGCATGGGCATTAGAAAAGGATGTCCGTACATTGATTCTACAGGTAGTGAAGGAGAGGAAGGAAGTTGGGTATGAAAAGGACTTGTTGCAAATGGTTCTTGAAGGTGCTAAAAACAGTGACTTGAGCCAAGATGCAATTGACAGTTTCATCGTTGATAACTGCAAAAACATCTACTTGGCCGGGTATGAGACCACTGCAGTTTCAGCCACATGGTGCCTCATGCTATTGGCTGCCAATCCAGCATGGCAAGCTCGTGTCCGCCAAGAGGTTCAAGAAGTTTGTGGGGGCAAACTCCCTGATTCTGATATGATCCGTAAGATGAAACAGGTAATTCAAACCTTTGACCTCGAATTTACATGAAAATGACAGATCATTAATTCAGAAGTACTGACTCTAAATTTATCGTCTTGATCAGCTAACCATGGTGATTAATGAATCCCTACGTCTCTATCCTCCGGTGGCTGTGGTGTCAAGGGAGGCCTTGAAGGACATGAAATTCGGAAACATAAATGTTCCCCAGGGTGTCAATGTCTGGACCCTGGTGGTGACATTGCACACCGACCCTGAAATATGGGGACCGGATGCCTACAACTTCAACCCGGCCAGGTTTGCGAATGGCATCACAGGTGCCTGCAAGCTTCCACATCTGTACATGCCATTCGGAGTTGGTCCCCGGGTGTGTCTTGGCCAGAACCTCGCCATGGTTGAACTCAAGATACTGATTTCTCTCATTTTGTCCAACTTTTCGTTCACGCTCTCCCCCAAATACGTCCACACACCGGCTCTTCAGTTGGTTATAGAGCCTAAGTATGGAGTCGACCTCTTGGTGAAGAAGCTCTGATCATACTGCATTGTGACTATACATTACAGAGAATTGTTTCTTTGTATGCATTAACTTATACCAAGGAGAGTTGTTTTCCTGATATCATAAGAGAAGCTGTAGCTTTTCTATTTTATGGACTAGTAGTGTTTGTTTGTTACAGTTTACATTTGTTCATACATAATTAAATAAAAAACGAGTTTTGAATTTCATTTTCTGTCTACTAATTGATCTGCCAACATTTCAAATAAGAAAGCAAATTTGTGCCCAATTGTACCAAGCATTATTGCTTTAATCAGTCTATAGACTATAATTATAAACATGTTCGTACGTAATCATAATTATAAACTTTTCCCCATTCATTAATTATAACATTGTACCGTCAATCTATGATGTTTCTTCACATGAGTCTAAAAAATTCACGTGATGTGTCATTATTTTGAATATTGTTGATGGGATGATTCGACAATGTTGATAATATTCGTTATCTACCTAGGAAATTTCTGGTCAGTCCTTTATTAGACTGTTTCCCAGTCATCCTCGTCCTATTTATTGAAGATATTTTATGCATACTGCTAACCTGTGAATTTCACCCAGTTTAATTTAAAGGTAATTATTTTTAACCAAGTAGTATGCGTGCTCGTAAGAATGCAGGTTTTTTTGTAATATTATTCATTATTTGGAACGATGTCCTCTTAATTCTTACCATATTTAATTGCAACACAATCAGACATTTAATTAAACATGTTCTCATGGTTACTTGATTCAAAATGTATTTATGTACTTTATATTATATATGCTTATGCTTGATTGTAGGGAATTGGTATCTTATAATTGAAATCGAAATCCAATGCGTTATTTGTCAACTTCATACAACTAAATCAGATTTAAAAAGGATTTTTAGTTTCATGTACTATAAAAAAAAGTTATAAATATCTTAAAAGATTCTTTATGTGGCTGTCTATGCTAATATATCATGCCATAATATGTAAAGTGATAACTATTAAATTTTTCTTTCTTTGACTTTTTTAGTATCCTTTCTTATCTTCACCCCAAAAGTCCAAAATTTCTCATTTTTTTTTAGTCATCTCGTCCATCTTCCTCCCACAACCACAACCAGATACCTTCATGTAATTGGAGAGAAATGTGATTAATTATTAGTGATGATGCCTTACTTATAAAATTTCAATAAAATCAAATTAATTTGGAGAGAATGAATGTTAATAGAGTCCAAAGTGATTGTTGAGACTTTTGTATAATTTTTTATGATAAAATCATCTTAATAAAATTAAATTGTATTATAGATAATGAATGTTAATAGAGTCAAATGTTAATAAAATCATCTCCACATATTTGTATTACTTTTACCTTTTGGTATCTTCTCTTATTTTAAAATCAATTAAACCAATCAAACCCATAAGTTTGTTTGTTTGTTTTTTTTTTTTTTTTTTTTTTTCACCTTTCTTAAGTCTACGCGGACAAAAGAGATCCTAAATATTTATGGAGAAAAAATTGGAGATAATTAAAGAAGGAACTAAATTCCTAATACAAGAGAAACGGTTAGTGCAAAGATATTTATAGAAAAGAAAACAGAGATAATTAAAGAAGGAATTAAATTTTTAATAAAAGATGAACAATTAAGAGATCGGAAATAAAATTAAAAGTTCAATACTTTGTACTTTTGTAGTGAGTAGCATGACCCACTGCTAAATATTATTTGTCTTGTGGTGTGTCACATAGATTCTATCTAGCAAATGTCTAAATTTTCTGCCTAAATATCACTGATACAAAATTATTAAAAATTTGTCACATGACACAATTTAACACCAAATTGTTTAATTATCTTTTATTTCCCGTTGTAAGAAATAAAGATAGCTAATTATTTATTTATTGAGTGCGCTGATTTTTTTATCTCGTGAATCCCCACTTTGATGACAGTACACTGAATTCCTTACCAGAAATTATACATCTATTTGTTTATCGCTTGGTTACTATTATACATCTTTTTATCTTCTTGGTTGCTTCTACGTGAAAAAAACAAGTACTCATATTTTCCTAGGGGATAAGACTAGTTTAAATGTTCTAGGCGTTGTGGATTAATACCAGATTAGTGCCATTTTCAAAAGAACCTCTTTTTCTTCTTTGATGAAATATACCTATATATTTTGACTGCCTTTATTTTATTTTGTTGGTCCTATCCTACCAAAATTTATAATGTGCAATGATTAGAGCATGAAATTGGTAGGGCTTGACTTTGACATTATTTTATTATATATGGATTGAAAATTTACACCATTTTCTGTTGTTGGTTTTGAAATGTAAAATTTATTGTTGGGAGTTCTTATTAAATTTACACTTTCTCGTTGATGTAATTTTTTCTTACATCAAGAAATCAGAATTTACATCAAACAATCCGATTGCGAACACGTAGATTTTTTTCATATCATTTTAAGTAGATTTAGATCTATACTCACAAATTCAAACAAATCTACGTTTTTAAATGTCCTACCAAGAACATGTTGAAACTTCGTAATTATCTTGTCGGTCTGAAAAAAATTTGGTGATGGTCCAAATGTGTGGCCAACAATGTTGTTGTATATCAATTTTGGTTTAAAGTTCAAATGTATTTGGGTGAACCAGAAAACAAGAGAATTTGTTAAATGTACACTCGACAAAAGTCTAAAATTCTCTATTCATGAATCGTGTGTTGACACGTGTACACTCGACAAAAGTTTAAATTTAGCAAAGGAGGAAAAGTCAACATGTTCATTTAGGTCCTTTTGGAAGTTGGAAATATTGAAATTTTTGTTATTAATATAATAATGATGTTCTTGGTTGGTGGTGGGGGGCTAAATGCTAGTAGTAGTGTTGAACAACTGTTGTTCCCAAAATAAATGAAAAATAGGGTAACGTAATCACCGCAAAAATTTACAAGTCAAACTCATGTTCATTCTGGCACCGCGGCGTGCGGAGGTAGGCCAACCAATTAAGGTTTCTACTCTCTCTCTCTCTCACACACACACACACAGAACACACACGATAAATAGTCGACCAATCGTGTCTCACAGGTCACACAAGGACTAGCAAGTAAAATTCAAGAAATTAATGTTGAATGTGTGTAAGTGTGTGGGCGGAAGTATAGACTGGATTCACACTGGATTCACACAAGACGTCGTGGGCAAAGTCTCAATCCAATAAAAACATTATTTTTGTTTTAGTTAACAACAAAACGCCTAAAACAAAGAGTATATCAAAAGAGTCCTAAAAAAAACATTGAATGAATTAATTTGAAATTTTATGAAATTATATATAAATTCAACTTTAATGAATAGCAGAAATGAAATAGCTTAATAACAAGATTTTTACCTCGTAATTTGAATGTTAAAAAATTTAAGCTTTCACGAAATCAAGAATGAGACTCAAAAACTTTTGTTTAGGGGGCCAAACTAGATCTATGAAGGTAGAAATTTTAAAAGTTAGCTGTAAATTATTTTTATTAGCAATATAGCTCTTGATATATATTTGACGTTTTAATATATTATAATGGATTTTTCAGTTCTATTATATTTTGGATTTGATTCAACCAAATTAAAATTTTCACCTGATAAGTGAATTATTAATAATACTGTAAAGAGGTTGGAAGCCACCATCATCGAAAGAAAAAACAAAACAAACAAATTATATATATAAACTTACCATCTTTGGCTAATTTTATATTATTAATAAATTAAATAAATCATTTTTGCTGTCGTGTGTTCCTTGAAAAATGTTCCGGAGCGAATTTGGGGAGGCTTTGGTTCTCAAAAAGGCTGCTGGTTTGGCTATTGATTGGGGCTCTGAGAAGGTAATTTTTGAACCTGAAGTTGAAACCTTAGTGAAGGCAATGATGGGGTCACCATAGCTCCGATGACTATTTTCACAATGATGATTGATATTTGTAACTTGTTGAAAATTAATATGAATTTTCAGTAATAATTTATTATCAAATAAGCAAAATTTAGTGGCACACGAAAATGCTTCTCTCGCTTTTACTTGTGAGCGTGATCATGTTTTTGAGAAAGATGTTCCTGAAACAATGGTAGCAGTGACTACTGTTCAATCCATGTATCTTTGTTTTCATTTCTATATCAATATATCCTTTCTTGCCGTGAAAAATATATATATAGAGTCGTGATCTCTTATTTTTCATGGAGTAAAAAAATTAATTCATACTTTCTATATAGACCGTTAGATTAAATCTAACGGCCATTTTTCTAACCCACCTATAACCTTTTCTTTTAACACAAAACCACTCCCACCCTATTTTTAGTTTCTTTATTTAATTTTACCATTACTATCTACTATAATAATAAAAGGTAATTATTAAAATAAAAATAGAAACCTTTGAGTGGGGGTTTATATCCGATGGTCGGGATAGACTGATGGCTCGATTCAACTCTCTCTCCATTTTTTCGTGCGTGACTGAATTTGAATCCACGGACAAATGATTACTCTCCATGGATTAGGTTGTGAGAAGAGCTTCACCCATTTTTTTTGGGTTACCTTATTGTTTCTGAGGTGAATTCTACGGTCCCACCATAGTCTGTACATCATCATCATCCAATAATCAAACTCACAAATTCACAAATTCAATAATAAATTTCACTAAATGCCCAACTTCAAATTGAAATAAAAAAAACTTTTGTTCAAACTTTAAATAAAATTTTCTTTCAATTTCAATTCCAATGAATCAATTCAATATTCCAAAATATAACAATACAATATATTTGTTGATAAATTTACTTATACTAGAGAAATATATTAATTTACTTATACTGAAAACAATAAGATGTTTCTTTAAAAAATGTTATAATATCATACTATTATTGCAAAATTAAAATATACGGATATTGTTTTTCTTTCAAAGAAACATTTAAATAAAAACAAATTTATTAATAAAATATATTGGTATTATTTTTTTTTTTTGAAAGGTTTCTATTTTTATTTTGATAATTACTTTTTATTGTTACCATAAGTGGTAATGGTAAAATTAAATATAAAAATTAAAAATAGTGTAAGAGTAATTTTGTGTTTAAAGGAAAGGCTATATATGGATTTGAAAAATGACCGTTAAATTTAATCTAACGATTTATATAAAATATGTGTATTAATTTTCTTGCTTCACGAGGAGCGAGAGATCAAGATTCCTCTCTCTATATATATATGTTTATATAAATCAATAAATGTGTACACAGATTTTTGACAAGATTTCTAGTAGATATTGTCTAAGAACCTTGCTTTAGTATTTGAAAAATAATTGCCGCAGAGGACCATAGTAAGCATTAGATTGTTATTCAATCAAAATCAATATAAATTGTGATTAATCCGTTTCCTTTTTTTGTTGGTTTAATAAAATTCTGATTTAGGAAAATATAGATATTTTTTCTAAATATTTTTTACCAAATATTTTTTAAAACCCCTAAGTGGCGGAGCCACGTTAGGACCAGTACTGAAAATTTCTTTTATTTATATTTTTTATACATAAGTTCTGATAATTGTAAAACAAAACGTATGCCAAACGAGCTCCAAAGAAAGCATTGAATGAATTAATTTGAAATTTTATGAAATCATATATAAATTCAACTTTAATAAATAGCGAAAATGAAATAACTTAATAACAAGATTTTTACCTCGCAATTTAAATGTTAAAACATTGAAGCTTTCACGAAATCAAGAATGAGACTCAAAAGCTTTTGTTTAGGGGGGCCAAACTAGATCTATGAAGGTAGAAAATTTAAAAGTTAGCTGTAAATTATTTTTATTAGCAATATAGCTCTTGATATATATTTGACGTTTTAATATATTATAATGAATTTTTCAGTTCTATTATAATTTGGATTTGATTCAACCAAATTAAAATTTTCAGCTGATAGTGAATTATTAATAATACTGTAAAGAGGTTGGAAGCCACCATCATTGAAAGAAAAAACAAAACAAACAAACTATATGTATAAACTTACCATCTTTCGCTAATTTTATATTATTAATAAATTAAATAATTCATTTTTGCTGTCGTGTGTTTCTTGAAAAATGTTTCCGGAGCGAATTTGGGGAGGCTTTGGTCCTCAAAAAGGCTGCTGGTTTGGCTATTGATTGGGGCTTTGAGAAAGGAATTTTTGAATCTGAAGCTGAGACCTTAGTGAAGGCAATGATGGGGTCACTATAGCTCCATTGACTATTTTCACAATAATAATTGATATTTGTAACTTGTTGAAAATCAATGTGAATTTTTAGTTACAATTCATTTTTAAATAAGCAAATACAGTGACACAGAAAGGTGCTTCTCTCACTTTTACTTATAAGCATGATCATGTTTTTGAAAAAGATGTTCTTGAAGCAATGGTAACAATGACTACTGCTGAATCCATGTATCTTTGTTTTAATAAACCTTTTCTTGCCATGAAAATATATATATATATATATATATAGATCAATAAATGTGTACACAGATTGTTTTAGATAAGATTTCTAGTAGATATTGTCTAAGAACCTTGCTCTAGTATTTGAAAAATAATTGCCGCAGTGGACCTTAGTCAGCATTAGATTGTCATTCAATCAAACCATATTAAATTTATTCATAATCAATACAAATTGTGAGCAAGACCTACATTTATTTAGTGGACTGGGCTCCAGAAATTCGGAAGCTATTACATCTCGACGTTAATGTTCTTGTGTTTTTCTTTACTTTGCACGTGAATAAATAAAATGCCTCTACCTATTATTATCGTTATTTTTTTTAATCCGTTTCCTTCTTTTGTTGGTTTAATAAAATTCTGATTTAGGAAAATATAGATATTTTTTCTAAAATTTTTTTACCAAATATTTTTTAAAATCCTTGAGTGGCGGAGCCACGTTAGGATTAGTGGGGGCAAATTTTCTTTTATTTCTATTTGCTATACATGAGTTCTGATAATTGTAAAAATGCTCTCGCTAAACTTTTAAAATATTCTTTAAAGAACTTAAGAAAAACTTGCAAAAGTCAAAATGATCCCTCATTTTTTAACTCATTTGCCCAACAAGAAGACCTATGTTTAAGAATCAAAGCTTAGGAAAGACTCCTCATTTGCTATTGAATTTTTTTTTTTTTTTTTTTTGTATTTTCTATATGCAAATCTTGATAATTATAAAATTTTCCCAGATTGAGCTCCTAAAAAATTCACAAAAAAAAGCATCCAAAATTCACAAATACCTCCCATTTTCTAACTCATTTTCCCAACAATTGTTTATAAATTCATAAAAGACCCACCCCCTTTTTCTCCTCTCATGGTGTAGGTGCGAAATTTCTCCACTCGCAAAATTTTAACAATCAAAATTCAGAAAAAAATCTCTGTTGCTATTTATTATTTTGGTTCAAAATTTCTTATCATATTAATAGTTGCCTCCACTTAACTAAATTATTTGCTCTGCCACTAAATCCCACCATTTATATTTATTATTACATGGAAAAAACTTAAATAGATCATTTAAATTGCCACAGAGAGTTTAATAAGAACATCATTTGTTATTGCCAATACATTGACACTTCTCTAACGCTTTGATGTGTCCATAATTAACAAATAGAGCTCTTAATTTTAGACACTTGGCCGGCATTTCTTGATCATATGCTAATATTGACCAATAAAGCTTCAACTTTAAATGAAGACTTTCTTATTAACATTGAAATGAAGTATAAACAAAGTATGAGCATTCAGAAGAATAAATGGGAATGAAAATATTTATGGTCATTGTCTTTAGATTGAAACAAAATCATCTTGTTCAATTCCAAGATCAATGGCATGAGATACATACACATTTTTTTTCATCCTTCAACAGAAACCAATTGTAAAGCCATATTATCTCTACCCAGCAATCACACTTTCTTTACGATGAGATTCAATCCATACTTGGCCTGTAAAGTAAGTTTGAAATTTGGGGAATGCTGATACTTGGGGGAGATAGAGAATGAGAATTTGGAAAGCAGAAGAGACATGAGAATTTTAAGTTCAACCATGGCAAATTTCTGCCCCAAGCATATATGAGGGCCAATTCCGAAAGGAATGTAAGCCTGTGGGAACTTGCAAGCACCATAGATGCCATGTGCAAACCTCTCCGGCTTGAACTCATCAGCATCTTCTCCCCAAATTTCAGGTAGTCGATGCAAAGTAGTGATCGGAATCCAGAGGTTGACTCCTTTTGGAATATAGATATCCCCTAAATTCAAGTCCTCAAGTGCTTCTCTTGCAGTGAATGGAATTGGAGGATATAGTCTCATTGTCTCTTGAATCACCATTGTCACCTGTCAAGTAGTAGTAGTCCTCAGTCTATTTATTCACAAAAAATTTGAAATGTGCGTGTTACACATTTTATATTTGCTTTGTACAAATTTGAATAATAAAATGTTTCTTAAACACCACTTGTTAGAGAAATAATGCAAATTACTGAGATAATTAAGTACCATTTTTAACTTGTGGAGTGAATCTGCATCAGGTGGGTGACCTTGAAAAATGTTGATCACTTCATCTCGAGCCTGAGTTTGCCATTCTGGAAATGCAGCTAGCAGCATCAAGGTCCATGTCGCGACACTGGCCACAGTCTCGTGGCCTGCAACATAGATGCTTTTACAATTGTCCACCACATAGCAGTTTGTTGTTTCTTCCCCAAGCTGCTCAGCATAAGCACCTTCCTGTATAACTTGAAGCAGATCCTTCTGATCACTTTTACCACTACCATCCTTCACTAGCTTTAGTATTGACTCTCGAATTTCTCTCTCTAACTTCCACACCTCTATATTGGTTTTCGTAGGAAAACACCTAAGTAAATTGGACAACACGTATGCGCGGTGGCACAAGTTAACGGATTAAACACTGGAAGAAATAATGGATGCATATATAATGATATCAATGATGAACATAAATTTTTAATACCCGAGGAAGGGAATTCTGGCAACGACGGATGTGTAAGAAATGGCCTTTTGAAGTGATCTAATAAGTTCAAACACATGTTTCCCTTTGGAATGCATGCTCCCAAAACAAGCTTTTGAGATGGTATTCATGGAGAACTTTGCCAGATCCTCGTCAACCCTAATATCTGCCTCTCCTCCCATTCCTTCAACTTGAGCTTCCCATGACTTCACCATTGTCAATGCTGACTCCACCATCGTCAATGCTGACTCCACCATCATTCCCACCATATCCTGTACATTTCCCTTGTTTAGACTATATCAAAGCACGTACATACAACACTATATACAACAATAACAACCAAGCCTTTTCACAAATACTTGGAATCGGCTACATGAATCTCATGTTTCCATTCGCTCTGTTTAAGGCCATAGCCTCAATCAAAATTTACCCATGCTCTGCCATCCTTGCTGGGAGAAGATAATTTACCTTGACTTTGTCCACAAAGAACTCTGGTGCAATGACTTTCCTCTGGTGTGCCCAAACTTGCCCATTGGATCTTGCAATGCCATTACCAAACAAGGACTTAATTATCGGTATTGCATATACAGGTCTACCCAAGTCCAGTGACTTGAATAAGCTAATTTCCTTCAACACCGCTGGATCACTTATGTACAAATTCTGAACATTTCCTGTGGTATACATATATATCTGACCTACAATATAGCATTTTCTAAACTCATCAATTACTGAAACAAATAGAGAGATACAGAATCAGAAAAAAATTATGTGGAACATGAGAGATGTCTCTGTGGTTTATGTGATGCAATGGCTAAAGGTACTCAGCACTCCGGTTTGAGATCTCAGAGCAATACTAGCACCCAGTGCCAATTACCAAATGCAAACACAAAATCATCGAAACTGGATCTTATTCAAAATAATTTCTTGGTTTGTTCATATTAGTGAAATAATGCCTAGGAGGGTTGTTACGTCATTATGTAAAATGCATAATAACATTACTTTTCAGCATTTAGAACTCAAAATAATGACAGTTATAACAAATAATAGATATTGAAATATAATAAGGAATAGCAAGGATGAAGAAGGGTGAGAATCTAAATGGTACCGTATATTCGCCTCCAGCTCTCAAAGTATGGGAAGATAGAAAGAGAATAGTTGGCTGTTGGAGAGCTAGCAACAGCTTCATTTGCCGATCTGCAGGCTGTCTGATTCGACGTGATTCTTTTCATCTCTGAGACATTGCCCATCAGAAAAGATGGCGGTGGACCTTTGATACCTTGCCTTCTCAACTTCCCTCTCATTCTTTCAGGCCTCACCCACAAAACATTATAAAGATGCATATACAAGCAAATCGAGCATACAACTATCAACCATATCATCGTATCCATCATCATCTATTCAATTTCTGAATTCTATCTGTCTCTATCCCGTGCTTCCTTCAGAGCTTGTTTACATAGAGAAGCTTACCTTGAACTAAGTGAAATAAATAGTTCGGCAAAGTTGATTTCTTGTTCATTTGATCAACTAAACAAAATTTAATTAACAAGACTATGAGAATGAAGAGGTTCGCATCTTTTCTTGTCCTTATGCAAAAGGCATCTTTTGATTGTTCAGTGTTGCACTTGAGTCTGATTGAAACTAGGGATACAAAAAATTAATAATTCGAAGATACTCCTTTCATGTAAGACAAGGAGATTAATATTCTTCTTGTGGTACCAACAGGCCAGTTTCCAAAGGGATATCACAGGTTGGAGGCTCAGTGGGCGCATGTGTGTGTGAGTACCAACTAAGAAATATATATATATATATTCTTCTCGTGGTAATAGTTAGAATAGCAAAGGAATATACTTATAGTAAAACACAACCAGCTTGTTGATCAATTCCAAGATAACTAGCATGAGATATACAATTTTCATCCTTGAACAGAGGCCAATTTGTAAAGGCATATTATCTCTGCTTAATCTAATGATCAGGCCTTCACGCTTTCTTTACGATGAGATTCAATCCATACTTGGGCTGCAAACTAATGTCCAAAGTTGGGGAATGCAGATACTTAGGGGAGATAGAGAGTGAGAACTTGGCAAGTAGAACAGATACAAGAATTTTAAGTTCAACCATTGCAAATTTCTGCCCAAAGCATGTACGAGGGCCCACCCCGAAAGGAATATAAGCCTGTGGGAACTTGCAAGCACCATAGATGCCATGTGCAAACCTCTCCGGCTTGAACTCATCAGCATCTTCTCCCCAAATTTCAGGTAGTCGATGCAAAGTAGTGATCGGAATCCAAATGTTGACTCCTTTTGGAATGTAGATATCCCCTAAATTCAAGTCTGCAAGCGTTTCTCTTGCAAGGAATGGAGTTGCAGGGTATAGCCTCAGCGTCTCCTGAATCACCATTGTCACCTGTAAAGTAGTAGTAGTCCTCGTTCTATTCATTGACAAAATTTAATCTGAAATGTGTCTCGGTCGTTACTCATTATATATATATTTGTTTCGTACAATTTTGAATAATAACATGTTTGTCAAACACCACTTGTTAATTAAATAGTACAAATTAATGAGATAATTAAGTACCATCTTTAACTTGAGGAGCGAATTTGCATCAGGTGGGTGACCTTGTAAAATGTCGATCACTTCAGCTCGAGCCCTAGTCTGCCATTCTGGATATGCAGCTAGCAGCATCAAGGTCCATGCTGCAACACCAGCCATAGTCCCGTGGCCTGAGACATAGATGTTTTTACAATTGTCTACCACATAGCAGTTTGCTGTTTCTTCCCCAAGCTGCTCAGCATAAGCACCTTCCTGTATAACTTGAAGCAGATCGTTCTGATCACTTCTACCGCTACCACTCTTCACTAGCTTTAGTATCAACTCCCGAATTTCTCTCTCTAACTTCCACACCTCTATACTGGTTTTGGTAGGAAAATACCTAAGTAAATTGGACAACACGAATGCACGGTGGCATAAGCTAGTTAAAGACTTAAATGCTAGAAGAAATTAATGGTTGCATGTATAATGAGAACGATGAATATATAGAAATTATTAATACCTGAGGAAGGGGATCCTGACAATATTGGATGTGTAAGATATGGCCTTTTGAAGCGATCCAATAAGTTCAAACACATGCTTCCCTTCGGATGACATGCTCCCAAAACAAGCTTTCGAGATGGTATTCATGGAGAAGTTTGCCAAATCATCATAAACTCCAATATCCGCCTCTCCTCCCATTCCTTCAACTTGAGCTTCCAATGACTTCACTATTGTCATTGCGGACTCCACCATTATTCCCACCATATCCTGTAAATATCTTGCTCTCATTTAGACTAAATCTATCTATGTACAACACTAGCTATATCGAATCAATAAATTAATGCATGTCCATGCTTAAACCCACACCAAAACTAAATGGGGTTGTATGTTACGGAAGCCAACCAATACCATACATACATAGCCTATACTTCAATCCGATACACATTCAATAGTAGCAGGGAAAGGCGGGGGAGTTTGCAAAATTAATTTACCTACTGCATTGCCATCCTAGCTAGCTGGGAGACGATGAATTACCTTGACTTTGTCCACAAAGAACTCTGGTGCGATGATTTTCTTCTGGTGAGCCCAAGCTTGCCCATTAGATCTTACAACACTATCCCCTAACAAAGACCTAAGTTGTGGTGACAAATATACAGGTTTACCCAAGTCCCATGACTTGAATAAGCTAATTTCCTTCACCACTCCTAGATCACTTATGTACAAATTTTGAACATTTCCTGTGGTATACATATATACCTGACCTGCAACATTGCATATTCTAATTTCATCAGTTACAGAAATAGATAAAGAGATGAGTACAAAATAAGAACAAAATTATGTGCTATGACACCCATTAACGAATGCAAACACAGTTATAATCAATAAATAATGAGATATGATGAGAAATTTTAGTAGGGTAAGTATGGGTTTGTGGTACCATATATCTGCGTCCAGCGCTCAAAGTAGGGGAACATAGAAAGGGCATAGTTGGCTGTTAGAGGCCCAGCAGAGGCTTCGATATGATCAGACGAGATTCTTTTCATCTGTGAGACATTGCCCGTCAGAAAAGATGGTGGTGGACCTCTGATACCTTGCCTACTCAGCTTCTCTCTGACCCTTTCAGGCCTTACCCACAAAACATTATAGACATGTATACACAAGCTACTCAAGCATACAACAATCAACCAAATCAGCATATTCATCGCCTCCTCCATTTCTAATTTCTCTACCTCACTCCAGTGCTTGCTCTAAGGATTTATTAAGTGTGTGTGTGTGTGTGTGTGTGTGTGTGTGTGTGTAATGGGTCAGAACTCAGAAGTGTTAGGCTGTTTAGTTTTAAATATTGATGCAAACACAATACAAAAGAGAAGAACACCTTGAAAGTAAAGTTATATAATAGTTCAGCAGAGTATATATCCATGTGAAAAAGGTATCTTTAGATATTGTGTCGAATTGCATTTGATTCTAATCAAAACTGATCTAACAAAAAATAATTGAAGATGCTTGTGTGGTGTAAGAATGGGTTATTGTTTGGTAAGATTCTCAAGCATAAGTAAATCCAGAAGCTGTTGCCATCTCAACATTTTTAAGCCCACTATTGTCGTCTCAATTGCATGTTTTATATTTATGTGTACTTTGCACATGAATAAATAACATGTCACCATCTAGTTTTTTTTTTTTTTTTTAATCCCGCTATCAAGATTTATCACCAGAGAGAGAATCTAATAGGAACATTTGCTACTGAGGATACTCGACACATTTCAAACACTGCAAAATAGTTGTTTGATACATCCTAAATGTGTCCATAATTTACAAATAGAGCTCTAAATTTTATATTGACCAATGCTCTTCTTGTGGTAGTAGTACTTAGAATGGCAAAGGAGACATTGAACATTTAAATCTGTTTAGAAGATGAATAAAGAGATTGCAAAAGCAGTAGTAGCAGAATCAACAATAATGGGTGGTAAATCTAGCATTCATATCAATCAGTATATTTTATTTATATTGATTAGTACCTGGTTTTTTGGCGGACTGATCTTCCCTGCTGCAAAACCAGAGGTGTCACCGTCTCAAACATTTTTGAGCCCCTTGTTCCTCAATTGCTTGCTTTTGTGTTCTTTAGCATGTTTTGTAAGTTATAATAATGAAAATTTTTCATTTCCTTAAATTTTTGTTTCTTGATTTATGGATTTAACAAAGGACTGAAACACCACATCAGAACACCATTCCCATCACAAAAATATTAAACCTCAAATGTTAAGCAGTTCACCAGATGTTAGTAATATGCACCCAATATCCACTGAAACCCTAAATTATATTCTAAAATGGCCAAGGACTCATTGGAAAATATATAGTCAATTTTATTAATGGAATTTTAGATGAAAATACATCTGGCTTGTTCATCTCCAAAATCAATGACACTAGGAGAAATTTGCCTATTTGAACAAAAGCCAATTACAAAGGTTCATCATCACCATTTAATAGAATTGAATCATTGTGCTTTTTCTATTACGAGATTCATCCTGTACTTCTGCTCCACAGTAATTCTGAAGGCAGGGGAGTGATGATACTTAGGGGAGAGAGAGAATGTGAACTTGGAAAGAAGGGAGAGAAGAATTTTAAGTTCTACCATTGCAAATTTCTGTCCCAAGCATATGCGAGGGCCAGTTGTGAAAGGTATGTAAGCCTGTGGAAAGCTGCAAGCACCAAAGATGCCACGCGCAAACCTCTCCGGCTTGAGCTCATCAGCATCTGCTCCCCAGATTTCAGGCATCCGATGCAACGTAGTGATTGGAATCCAGAGGTTGACTCCTTTTGGAATGTTGATATTCCCAAACTTTATGTCCTCAAGTGCCTCTCTTGAAATGAATGGAGATGGAGGGTATAACCTCATTGACTCCTGAATCACCATTGTGACCTGCAAAGCAGTAGAAGTCCTCATTTTAGTATCAAGTCAATTAAATTGCAAAATTCTGAAACGAGTTACATTACAAATTTGTACAGATACATGTTTAACAAATTCCACTTGCTAATGATGATAATGCAACTTAATAAGATTAATACAGTTTTCAGCTTGTGGAGCGAATCTGCATCAGGTGGATGACCTTGAAAAATTGTCATTCACTTCAGCTCGAGCCCGAGTTTGCCATTCTGGGTATGCAGCTAACAGCATCAAGGTCCATGTTGCAACACTAGCCACAGTATCATGGCCTGCGACATAGATGTTGTTACAATTGTCTACTACATAGCGAATTGCCGTTTCTTTTGCAAGCTGCTCTGCATAGGCACCTTCCAATATAGTTTGAAGCAGATCCCTCTCACTTTTTCCACTGCCCTCTGCCACTAGGTTTAAAATCAACTTCTCAATCTCTTTCTCTAACTTCCACACCTCTATATTGGTTTTGGTCGGAAGATACCTAAGCAAATTGATCATGTATACACACATATACTGTAAGGACTTCAGTGATTCAAGAAAAGGATGCATAGACGACGATGAAGATAAATAATGACACCTGAGAATGGGAATTCTAACAATAATGGTTGTGCGAGAAATAGCCCTTTGAAGTGATCTAATGAGTTCAAAGAACCGTTTTCCTTTGGAACATGTGCTCCCAAAACAAGCTTTTGAGATGGTATCTGCAGAGAAGTTTGTCAGGTCATCATCAACCCTGATATCTGCCTGTCCTCCCTCTCTTTCAATTCGATCTTCCCATGACTTCACCATTGTCATTGCAGACTCCACCATTATTCCCGCCATGCCCTGTACATTGCTCTCATTTAGACATGCATCAAAGCATGTACAACACTAGCTCAATCTAATAATATGAGTCCAAACTTTAACTCTCATCTAGCCTAAATGGGATTGCACATTGCTCAACAAAATTAAACACAAATCCAAGCAAGGGTTTAAGTTGTTGTAATAGATATACAGGTTTACCCAAGTCCCATGACTTGAACAAGCCAATTTCCTTCACCACAACAGGATCACTGATGTACAAATTTTGCCATTTCCTGTGGTATACATATATATTGCACCTACAATATAGCATATACTCATCATCACCATCCATTACCAAAGCAAATGAAAATACACCATATAGCATAATAGCAAGCACCAAACTCATCAACTACCAAAAAAAAAGGTCCATAAAAACAGAACAAAACTATGTGGAATCCAAATGTTTATATCATATAACATACAAGGGTATTCTATTTTTTGAGATTTTAGAGGAATTCTAGGTCACCCATTAAAGAATGCAAACACAATTATGAGGAATAAAATAATTATTTATATAGGGTACCACACATACCCACACTCACCCTTCTTCTTCCTTCAAATGTTTTTATTTTTATTTTTTATTTATGACATAATAAAAAATAAAAATAAAAACATATGAAGGAAGAAGAAGGGTGAGTGTGGGTATGTGTGGTACCATATATTTGCCTCCAGTGCTCAAAGTAGGGGAATATAGAACGGGTATAGTTGGCCGTTAGAGACCCAGCAGAGGCTTCAGTATGATGAGACGATATTCTTTTCATCTCTGAGACATTGCCCATCAGAAAAAATGGTGGTGGACCTCTGATGCCCTGCCTTCTCAACTTCTCTCTAAGCCTTTCAGGCATTGCCCACAGAACATTATACGCATGTATACACAAGCCACTCAAGCATACAAAAATCAACCAAATCAACATATTCATCACCTCCTCCTCCATTTCTAATTTCTCTACCTCAATCCAGTGCATTTTGTGTGTGTGTGTGTGTGTGTGTGTGTGTGTGTAATGGGTCAGGAGTATTAGGCTGTTTGGTTTTAAATATTGATGCATACACAATATGAAAGAGAAGACATAAGCTAAAAGAAATAGTTAGGGTGTATTTTACTGGTGATTTCATCAACAAAGTACTAAATAAACAGAGGCTTATGTGAGCATGATGTTGCATCTTTTTTGTCTTTCACGAAAAGGTATCTTTATTGTGGAGAATTGCAATACTTGGGGGATAACTGAACCTGCAAAACTCATAATAAGAAACAGATCATGACTTAGAAAGAGGAGTTCAAATACACAAACTCTATAAAAACTCGTGAAAATTATAAATTATAAAGAGTGGCCTATAAAACAATAATCCTGACTTGATCAGGAATAGAACAACTGATCATCATAAAACACTATACATAACCACATATAATGGAGTGTAAACCAGTGATCAGCAATTTAAAACTTAAATCCCTATCAAAATCAGCAACAAGCAAAGTATGGTTAGACAAACAAACTAATAATTGTGTACCACAAGCATATATACATTTGCAAAATTAATCAATCTCAAATATAGTTGATCTTGAAAACCATAATAAGACAAAATAAAACGCAGCACCAAGCAAAAACAAATTTAGCCAGAATAGTTTGCATCAGAAGGTGCATAAAGTGATGGGAATTTAATTACAAAACAACTTGGCATGTGAAATACAACAAGATATCTAAACAAGCTCAATGTAGGCCATCGGTGCATTGTCTCCTCGTCTTGGGAGGGTTCTGATTATTCTTGTATACCCTCCATTTCTGTCCCCGTATCTTTCTGGGACCTCAGCAAACAATGCATGCACAATTTGCTTTTCATAAATGAAGCCAAGAGCTTGTCTTCTTTTATGAAGAGATCCATCTTTGGCCAATGTAATCATCTTATCGACATGTTTTCTCATGGCACTCGCCCTTGCTCTTGTAGTTTTTATGCGTCCAAACTTCAAGAGCTGTGTCGTTAGGCCCCGAAGAAGTGCCCGGCGTTGGTCAGGTGGCCTATTGAGTTTCGGAACTCGCTTCCCATGTCTCATTGCAAAAATCCGCCCCCCATTGTCAACAATGGTGAAGTTATGCTCAAAGCTAGTGAACCCTGCAATAAGTGATTGAACAATATTCTGAATAGGCAAGCAAATGTACTTGCAGATAGATTAAAGAAAATTCTAATCATGCAGGCAGGGAAAACTGAGAACAGAATAAACTATGCAAAGAAAAACCTGGCATTTGACAACAGCTGCCACAAAATCAGTCGCGTGAGTGAAATTTTTCTCAAATGCTTAGTTCTGGGATTTAAATCAAATTGGGATATATGCCTTAAGTAATAGAATAGAGCGGCTGTAAAAAGTTCAAACTACAATTTATGAATAATCCAGAAAGAAGTGGACTAGGCAAGTTAATTCGGACAGCAGATGACCCATGTATATTGTTGCAAGTTCAATGCAACACTGAACAAAACTTGATAATCACTTTGTTAGTTGTTTATGGCCACAGAAAAAATAATAAAATAAATAAGAGACAAATTTATGTAGCTCTCAAGGTTCAGAAATTCCCATCTTCACACAATAATAGAAAAACCAAATTCATGTAGTGCAAGCATGGTGTCAGCTATCAATTTTTCAAATTATTCTGGAACAACACCCTTTATAGTTTATTCCAATAATTGAATTAGTTTCTAAAATTTCACAAATACCCTGTTACTATTTTTATCAGAATTTCAAAATAATCTGAATAAACAAAGACAACAAATCACCAGATATCGCAACAAATTCTGGTACGATTTTTATCAGAATTTCAGAATAATCTGAATAAGTATAGACAGCAACATATCTTTTTTTTTTATCTTTACAAGCACTCTTGTATTCATCTTGAATTTTTCTCCCATGTATTCCAAATGAGTTGTGCTATTGGGGCAGAGGGAGTAAGCTGAAAAGGCTAGCCGAGCACCTCAGGCCCCTTTGATTTTGTAAGTGGGACATAATCAGCCTGAGGTTCTTGAATACCCCCTCATGCCAAAATCATTTTCCATCCCAAATACTATTCTAATAGCCCTGCATCGTAACCAAATTTGTCACTTAACCAAATTTTTCACTGTGAATACAAGAAGCAAGATATAAGTATGGACAGATGCATACACACGCACACGACATATGGGGGCGGACCAACTAAAGGCAAGCTTCATTTGGTAGTGCCGAATAGGCATCCTGGAATTGAAGTTGGAGGAGGCACACCCAAACGCAGCATCAGTGAAGTGGCATCTAGCAAAACGTGAACATGTATTGCAAATAAAAGACAAATACATACTAAAACTAGTAACAATTATAGGGGTTTTGGTTCTTGAATCATGACTTAGAATTCCAGTCTATCTAGGCAATACATCACCAGAAAAATTGCAAATGGCACTGCCAATATCACCTCATTGAACAAGACAAACACGTATCACACATCAAATTCACAACTAACGCAGAAATTGTTCCAGCAAAGTAAGACAACGATTGCAGTTAAAATGCAGATGTGCAACTAGAATAATAAACCTACAGACACATATATGTATATATAATATGGGAATGTACCTTCGGAAATGAGGGAGAGAAGGGGGTTAAAAGGAGCGAGGCCGACGAAGGAGCCGAGAGATGTGGGTTTGGGCTGAGAGAGGATGAGACGAGAAGATGGTAAAGATGGAACCACCGAGAAGCGTACTGAAGGAGGATTTTTGGGGACGGAAGGAAGGGCTGATCTGAGAGACGACATACTCCATGTAGTATTAGCTGAAGTACTCGCACACGCCATTGCCACTCTCTCTCCCTCCCTCTCCGCAGTTAGGGCTTAACTATCTGTTGCTGCTGAGACTGGGAATGTGGATTTGGTTTGTGGATAATTAGGTGTTCGTCCCGCTTAGTTTTATGTGTTTTTTTTCAGGGCCCCAATTATATAGATTTTCCTTTTCATAGCGTTTTTTATTTCCTATTTTTTCAGACCCTTCAACTTGGATGGGTTTGATTCATGATGGTGCTCAAATAAATGGGCTTGGGGTGCACATCGGGCGGGTTGAAATATCGATCCTATCATGGTCGGGTTAGTCGATTTGGCTTAATTGATCTAATTCGGTCAAATTATATAAAATTTTCACAATAGTTCAATTTTTGTAGATAAAAACCCTTACCCTATTTATACACACATACAGTTTCACAAAAAAAAATTTGGTTAAGCCCAGTCAAAGAAATCAAGCTAAAAATCAAGTTGATCTTCAGTTAATTTTGGGTTAAAATACTGCTAAGTAAAAATTGTTTAAAAATTTCAATGCAAAATTCTAAAAAGTTACAAACAAATCTTAGAAAATAAATTATCCAAGGTTCATGGGAGTGGGTTTAATCTTTGGAGCCCAATTTTAATTTATTTTTTTTGCATAATTTTGGCAAATCTTTTACTAAATCTGAAAATTTGAAATACAAGAAAAGTTTATAAATTTTTAATTTTTAATATTTATGTAAAATAAAATTAAAATTACACTAATTATAGTATCATCGGTATTAACATATCTCTTGCTAATTTATGATAATTGAATTTTAGTTAAAAAATATAAAATACAAACATCACCCAAAGTTCCGAAAAAATCATACTAGTCATGTGATACAACTGATTTTATTTCATATCATATAAATAGTTATATATTTTAACCTTTTTCTATATTTATCTATTAGTAGGTTAAAGTTTATCTATTAAAAGGTTAGAAATATTTTGAACAACAATACAATTCGTGCAATATCACATAAATTGAGATACGTTTTATTTGACATTTTAGTTTAAGGTGGCAAATTCCTCGACCCAAAAAAGGTTTTCGCCCCATCTTTAATGAGACAGATTTGGTGGGCTCCTAGAAGAAATAAGGGAGGTAATGATAATTTAAATAAAAAACGCACCTCGGATTCAAGGCTGGGATGGATTTAGTGTTTAACTTGTCCCAGCTATATATATTATATGTGTGTGTTTAAGAACAATGTTTGTATTATGCGTACTTTATCCTTCCTGCTAATGTGGCCTTCTCCCTTACTGACACCTGTCCAAAATAAAAAAAAACAGTCAATTCCCATTTGTTCGGGTTAAACTCGTTTCTCGTAATCACTCTCTTCTCTCTCTTTCTCTCAACGATACAACTTAATTAGAACTCAGTCCTTCAATTCGCTACAACAAATCCATTCTAATCTTCCCATCTATCTCTCTCTCTCTCCTCCATCTTAATCTTTAATCTGCTTGAGTTTCAAAAAGAGATCTAAAAGTTTTAATCCAGAAGAAGCAAAGGCAGAAAGGGCTTGGGCACGGGAGGTGCCAAACATCACCGGAAAGTTATCCGGGACAACATCCAGAGCATTATGAAGCCAGCGATCCGCCGTCTGGCCAGAAGAAGTGGTGTGAAGAGGATCAACGGGTTGATCTACGAGGAGACTCGTGGAGTTCTCAAGATCTTCCTCGAGCACGTCATTCGCGATGCCGTGACCTACACCGAGCATGCTAGGAGGAAGACGGTGACCACCTTGGACATGGTTTATGCTTTAGAGAGGTAGGGTAAGACTCTGTATGGATTCGGTGGTTGATTATCAGTTATAATTTGGGGGGTTTTTTAAAACAAAGTTGTTTTTGTAAATAGTGGTTTTAGAAGTTAACAATATTAGGTGTTTTAAATTGCTGTAATTGTGATTCTGTCATGGGATTGCAAATATCTGGTTTTTAATGAAATTGCCATGTTTTTACCTCTAATTGTGGTTTCTGTTCAATTTTTATTAAAATCTCAATCTCTGTTGATAGCTTGCTTCATTTTATTAAAAGTGGTTGATGTGTTGAGATTTGTTTCATAAAACACAAGAGAGAGAAAAGAGAGTGATTACAAGAAATAGGTTTAACCCGAACAAATGGACTTTATTATTATTATTTTTTTGGACAGGTGTCAGCAAAGGAGAAGGCCGCGTCAGCAGGGAGGATGAAGTCCTCCCTACATAGGATACAAGCATTGTTCTATGTTTAAAATATAAATATGCCCTTTAAAATGTTAAAATGTGCCTTTAAAGTGTGAAAATATTTATATGATACCTTTATATATATATATTATTGATGATATGTTACGGTTCCGTATTCAGTTGGTTGACTCTCAACTAGTTAAGAGTTAGAAATATGTAGGGTCTCTATTGATATAACGGAATCATCTAAAGAGTAAAGAAATATAAAATGGATGTTGTCTAAAAACTAAAACTGAAACTATGACGCCCCTTCACTCTATATTTGAAGTTACGAGTCTGTGGCATCGTCCAACGCCCGACAAAGATCTAAACGATAAAGAAATAATAGAGATCTTGCGACATTACCTGTTTTTTCTTCCCATATCTATCTCGTAGTGCTCCCAAGATTTTATAGATACGTGTAATTGCATATGTATATATGGTTTTTGTTTATTATAATTATTTTCTTTCATTTACTCCTCGTAAGTTTTTATTTTTTGGCATGCAAAGGGATACGTCTTTTTTATTCTTCTTAACAAATACTCCCTCCGTCCCATAATAATAATAATCCATTTTACCCCTTTTGCATGTCCCAAATTAGTTGTCCTCTTTGAAATGTCAAAGTATCTGTTATTTATATTTTCATTATTGTCTTTTATCCTTTTAAAAAATTTCAAACTTTTTAACTATATATATTTAAATTAAAAAGGACAATTTAGTAATTTTAAAAGGGAACAATGCATTAATTGCATGTCCCCTTAAAAACTTTAATTTTTAAAAATGAACATCTATTGTGGGACGGAGATAGCATTTTATTTTTATCTTTTTAATATTCTTGTCGGTGTTTGACTTTTTCAAGTTAAAAACCTTATGTTCTTTCACTGTCGGCACAACTTGTCTCTTTTTAATCCGGCTTACCACGTCATTAAACGGAATGAGAAGGGTGGAGTCGGTACTCTGTTTGCTTCGTGGAGGTTGAAATGGTATATTGATTAAAAATATATTCCAAATTAGTACTCCCTCCGTTCCACAATAGAAGTCCATATTTAGAAATTAGAGTTTTTAAGGAGACATACAATTAATGCATTATCCTCTTTTAAAATTATCAAATTGTCCTTTTTAATTTAAATATATTTAGTTGCAAAATTTGAAATTTTTTTAAAAAATAAAGGACAATGATGGAAATATAAAAAAAAAAGATACTTTGACTTTTCAGAGAGGACAACTAATTTGGGACATATAAAAATAAAATAATGAATTACTAATATGATATGGGATGGTAGGAGTAATAGGAATGGCATGATAAATTGTCTCTTATCATGAACTTTCCAATTTAATCAATGAATTGCAAGAAATATTAATGATTTATTTAGATTTTCACCAATGTTAACACAACTGTTAGCGTGCAAGCTCTCTTTAAAGCATGTTTTAGCCAATCCCATGTTAGATTTGGAATGGCCTACTATAAGTCACATAAAACAAGAATGGAAATGCGAGAGCAACAAAATTAATTAACAAATAGTAGAAATTGGACAGAGCTCGCGTGGAGTGTGAAAGTTGGAGCGCAGAACATGTGAACGACATTAATTGAGAAAAATTACGTGACTTAGGCCTACTCCTTTGCGGGTCAAATCTCACCCCCTAATATCAATAATTGTTTTTGTTGGATGAAACTTATATCGGATCAAAAGAAAACGGATTCGGATCCTTAATTATACTGCTGGAGAACATCATTCTGAGAAAGCAGTTCTAAAGTAAATGGTGGCAAAGTTGCTTTTGCCTTCACTCTCTTCCGCGGGGTTTATTGCACTGTGCTCATCCAGAGGCCTCCGCCCCATCGCCACCTCCGCCGCCATCAACACCACAAAGGCCGCCTCTGGTCATCGCTTCCACACAATCAGAGCCTCGTCTTCGTCCAGTTACATACACCGAAAGGCAAGTGTATCAAACAAAACGCATATTTCAGTTACTTCGCTGTTAACCTAATTTCATTCACAAACACTTGAAAATGCACACAGATGGAGTCGGAGTATTACACATTCGGACCTTACAAGATTCACCACAAAGAAGTCTTCTACTCTACCGATCTCTCCTACGCCATGGTCAACCTTCGCCCTATTATTCCTGGTAAACTATATAATACATAATACATAATACGTCTGTCTATTTATATGCGTGCACACACACTTGAGTTCAATTTGCGTAGCAGTGTATGTAATTTTGTGCCTACATCAGATAATGGCGCTGCTGGTGGACTAATTTAGGGTTTTCATAGGGTTTGTTTTGCATTATTTTGATGACAAATGAACGTGATTATCTCATGTTTATGGTTTTGTTATAAAATATGAATTATGTTTTGGGCAAATTGTTTCTATCACTCAATGCAGGTTGCATTAAGTAAATTTGATTAATTGTAAGGTTATGAGAAAATAAGAGAGACTGATTCTCGATATGTGGCAAAAAAAGAAATTGGCATGTAACCTTGAATGTTTGATGCCCCTATCCTTGGTTGAAAGATAACATTCATCATAGTTGTGTCATTATATATTTTTTTAACTATCATAGTTGTGTCAACTTGCTACATTCAACTATGAATTGGGATTTTTATTTTATTTTAACTTTTATATATAAACATGGATAATAAACCAATGGGAGAGAGTGAGAGACCATTATCATGGGCTGGTTCTGCTGATGTGACATCCCAATTATCACTGTCAGGCCAAAAGAGAAAAAAGAGAGAGAGAGAGAGAGAAAAAAAAAAAAATCAGTCCTATATTGATGTTTGTTTTCAAGAACCACGAAATAGTCATTAATATCTGATTGTGTGATTTACTTCTCTTTGTTTTTGCAGGTCATATCCTTTTGCTATTTTTATATCACACTTTTACAGATTGATGTTCCACGACATTATGCATTCTGATTACATTGATTGGGGTGTGCGCACAGTTATAATGGGGCAGAACCAGTTCAAGCAGTTCTTTGATGGGTCACATATTTGTATATTTATGCAATGCATTGATCTAGCTAGGCGTTTTGTTCGGATTGAGCTCATTAATTTAATCTGCTATTTCAGTCGTGATTGTTGGCTGCCATTATGGTGCTTTTCAGAGCATTCTCCAATATGACAGTCATGGAGCATAAGCTATTTTCATCACGAACTTGATCTTTGAGTCTGTTGTTGAGGCTGATTTTAAGTAAAGGCATGGGTTGGGCCTCACCTGCGGGTGAGTTTTAAGCATTATAGTGTTAGAGAGTTAAGAGTTGATTTTTAGCATTCTACATACGCGCGTGCACGCGCGCGCGCGCACACACACACACACACACGGAGTGAATTTGGGGCGCAAGAGCAGTTTGACATGTAATGTTTGAAAATTTGAACCGACATTAATATTCATGATGTTCTATATGATCCTTTTTACTGGTCAATACTTGTACATATATGTCTGTCCGTTTTTTTCTCTCTAGAAGTTGTCCCTACAACCCCATGACTCATGTGGCTGACGTTCGAACTAAACGAGATTAAGGCTTTCCCCATGAGAAAACGGACTGACTCCTAGGGCGGGGAAGGAACCGCGCCTAGCTAGTGGTGTTTGTGAGGAACCAACTTCAGTTAGTGAAGCAAGGACTCAAATATAGAAGTCACAGTGTGTTTGCCTAAAGGAGATGAACAAAATCCCGTTGTCTTTGTGCTAAACTCTGTCTGCATAAGTTGTGTACAAACATATCATAATTCAGGTTAAATTATTGTTGCTTGATTCCATCAAATATGAGATTATGACCTTAATCTAGTAATGCAATTTCTGAACTTCAATCCTATCAGTTGGTTGACTTGACTTTGAGTACATGTGCTTGTTTGCCCAAGGCGTGAAGTGAAGCGCTTTATTGATCTCACAGTTGACGAGACCAGTGATTTATGGCTTACAGCACAAAAGGTTGGCAGTCGGCTTGAATACCACCACAAAGCATCTTCACTTACACTTACAATCCAAGTAAGACAGCTGCAATACTAGAACTCATTATTCAATTAGTTGTTTTCTTTATTTCTTTCCCCCTTTTTTTTTCAACAAGTGTACAATCCATGAAATCCAATTGGGATAATTACACAAATTGATATTACTGAGCCTCAACGAAAAAATCTGCATTTATCAACTAGACATTTCCTCACCTTTATTAAATCCCACCCCTATTTTTCAATAAAATTCCCCTCTAAAACAATGGTAGATTTGTGATTATCATGAAACATTATTTGATTCATATTTGTACTGGCAAGTAGTTGAGTCAGAAAATGGACAAAGTCAATGCCAAGTTGCTCTAGATGTGGTTGTATTAGGTCAATAGGGAACAGTCCCAGGACCTGGGCTTGAAAGTTGAATCATGCCCTCTGGGATTGGGAGGACTGCTGAATCGTCCTTTGTCTATATTAATGGATTACCCGTTGCATAGCCCTCAATAAATATGGTAATAAGAAGAAAAAAGAGTAATCCATAATTAAAGCCAAAAACAGTTTGATGACTTTTGGCTGAGATTTAAAGTTCCCAGTTCTGCCAGTTAACCAATCAAATTCCACTATTTTAGATCCAACCTGGTTTGATCCATTGCACCTTATGTATCAGTTCTTTTTCCTTAGGGTTTTTGTTTTTCTGTATTAGGGACGCGTTCCCCTTTTGAACGTTTTTCTAATATATTTTACTTATCAAAAAAAAAATGTATCATTTCTTTTAAAAAAATCTTCGACTGCTACTGGTGCATTAATATTTGATAATGAATGGTTTGTGTCATTTTAGATTTTAACTTCTTGATCTTTGTTTGGTACCTTAGGATGGCCCCCAGGCAGGGCAGACTGTTCCTCATGTTCATATCCACATCATCCCACGTAAAGGTGGTGACTTCGAGAAAAATGACGAAATCTATGATGCTGTAAGATAAAAAAATTTCACGAGTGCTTTCTATTGATTATCTCCATTTTAACTCTTGCTGAAGAAATTTTGTACTGGTTGGTTGTCTGCTTGTCAATTCATGATATAGATAGACGAGAAGGAGAAGGAACTAAAACAGAAGCTCGACTTGGATAAGGAAAGGAAGGACCGCAGTCCTGAAGAAATGTGTCAAGAGGCACATGAATACAGATTGCTTTTCTCATAGATGTCTCAATAGGCCGCTGTTGTAGCCACCAATAAATACGTATGCCAAAGCAATGGCTGTTTTGTGCCATTGTACCAACTACTTCCATAGTTGTACATTGCTTTGGTTATAGGGACACAGTTTAATATTTACTGGTGATGCAATATATAGTTTATTCAGTTCCTAGCAAGTCACCTCCTAGCACATTTGATGAGTATCTTGGCCAATTGAATAATGAACTTATTTTCAGAAATAGGTTCAAGTATATTATTAGATTTTAAATTTTCAGTTCGTTGGCAGTTGAGGTGCTTTTGGTTGTATGTAACCTTCTTTCAGCAGCACAAAAGAGATTGTATTTTTTATTTGCTTCAGGTGTATTCCCTTGCTTTCAGCATATGTTTCTGTCACCACTATGGTCTATGGAGTACTTTGCTTTCCTCTCTCTGGTTATTTTTCGCATGAATGCATTGTGCAGAAGTAAAACTAGTGAATTCATTGAGGAAACCTGCTTTTAGCATATGTTTCTGTTACCACCATTACCCGTCTATGGAGTACTTTGCCTTTACCCCTCCGGTGTTTTGAGTTCTCAATGAATGCGTTGATCCGAAAATCCTCAGAGGGACATAGCAGCTGGTGGTATTGGCTTCAATTGGCTCCATCCCATGAGGTAATGATGAAATTTTTTGTCATAAATTCAGTGAAAGTTGGATTCAGTGGTTCACATAAAAGATCACTAAGTTGGAGGAAAGAATTCAGGTAGTACTTGATCAATAACAGATATGGCAGTCAAGATTCCTATCATCTTTGTACATCTTTCTTTCCCCCCTATACTTGAATAACTAAAATGCCTTGAGTACTTTGAAGACCACCCAAGACCTGTTAAACATAGCTCGAGTGTTTTTCATTGCATTGTATTTGCTTCCATGGATTTCGGATTTGTTGTAGAGAAAAAGAATCGGTCACGAAACCTCTGATCCTGAAATGAATATGGTGCCCTAATTTGATCAAAATCTTCTCTCTGATTTTTTTCCTCCCTCTTGAGGGAAAATATTCCATCAACTTAATCTTTGATTAGGATAAGAAATTCATTGGTATTAAAACTACGGGAGGGGTGGTGTGCCGCAATTTGGATACTCTTCCTACTAAAATCACTGGATAATACCGACAGATGTTACTAATGCTATATCACTGAAAAATACAACAAATGATATATGTTACTAATGGTTTGCTATATTTAGGTGTTATCCTTACTTTTTTAATTTTCTATAAATTTTAAACAAAGAATAATATCATTTTTTTTTTCTTTCATAATTTATTTAAATATGAACAGAGGTTATTACTATATATATATATTTTTACTTCCTTTCTCTTATAATAGCCATTCTTTTATTTTCTCTCATATTTATCCAAACGACCCTAGGGCATAGCAAAAAAAATATTTATCCAAACAAAGCTTTAGCTATGTTATAATTTTTTTTACTTCGACCAAACTATGAAGGAAATAATTACCGGTCTTATTACTAATAGACCAGCGGTGATTTTTTAGTATTTAAGAAAAATGGTCTGTATAAGCTAATGTAATATAGTTATGCATAAAGGGGCAAGGATTTCTTGTCACTTAATTGTGATATGGTTTCTCCCGAAATTGAAAATCCAGTGCGAATGTGTTTTTTTTTTTTAATGAAAAATTGCTCGGGTGTCATGCTTTGTTCATCTCAGTGGCAGTATTTTACACTATAGAAAATAAAGATCTGAATCATTGATAGCGGCCTAACTTGTGAAAATCTTGGATTACACAAGGTGTTCGATGATGATTGAATTTCATCTAAAGAAAATGATGGTATTTTGTGGGGGTAATAGTATGATTTTTCTGTAATTTTAGTAGGGGCAATTCTAAACTTTTAGGGGTATATAATACAAAAAATAGAAAATCAGTAGTATATAAGAAAAGAAAAAAAAAAATTGTGTTTTTTTTTTTTTTGTCATTTCAATGATACATAATAGTTGATAATATATAGTGTTTTATTAGATTTTCGTACTTCAAGCCAATTGCTTGGAAGATTGATTCCCCTCCAATTTCAATAGTAATACCAATATATGATTGAGAATTACCATCGTTTTTGGTTAATAAGTAAGAAAAAAAGAAGAGGAGGATGGTATTGAACAAAAATAAGATGCGACTATCTGAATTCTTTTATATCTCAAGTCATTTTACAACAAAAGAAAATATTTCCAAATACCCAAGACTTGTTAAACATAGCTGGAGCGTTTTTCATTGCATTCATTGTAATTTGCTTCCATGGCTCTCAGATTTGCTGTAGAAAAAAGAATTGGCCACGAAACCAGGCTAATGATACATATAATCATTAGTAAATAGTGTGTTACTATTTTCTAAGGAATGAATTATTTTATTACTAATTAAACAGGATAATATTAAACGTAAAAATCAATGTGTGATATATATATAAACGGGAATTGGAACTAAAGAGTATAGTGTGGGGCATTAAAGGTCTGCCTTTTACCATTTGAACAACACTGCCCACCTATTGACCATCTATTCATGAAGGAATTAATTCAGTGACTCATTATTAATCAATGATTGTGACGGAATTAATTCACCGGCTCATTATTATTTTATTTTATTTACAAACCCACTTAGTATTAAACGAGAATAGCATTAAAGGGGAAACCAAACACAAAATTGCCTTTTTAAATTGGAAGGGTAACACAGCAAAACGATGATCTGCTTGTAGCGGAAGTGTTACGGTTGGAATGAAGGAGTGGAAACCCCTAAGCTGTATATACAACTTCGGGATTCAAATCATCTCAAGTGGAATAGTAATTCCGAATCCTCTCAAGTGGGATAATAATTTATATTATGTTCAATTTGAAATGCAGCCTCTCAAATGGAACATCTTCAATTTGAGATGCACCTAACAAAAATATTAAACTAAATATGATGTTCACGTGAGGAGATTTTATTTCAGCTCCTCTCTCTATATACACACACTGAGTATATATATATATATATATATAACTTCTGAGATCTGAATCCTTCGTTCCATTTGAGATGCACTTCTGAAAAAGTTAGATATAACGTTTTAACCAGTGAAGATGGTTTAGGATACTATTTCCGTCCTAGATTAATTATTTATTTCGAAAACTTTGATTCAATGTTACCATTTATTTTTGAATCATTTTAGATTATTTTTAGTTATATTCTTTTTTATATACTTATATATTAACTATATATCAAATTAGATATCTATTTTGTTAATTTAATTCATAATAAAAATTGTGAGTAAAAAATTTTAAAATGAACAAATAACATGGGAAGGGTGTCCTACATGCCTAGGGCAAGTTGACATTCCAATTTTTCCCCAAAACATCCTCACAGACTGAACAGATGCACTGTTGGGCAGCAGAGATTTTCCATATATATAAGACACAGACGCCGTATCATCGAACCCTTTGTTTCTTGATATCTTCTGGTATTTCCTCTTTGAGCAAAGAAAATGGAGTTCGCTCTCAAGTCTATTTTCTTATATTTTCTCGGGAAACCACCTTCTGGATTATTATTTTTATAGTCACCATTGTTAATTTTCTTTCATATTGCATTACATTATTGTTTCATCAAACCTTTTTATAGCAAACTAAATCATCATGCGTATATGATTTACTGTATATAGATGTACGATTCTTGAAATTACGAAAATGACATTTTACTTTTCACTGTATTCTGTTACAGAATTGTTTTTGGGTATTCGACCTTTCGTCCATACCAGAAAGAGATTATTCAGAAAATTTTAGAGGGAAAAGATTGTTTGGTAGTTATGGCCTCTGGAAGTGGTAAGTTTGTTCTTTCTTTCATTTCGCATTCCTTTTCGTGTGTGTTATTTCCTTAATCAGGCTGAGACACAGCTCTATACCAATCTTTTGGAAGAAAGAATGAAGCTTGCAAGAGCCACCGGAACTGCTCCGTAAGTTATTGTTATTCTATCAACATGCCAACATCTTAGTGTAATTCACTTTCTGACTTCTTAGGAACAACTATTATCCAATCAACACATACACTTTTCTTTTTCCTATCAGTCAATTTTTTCTACTTTGCAGATATGCTATATGTGGATGTGGTTATCAAACATTGAAAAGGATGGCACTGACAACGAGGCTAGCGAATGTTGATGGTGTTAACCAGGTATATCATAATGAGTGAGATGTTATTAGTTGCTAGCGAAGACTAAAACTTTAATCTTTACTCGGCTACATATTGCTTGCCTTATGAATTTTTGAGCTCTAAAGAGTGTTCATCCTGAGTCTGTCATTCAAACAAATACTTGGGGGTTTCAAGCTAGACTTGTTTTCGAAGCTCAGACATATGAGAGTTCAGGGTTGGCTACACAAATTGATTCAATACAACATTTAAGAGACTGTTTCTGGATATTGTATTTTTGTTAGGAGACTTGAGGATTTTTGAGAAGCAAAGAAACATGCCGATGGAAGTGAGGATGGGATTCCAACTCACATGCACCACACATTTTTCGCACTTACTTTAGGCACAGGGGCAAGGACAGAGAGGAACATATTTAGGATTATTTTGTTTCTTTTTTTTAAGGATTTTCCCTTAATTCTAAGGTTTTATTATTTGTAATTTTTGCAGTTCTGTAATATTTATAATTGGAGTTTGCCTGTACATATATCTTATAAGATAGTTTTTCATGCTTTGATGAATGATTAATGATTATTTGAGTATTACAGATCTTTCTTCCCCAATTCATGTTCTCCTCTGTTCATTTCTCTATCTCCTCTTATTCTCTCTTCTTGGTGATCTCCTTCTCTTCTTCCTCTCCTGCATCAATTTGATATTTGAGCTCAGTCCATCCTGTATAAGAAGTTGTGATGATAATGAGGCACCTGCACATTGCCACATAAGGGTCTCAAGGTTGACCTCTTAATTGGTGAACTCTTCCTCTAGTAGTGCCTCTATTTTTAAAATCTGATGATCTCTGCCTCTAGCTGGTAATCTTTATTTCTAGTCTCGTCAACTTCTTTGTAGGCATATGATCTTCAACTGGTTCTGTCCTCTAAACAAGAATCTATTTCTGAGGACCTCCTCTCTGTGGACAAGTCTTGCCATCAGTGTATACATGGCAAGGATTTCTTCTCCTTGGTTAAGTCTTGGCGTGAGGAGCTTTTCTTCTCAGATTAGCCTTGCTTAAAGACTATGACAACAGCCTTTTCTCCTTTACTAAACCTTTATGTGACTCTTCAGATAAGCATGACTTAAAGATCATCAAGAGAACATCATAAACATACTTGAAGATTATCATGAGAATATCCTCTCTATGAATAAGCCTTTTTTTCCTCAAATCATTCTCCTATGACTAAAGTAAAGCTTCAATGACGTTGCAGCACTTTTTAAAAATGCGCGGGGATCATTTTCTTCAAAGTATTCGACATCTGTCACAAAGCATAAACTTATTTTTGGATGTGGACGATGTACACAACGGTATTTCAAAAAAGGTAGCTTTGAAAATGTGGCATGGGGATGGTCTCTCTGTTCAGAAAATTGCTGCAAGTCTTGTAAGCAATCACAGCTGTGACTTGATCTTTATCTGCTTAACCTACATGCTTGTGTTTTTATTTTGTTGCAAGCCTTTACCTTTATCCATTTTATTTTGGATTTATGCCTGTAGGATTTCCCTGGTAAATCACATCCAAGAAAAGAACAAACTGTCGTTGAGTATATTCTCGATGCTGCAAAAGAGGGATGTAGAATTGATTGGACCAGATTCTGTGAGGAGATTGGACTGACCCGTGAGCTGTCTACAGATATTCAGGGTGCAATTTTGAAAGTTGGGTCAAGAGACAGATTGAAGCCTATTAAAAATGAATTACCAAAAGAGGTGAGGTTTGTCAACTACGCACGGATGTAATTTTAGTAATGCAATTATACAAGCAGAAACATAACTAGACTTTTATGCAGCATTACTCTGCATTCTAAAATACTTTATGGACTAGAATTCTGCTTTTCATTCATTTTTCCATTAATCAGAACAGTGAACCTTTTGCTTAACTGATGTCAGATAAGTTATGCCCAAATAAGGGCATATTTGGCAATGCAAGATTTGGGGATATCTGCAGAAGGAACCGAGACAAATGTAAACAACGCTATTAAAAAAAAGGTGTATCCGGTTCCAAACCATAAAGAAGAATTAGCTTCTGTCAGGTCTAAAGCCTTGAAAATGTGGCATGGGGATGGTGTGTCAGTTCAGAAAATTGCTGCAAGTCTTGTAAGCAATCACAGCCGTGTCTTGATCTTTATCCTCTTAACATACATGCTTGTTTTTATTTTGTTGCAAGCCCTTATCCATTTTATTTTGGATATATGCCTGTAGGATTTCCCTGGTAAATCACATCCAAGTAAAGGACAAACTGTCTTTGAGTATATTCTCAATGCTGCAAAAGAGGGATGTAGAATTGATTGGACCAGATTCTGTGAGGAGATTGGACTGACCCGTGAGCTGTCTACAGATATTCATGGTGCCATTTTGAAAGTTGGCTCAAGAGACAGATTGAGGCCAATTAAAGACGAATTACCAAAAGAGGTGAGGTTTATCAATTACTCATGGATGTAATTTTAAAAATGCAATTATACAAGCAGCACCATAAATAGACTTTAATGTAGTATGACTCTGCATTCTAAAATACTTTATGGACTAGAATTCAGCTTTTCATTTATTTTTTCATTAATCAGAACAGTGAACCTTTTGATTAACTGATGTCAGATAAGTTATGCCCAAATAAAGGCATATTTGACAATGCAAGATTTAGGGATATCTGCAGAAGGAACTGATACGAATGAAAACAACGCTAGTACAAAAAATGTGTATCCGGTTCCAAACCTTAAAGAAGAATTAGCAGCTGTCAGGTTTAAATCTTTGAAAATGTGGCATGGGGATGGTCTCTCTGTTCAGAAAATTGCTGCAAGTCTTGTAAGCATTCACAGCTGTGACTTGATCTTTATCCGCTTAACATACATGCTTGTTTTTTATTTTGTTGCAAGCCTTTATCTTTATCCATTTTATTTTGGATTTATGCCTGTAGGATTTCCCTGGTAAATCACATCCAAGAAAAGAACAAACTGTCGCTGAGTATATTCTCGATGCTGCAAAAGAGGGATGTAGAATTGATTGGACCAGATTCTGTGAGGAGATTGGACTGACCTGTGAGCTGTCTACAGATATTCAGGGTGCCATTTTGAAAGTTGGCTCAAGAGACAGATTGAAGCCTATTAAAAACGAATTACCAAAAGAGGTGAGGTTTGTCAATTATGCATGGATGTAATTTTAGAAATGCAATTATACAAGCAGAACCATAACTAGACTTTTATGCAGCATTACTCTGCATTCTAAAATACTTTATGGACTAGAATTCTGCTTTTCCTTTCATTTTTGCATTAATCAGAACAGTGAACCTTTTGCTTAACTGATGTCAGATTAGTTATGCCCAAATAAGGGCATATTTGACAATGCAAGATTTGGGGATATCTTCAGAAGGAACTGAGACAAATGTAAACAACGCTATTACAAAAAAGGAGTATCTGGTTCCAAACCATAAAGAAGGATTAGCGGCTGTCAGGTTTAAAGCTTTGAAAATGTGGCATGGGGATTGTGTCTCTGTTCAGAAAATTGCTGCAAGTCTTGTAAGCAATCACAGCCGTGACTTGATTTTTACCGCTTAACATACATGCTTGTTTTTATTTTGTTGCAAGCCCTTATCCATTTTATTTTGGATTTATACCTGTAGGAGTTCCCTGGTAAATCACATCCAAGAAAAGAACAAACTGTCGCTGAGTATATTCTCGATGCTGCAAAAGAGGGATGTAGAATTGATTGGACCAGATTCTGTGAGGAAATTGGACTGACCCGTGAGCTGTCTGCAGATATTCAGGGTGCCATTTTGAAAGTTGGCTCAAGAGACAGATTGAAGCCTATTAAAGACGAATTACCAAAAGAGGTGAGGTTTGTCAATTACGCATGGATGTAATTTTAGAAATGCAATTATACAAGCAGAACCATAACTAGACTTTTATGCAGCATTACTCTGCATTCTAAAATACTTTATGGACTAGAATTCTGCTTTTCATTCATTTTTCCATTAATCAGAACAGTGAACCTTTTGCTTAACTGATGTCAGATAAGTTATGCCCAAATAAGGGCATATTTGACAATGCAAGATTTGGGGATATCTTCAGAAGGAACCGAGACAAATGAAAACAACGCTATTACAAAAAAGGAGTATCTGGTTCCAAACCATAAAGAAGGATTAGCAGCTGTCAGGTTTAAAGCTTTGAAAATGTGGCATGGGGATGGTGTCTCTGTTCAGAAAATTGCTGCAAGTCTTGTAAGCAATCACAGCTGTGACTTGATCTTTACCGCTTAACATACATGCTTGTTTTTATTTTGTTGCAAGCCCTTATCCATTTTATTTTGGATTTATGCCTGTAGGATTTCCCTAGTAAATCACATCCAATAAAAGAAAAAATTGTCGTTGATTATATTGTCGATGCTGCAAAAGAGGGATGTAGAATTGATTGGACCAGATTCTGCGAGGAAATTGGAATGACCTGTGAGCTGTCCACTGATATTCAGGGTGCCATTTTGAAAGTTGGCTCAAGAGACAGATTAAAGCCTATTAAAGACGAAATACCAAAAGAGGTGAGGTTTATCAATTTCTCATGGATGTAATTTTAAAAATGCAATTATACAAGCAGCACCATAACCAGACTTTATGCAGTATAACTCTGCATTCTAAAATACTTTATGTACTAGAATTCTGCTTTTCATTTATTTTTCTATTAGTCAGAATAATGAACCTTTTGCTTAACTGATGTCAGATAAGTTATGCCCAAATAAGGGCATATTTGACAATGCAAGATTTAGGGATATCTGCTGAAGGAACTGATACGAATGAAAACAATGCTAGTACAAAAAATGTGTATCCGGTTCCAAACCTTAAAGAAGAATTAGCAGCTGTCAGGATTAAAGCTTTGAAAATGTGGCATGGGGATGGTGTCTCTGTTCAGAAAATTGCTGCAAGTCTTGTAAGCAATCACAGTTGTGACTTGATCTTTATCCGCTTAACATACATGCTAGTTTTTATTTTGTTGCAAGCCTTTATCCATTTTATTTTGGATTTATGCCTGTAGGATTTCCCTGGTGAATCACATCCTAGAAAAGAACAAACTGTCGTCGACTATATTCTCGATGCAGCTAAAGAGGGATGTAAAATTGATTGGACCAGATTCTGTGAGGAGATTGGACTGACCCGTGAGCTGTGTATTGATATTCAGGGTGCCATTTTGGAAGTTGGTTCAAGTGACGTATTGGAGCCTATTAAAAACGAATTACCGGAAGATGTGAGGTTTATCAATTATGCATGGATGTAATTTTAGAAATACAATTATACATACAGCACCATAACTAGACTTTTATGATGCATTACTCTGCATTCTAAAATACTCTATGGACTAGAATTCTGTTTTTCATTTATTTTTCCATTAATCAGAACATCTAAACTTTTGCTTAACTGATGTCAGATAAGTTATGACCAAATAAAGGCATATTTGACAATGCAAGATTTAGGGATATCTGCAGAAGGAACTGAGACAAATGTACACAATGCTATTACGAAAAATGTGTATCAGGTTCCACACCATAAAGAAGAATTAGCAGTTGTCAGGTTTAAAGCTTTGAAAATGTGGGTTGGGGATGGTCTCTCTGTTCAGAAAATTGCTGCAAGTTTTGTAAGCAATCACAGCTGTGACTTGATCTTTTTCCGCTTAACTTACATGCTTCTTTTTATTTTTTTGCCAGCCTTTATCCAGTTTATTTTGGATTTGTGCCTCTAGGATTTACCTGGTGAATCACATCCAAGAAAAGAACAAACTGTCGTCGAGTATATTCTCGATGCTGCAAAAGAGGGATGGAGAATAGATTGGACCAGATTCTGCGAGGAGATTGGACTGACCCGTGAGCTGTCTGCAGATATTCAGGGTGCCATTTTGGAAGTTGGCTCAAGAGACATATTGGAGCCTATTAAAAACAAATTACCAGAAGAGGTGAGGTTTATCAATTACGCATGGATGTAATTTTAGAAATGCAATTATACAAGCTGCACCATAACTAGACTTTTATGCAGCATAACTTTGCATTCTAAAATACTTTATGGACTAGAATTCTGCTTTTCATTTATTTTTCCATTAATCAGAACAGTTAAATTTTTGCTCAACTGATGTCAGATAAGTTATGCCCAAATAAAGGCATATTTGACAATGCAAGATTTAAGGATATCTGCAGAAGGAACTCCACCCAGTCACCAAACTCAAGGCTGATGAACATTCTAATGACACATGAACGAATCACGAAAAGGTTGATGGACCAGGAGGTAGTTCTGTTGCACTGGAGGCTACGGGAGAGATACTGTATTAAACTGGCTTAGGAACTTTGATGAGGGGGTGAGTGAATGGTTGACCCTGCAGACTGCAGTGTCATTTAAAAGCATAACTTTGTCTTTTGCGGTCCTTGTTTTAGAAAGCAATAGAAATGCTAATGTGGCTACTATGCAGGTTCCTCCATTTGATATTTTGGAGCACTTCAAGGGATCTACAGAAGAGACTGGTTGATCTGCGGAGCTGCCTTGAAAGTGATTTTTTGGTATTGAAGAAAAATAGTATGTATAAACTAATGTAATATGGTTATGCATGGGTGAGGTACAAGTGTTTCTTGTGCAGGTAATAGTTGATAGAATGTATCCGTCTGTTACTTAATTGTTAAAGGATGAAATAACAATGCAACCTGATCCAAATTGACAAAATTTGGTACTGAAGTGTAGAATCTTTCCTCATTAAAATAAGTAATTGTTGGTTGATACTTGGTACAGATTCATTCTTTCTTCAAAAGCTTATTTTGCTGTAGACTAGCTTTACATTTGAATAATTTTATATTAGTGATGACACTAGTCATTTTCAAGATTTTCTGTCTGTCAATTGGTTTGATTTAAATAATTCATATATTCTCTTGCGCTGTTATCATTTTATGTTTGTTAATAAAAATAATAAATAAAAAAACTCTTTTTTCCTAGAATTATATAGTGTTTCTATTTATTTTTCCAAACATTTGTAGTTGATTTTGACGATTCATTGAGCTGGATAGTTTCATTTTATTATTTTTATCACCTGGAGATCTTCCATTTTGATTTAGTATATTATTTGTTCTTTTTCTTTCAACCATTTTATTTATTTTTTATTAATGATGTTATCCTGGAGACCCTTATCTGTCCAATTTAGGTCCTGACCTGAACAAATTGTTTGATGCTATGTTCCAGTTGCAGTGTCATATCTACGATTGGATGCTAATGATGTATGCAGCCATGGTTAAAACTTGTGTTTCAACAGTTGATGTATTATGTTAACAAAATTAGGAATATTTATAAAAGTGTGTTGGTAGTGGCTAAAGCTGTTGAAGAAGTTTGGAATCCATGGAGCACTTTTGGGAAAGGTAAAGTAGATGAACTTATTTCGGAGCAAATTTTCCCAAAAGGATTATAGAGTATTTTGAGGTTAACACTTCCACATCGGAAAAAAAGATGTCTAACCATTGTGATATGAAAATGTGGATTGGAAAAATAATAAAAATATTTATATATATTCTTTTTAGAATTTCTGGACTTCAAATTAAAGCAACAAGAACAAGAACAAGAACAAGAACAATAATAAATTCATTTAAACATATACCTGGAATTTGGACTGGTTATAAATTTTGTATATAAATAAACTGATGGATTTCGTCAGTATTATTGATCATGCTTAGTTCTCTCGTCATTGATAGCCCACAGACTGCCTTTATTACCTAGAATATAGTCAGCAGTTTGATATTGAGCATCATCAATGTGTTTGATCGTGTTTATGTCAACTTGAAACTAAAACCTTTCATTCACTCTTAAGTTTTTCATATCTAGGCGATATTTTTTAAGTTTGGAAAATTTGGATGAATACTGCTGTGTTGCCTTGGATTTTTATTACTGTTAGTTGAAAGCATTAAATTCTGATAAAAGGCTTTTGGCTGTTTTGACTAGCACATTTGAATGTTCTTGGTGGTCTTAGAAAGGGGGGAATAAAAATCAAGGCTATTTATGTAACAGTCTTAAAGAGGTTGAGGAACGGGCCATGGTTCAATTATTGGCATTAAGCTCCATGACAATGGAGTGACGGGTTGTTCCTTAAGAGACGCAATGACATCATGAATAAGTTATATCTATCATTGACTGCAACTCTAGCCAAGCGGATATTTTGGGGATGTCATTTTAACTCACCCCACCCCGTCCCGCCCCTATTGGGATGGGTTTGGGATCTCCTAATAGGGTTGAGGGCGGGTTTGGGAAGAGAGTTTTAAACCCGCAAAGCCTGAACCTGCCTCGAGGAATAATTATTATATAAATAAATACTTTTATTAGCTATAATTTTTCTTTTTTCTTTAGTTCTTAATATAATTTAAAATTTTAACAACGTTCTTGTTATTATGATTGTTAAATATTTGACTCTTAAATTTTTTTAACAAAATTATTTTAACTTTGTTCAAGTTCAAATGGATTTTTCTTAAAAAAATATGTATATCAGGGCGCCTTGAACCCACCCCGAATCAGGTTTGAGAAAAAAAATTCCTTGGTGGGATGGCTTTTGTGAACTCGCCCATTGACATCCCTACTGTCATTTCAAGTTTTGGAGAGAATTAGTTTAAATCTTTTTTATCCAGATGCGTTCATAATGGATGACACTTCATACTGAGATCACGAGCTGCAATATAAGAGAATACCAATAACGAAAAAAATAAATTAAATGGAAAATTTGTAAAATAATGTGATGAATTTTAGTTATTATAACCACTGTTTAATGATCAGAAATGTTTTTATTTTCTCTATTTTTTCTGGATACATCATAAATTCAGCTCATTAATTGTCTTATATGATGTTTATAATTGTCATATTTGTTTTAGCCATTCATGATTAGCCACACCACCTTCTTGTTTCAATGATGTCACAGCAATTAGGCAGTTTCTTAGTAGTATTTGCAACTTGATGCAGGTTTTTTGATTGAGACTGTTAAAGACATATACAGAACTGTAAGGTAGGTCATTTTCTTCCGGATTTTTAGAGCACTAATTATGCATTTGTGGCATGCTTTCCAGCTCTTTATCCTCCATATAGCATTTTTAATATCAGCATGTCATCTACTATCAATTATGGGAACTTCTCTGCTGTAGCAGTAAGATATACTTCTGATGGATACACTGAGATTGATGAATATTTTTCCATGGACCAGTTTTAGTGCAAAAGGAGGACAGTTTCTGAGCTCTTCCACACCTGATCATCAACCTTCACTTTTGCCCGTGACGAGTGAAATGGTTGGTGATGAGGAATATAGAAACACATTAGATGATGTTGGAGAGTTCAATGTTTTGGCTTCTATGGGGTACGAGAGATTGTCACAGGTTTGTATTTCTAACATGCGAAACTGAAGCGTATATGAAAAGGCTAAATCTTTTTCCCATACTTTCTCTACCACCACTTTCTTAGTCATCTTCATTCACTCTGCCTCCCATATTATTATAAAATTAGGCACTTGGAGATTTACCACTTCTTTCTTTTATGTACCCAATCTCTGCCCTATGGTTTGTCTGGATAAATGTAATATCTTCACCGCAATATTCTCTTAAAAATCTGCTCCCAGAAGAATGCTGGCTGCATCTCTGCTTTAATATACTTGAAACTTTTTTCCCAAAAAAAAGTCACATTAAGAGACTTTATGATTGGATAATGATATATTGTCTCAACTAGGCTGATTGTTTTTCTTTCACGTGCTTCATTTTCGTTCCCTTTGAGCAATATTTTTGGTCAATATCTGTTAAGTTGCATGTGTGTGTTGTTTCCTTTTGCAGGCTGAGACACAACTCTATAACTATCTTTTAGAAGAAAGAAAGAAGCTTGCAAGGGCCATCGGAACTGCTCCGTAAGTTATTGTTATTCTATCAATAGGTCGAACATCTTATTATAATTCACTTTGTGGCTTCTTAGGAAAGCAACTATTATCCAATAATCACAAACTTTTCTTTTTGTCCATCAGTCAAAATTTTCTACTTTGCAGATATACTATGTGGTGATCAGACATTGAAAATGATAGCATTGATAAGGCCATCTACTAATGTGAGGCTAGCGAATATTGATGGTGTTAACCAGGTAACTCAAAATGATTGAGACGTTGATTCGTATTAGTTGTTAGTGGAGAATAAGACTTTATTCTTTACCTGGCTAGATATTGCTGAACTTTGTGAGCTCTAAGAATGGTCATCCCAAGTCTGTCATTCAAACAAAAACTTTGGGGTTTCAAGTGAGACGTTTTTTAACAGTCTTGTCTTTGGCCATACCCTGTCCATGTCATGTCTCAGTTGGGCAACATCTGCCCATTTCTCCTCATCGAGACACATGTCACGATTAAACCTATTCCCTGATTTTGGCTTGGGAATTAACTTACCCTCATCCCTGAACTTGTTTATGGGCCTCTACTGTACAGTGTAAATAGGAAGAGAGGACCTAAGGAGAAAATCTCAAATATTTTAAAACCCATACCTTTGAAAACTCTCTAGCATATTATAAGACCTCAGGTTAGTTGAAGATTTGGATCATCTAGTCCTGTAGATGTCAAGCTGACCTCTAGGCTTCTGCCAGATCTTTTGACCTGGATTACTAGTGCTTATGTTTGCTTGGATGAACAATTAGCAAATGCCCATCTAAAGGCAACCGAAAGATCCGGAATCATATGATCTTAGTCTAGCCGGGAATAAGAAAGATCTACCTATCAGCTTGAAGAGCAGCATTGATGAAGTAGCTCTTCGCTATCAGTGTTGTTAAAGGACCACCTAGGTGTGCGCCTAGGCTCAAGGCACAGTTCTAGCGCCTGTTGTCATCTCAGGTGCACTGATGTTTACAAGGCGCGCCTTGGCTGCGCCTCATCTTATTTGTCAGGCACACCTCACTGTTTTTTCTTTTTTTAAAATGATTATTCTATTACTTAAGCCAAAAAGGGTACTTTTGGCAACTTAATAACCAAATAAGAAAGCATAAGCGTACGAGAGAAGGAACTTTTGTTCAAAAGAATAAACAAATAAGAAAGCCCAAGTGTTAGTGTTAACCGAACATAGAAAGATTAAGACTGTGAGACCAACGACAAAGCCCTAGTTGCACAGACAAACGACGAAACTTTTGTTCAAAAGAATAAACAAATAAGAAAGCCCAAGTGTTAGTGTCAACCGAACATAGAAAGATTAAGACCGTGAGACCAACGACAAAGCCCTAGTTGCACAGACAAACGACGAAACTTTTGTTCAAAAGAATAAACAAATAAGAAAGCCCAAGTGCCAGTGTCAACCGAACATAGAAAGATTAAGACCGTGAGACCAACGACGAAGCCATGTCAGTTCTTTCTTCTTTTTCTTCTCTCTCTTCTCCTCTACTCCTCTCTTCTCATCTTTGTTTACTTTTCTCTCTTCGTCTAGTTCTCTTCTCTCTGTCCCTTTTTTTTTTTTTTTGGCTCTCTTTTTTCTCCTTCTTCTTCTTTAACACTATCTCTCTTTTCTCATCCACTTCTAACTTCATCTACTTCTTTTGTCTCTACACCATTTTTTTTTTTGGCTCATTTTTTATTTTATTTTATTTTATTTTTTGTTGTTGTTGTTGTTGTTGTTGTTGTTAATAGATTCATCTACTTCTCTTGTATCTGTGCCAATTTTTTTTTTTTGTTAATAGATTTATTTCTTTTTGTTCTCTGCTTTTTTTTTTTTTGGGCTTTCTTTTTTCTCCTTTTTCTTCTTTAACACTTTCTCTCTTCTCATCTACTTCTTTGTTTTTGCGCCATTTTTTTTTTTTTGGTTAATAGATTTATTTCTTTTTGTTCTCTGTTTTGCCTTTCAAAAAAACAAATTCTGCTTTGCCTTTCAAGAAAACAAATTTGTGCTCGATTTTATGGTTCTTGAATGCTTATTTGGTTTGATGGATTTACTTTTTTATATTTGATATTAATTTTTAGAATATGGATACGACTTATGAGATATGAATGCTTTTATGATAGTTTAAAATTTCAATTATCCGCCTCACTTCACTCAGGTGCGCGCCGCGCACCGAGGCTCCAAAGGACCTCCAGCGCCTTGGTGCGCCTTGAGCCTTTAATAACACTATTCCCTATATAAAGGAGTGCGACCAAACAAGGAAGCCCTCTAGGATAGAGTATGGTTTCTGCTACTTTTTGGTGGGGACTGGCAGCACCCTACACCGACTTTCCCCTTTCTTGAGTAACAACTGGATATAGATTACATTAGGATGTTTCAAACCACATTATACTGCAGCTTGGCAGTTTATATCTACTTGACAGTCAAGGAAGTTCTTTAAATTATCTCTCTACGTTAAATGCTTCCCTCCGCAACCCCCCCACCACCCACCCTCCCCGCCACATGTATTCTCCTATGACTAAACTAAAGCTTCAATGACGTTGCAGCACCTTTTAACAGTTCATGGGGATCATTTTCTTAAAAGTATTCGACATCTATCAGAAAGTTTAAACCTTTCTTTGCATGGGGAGACAAATGTACACACTGCTACTATAAAAAAGGTGTGTCCGGTTCCAAGCCATCAAAGAAATTTAACACCTGCCTGGTTTGAAGCTTGGAAAATGTGGCATGAGGATGGTTTCTGTTCAGAAAATTTATGTAAGTCTTATAAGCAATCACAGCTGTGACTTGACCCTTGTCTGCTTAACCTTATGCTTAACATACATGCTTGTTTTTATTGTGTTGCAAGCCTTTATCCGTTTTATTTTGGTTTTATGCCTGCAGAATTTCCCTGGTAGATCACATCCAACAAAAGAACAAACTGTCTTCAGTATATTCTCGATGCTGCAAAAGAGCGATGTAGAATTTATTGGACCAGATTCTGTGAGGAGATTTGACTGACCGGTGAGCTGTCTCCACATATTCAGGGTGCTATTTCGAAAGTAGGCTCAAGCTACAGATTGAAGCCTGTTTATCAATTACGCGTGGATGTGATTTTGGAAATGCAATTATACAAGCAGCACCATAACCAGACTACTGAAAAATAATTTGTAGACTAGAATTCTGCTTTATTATTATTTTTTTAAAATTTTTTCTGTTTATTCATTAATCAGACAGTGAAACCTTTGCTTAACTGATGTCAGATAAGTTATGCCCATATAAAGGCATGTTTGACATTGCAAGATATAGGGATATCTGCAGAAGGAACTCCTTCCAGTCGCCACCTTAAAGCTGACGAACATTCTGATGAGACATCAACGAAATGCCAAAAGGTTGATGGACCAGAACGAAGTTCTGTTGCACTGGAGGCTACGGGAGAGTTCTGTATTGAACTGGCTTAGGAACTTTGACAAGGGGGTGAGTGAATGGTTGACCCTGCATCATCATTTAATAGCATAACTTGGTCATTCGCGTTCCTTGTTTAGGAATGCTAACATGGCTAATATGCAGGTTCCTCTTATCTGATATTTTGGAGCACTCCAAGGGATCTACAGAAGACACTGGTTGATCTGCTGAGCTGCCTTGAAAGTGAATTTTTGGTGTCAGCTAATGTAATATAGTTATGCTGCTTATGCATAGGTGAGGTGTGCCGGTACTTTTTGATAGAATGTGTCACTTATTTCTGATATGGTTTCTCCTGAATCTGAAAATCCTATGTTGTGTTTTCTTATAATGGAAGATTGATTGGGTATCTTGCTTTGTTAGATCGCAGCGGCTGTATCACACTTGAGAAAATAAAGATATTAATCATTGATAGCATGTGGCCTAACTTCTAAAAATCTTGGATTACAGGTGATGTTAGATGATTAAATCCCATCATCCAAGAAAAGTGAGATTTTCAGAGTGGTTATTGACTATATTTTGTATTTATTTATTGGGTATAAGTTTCAGCAAGTGCAATTGCAAGTGCAAGTGCAAGTGCCTTCTGCAATCTAATAATTTTTCATTTTTTTGATTTGCTTAATTACAGTTAATCTGAATTTTCAATTCCAAAAAACTTTTGCAGCCTGGTCCTGGTGTGCAATAACTAGAAGAATTTGGTGTTTGGCGGGGGATAATTACATGTTGATGATGTGATGCAAAGTATGTCTCAAAAACAATTACTTGTTAAAAAATACAACACTTTGGGGATTGAAGATGGTAGTTATGAGTTCGGTTATATAATAACGATTAGCGCGTAATTAACAAGGGAAAAAAATGGTGAAAATTCAGAGTTTCCAATTATTTGGGGTCAGCTATATAAATGTGATGACAATGGCCTTGAATTCTTTAAATTTAACTATAGAATTGAGACGGTTTTTTGACATCAGCGAAAAGTCAAATAAATTATTTAAAATATTTTTAAAATCAATAGTTGAATATGGAGACATGAAAATGTGATGACTATTGGTCATGAAATGTGATGATAATCAGTTATGAAAACTATGATCCTGAAGTAAACCGTGGTGCCCTTATTTGCTCAAAATGTATTTTTGTAAAAGATAGCTCTCTATTTTATTTATTTTTCATTTTTCTCAAGGGAAATCATTCTCCCGTTAATTTTTGACAGGATTAAGAAATTCTATGACTGCTAAGTCTTATTTATTATCTTTATAAAACTACTCTCAAATATAATATGAAAATAAACATATAATGAAAAGAGATTAAACATGAATACAACCCATTCATTTATCCATGAGAATACTTATCTCAAAGTTTTTAGCCTACCCAATCCATCTATGAATCATTATTTAAGAAAAATCCTTTGGCATGCAATTATTTATTTTTCAATCAATTAAATGATACAGATAATATAGGCATGCAATTATTTATTTTTCAATCATTTAAATGATACATACAGTGATAATATAGTGTTACTTAAATTTTATTAATTCAAGCAAATCAATTAGGAGGATTGGCTCCCCTCCAATTTCAATACCAGTACCAATATAGTAATTGAGATTTGAGAATTACCATTTCTTCTGCTAATAAGTTGGTGAACTATGAAATAATTAATTCATTGTCTTATTACTATCTTCTTTATAAATATGTTGGTCTACAACGACAATGAGTCCACAAAGGAATCAATTCACTGACTTATTTTGAATTAATTCACTGCCTTATTACTAAATAAACGATGACAATATTAAACAAAAACCAATTATATTGTCAATGTTAATATTATCTTAATTTTATAATACGTCTGTCTAAAACGACAATGAGTATAAAAGAAATCAATTTATTCACTTATCATTATTATTATTATTTATATTTTTAATATACCGACTTATTATTATTATTATTATTATTATTATTTTATATTTTTATAAACCTACTTATTATTATTAACGAGGATAGTTTTAAACGGAAAACCAACCGTAAACTTGCCATTTAATGGGAGCGGTAACACGGTGAAAAGATGATGTGCTTGTGGCGTAAGCAGTACGCTTGGGATGAAAAGAGCGGGAAACGAAGCTGTATATATATGTGTATATAAATCCACTTGTCATCGAACCCTTCGGTTTCTTCATTTCTTCTGATATTTCCCCTTTCCAGTGTGTGACGGCAAAGCAAAGAAGATGGACTTCACTCTCAAGGTCTCTTTTGACCCCTCTTGGATTAATTCTTTTTTATATAGTCGCCATTTTTACTCATTTTCTTTCCTCTTGCATTACATTCTTGTTTAATCGCACCTTGTTAGGGCAAACTATATCATCATGCGTATAAGATATGTACACACTCTTCTTGAAATTACGATAAGGGGTGATTTACTTTCCATTGTATTCTGTTACAGAAATATTTTGGGTATTCGACCTTCCGTCCATACCAGAAAGAGATCATTGAGAATATTTTAGAGGGAAAAGATTGTTTGGTAGTTATGGCCACTGGAAGTGGTAAATCACTCTGGTAATTTTCTTGTTTCTTTCTTTCGCCTTCTGTTTTGCTGCAAATTTGATTTTAAAGAACTCAATTACATCGCAATAAACATGTTTTCTGTTGACCCTTTTTCTTGAAATATGCAATGAAGCTATCAGGTTCCTCCGTTGATAGTGAAGAAGACTGCTGTAGTCATAAGCCCTCTCATATCTTTGATGCAAGATCAGGTTCTTTAGCTATTACCAAATTTCTGGCTGTTCTCTTGTATACGTTTTCATATATTAATATATATATATATATAGGTAATGGCTTTAAAAGAACGAGCCATAAAAGCCGAATATCTCTCTAGTGCTCAGACCAATTCCAGTGCGCAAAGCAATGCCGAGAATGGTCAATTTGATATTCTGTACATGACTCCAGAAAAGGCATGTTCAATTCCAACCAGGTAAACAATTCTGAAATGTTTCGTTAAAGAAAGATATCAACCCCTCTTCTATGTTTTACCGATGGACGTTCATGGCATTGTTGCAATGAAATTGTTTGTCTAATTTTCCTTTAACTGATTCCTATGAAAGTAATTGACGTTTGTTGTTTATTTTGGATTGTCATGATCCGGCAAGATGCAATGGAAAATACTGCTGGGACACCATAGCACATTTATTTGTAAATGAGTTTTGTGATGATGTGTTTCTCTGGTTGTTTGTCTTTCTGTATTTTTCTTTTTTTTTTTCATCTTGATATAAACATTCATAATATCATTCCACTTATTGAACTAAGAAGGGGGTGATCTATATTTTTAACAAGGCAAATCCCACCATCTTGTATTTTTGGCATTCCCAGTCTCCATGTGAATGTCTTCTGGATCTATTTAGTTGTTTGAAAAATTAACATGAAGCATGTCAATGAGTTCCAAACACTTGCCATATCTAACCTTGATCTATGTATGTATGTGTGTACATATATGTAATTATGTAGTGTGATTCTGTGTATTCAATATGTGAATTTATTTTATTTATTTATTTATTTTTGCTATGTTTTGTGCTTGTCTGAATATACAGTGTGTGCATATCTTAGCCACACAAACTCCATGCGACATTGTGTCCTGTTTCAAGTAATAAGACTTCTTTTCTGATGCAAATAAGAAGCTTCTTTTTGGTGATGTGTAACAATTAGATCTCAACTTGCTGCTCTTCTGAATGTTTTCAAATATGTAACTGATAATATTAGACTAGATCTCTATGATCTGATTATTTTTACCATTTACTTTCTGCTGCTGAATTTTTATCTACATTATGATGTGAGTTGCTGCTCTTTATATATATATATATACACACATTTTGCAGCTTCTGGTCAAAATTGCTAAGCAAGGGGATTTGTTTGATGGCAGTTGATGAAGCACATTGCATTTCAGAGTGGGGTCATGATTTCAGGTTAGTTCTTATTGCTTTGTACTACTAAATATTGTAGTTACAGATTATGAATTTTCTTGTCCATTTGAAATCTATCACTCTTTCGGCTTTCGTTGTGGATGCGGGCTTCATGGTTAAAGAAGATAGAAGGGTTATTTACACATGGGTATGCTTGTTTAACTATAAACAGAATATAAACCTGTTGTGCTGGGATTGGACTTAAAGACAGGTTGGTCTTGCTCAGTTCAGGTTGTAGTCCTGAATTTAAGGCTCCGTGTGTGTGTTTTCAGCCTGCATAATCTTACATTGCTATAGTTCTGCAGGGGTTGACACAGCGACTAGTTTATTTTCTCTTTAACTTATTAGTTGTTACCCTCCTCATTGTCCCCATAATGGGTCCCTTGTACATGTGACCTTTGTTCTGCCACCAATCTCTGACCTCACATCCTCTCTTTGATTTAAAAAATTCTTTTGAACGTCTCATTTTCTTTTAATTTCTGACTTCAAATTTTTTAATTTTTTTTTTTTTTTATATTCTCATTTACATTTTTCAGTCAGGGGCTTTACTTCTATTGGCGTAGACAAATTAGTCTTCCGAATTCAACCATTGAGCTTGATCCCAATTATTTGGAGATCAGTGATAAAAAAAAAAAAAAAATAAATAAAAAAATAAAAAAAAAAAAATAAAAAAAAAAAAAAATAAAAAAAAAAAAAATTGTTTCGCAATTCTCTTTTGAAATCATATTTCTATTCAATGGCTGTATGAATGAGCCTGGTCAAGTCGATTAAAGTAGGATGCTCAGGCTTGGTTTGAAAAACTAATGAACTGAGAAATTAGATTTGAGGTTGTCTTATTTGTCCCATGGATAGTCGGAAATGAGTCATGTTTGAGTCAATTGTCGTTGGAACTTGAGTTACTCAATTCATCTTACAGTCTTGTCGTGCTCGGCTAGCAAGCCTATTGAGCCGAGTCATTTTCTGCTTGGGCTTTGCCCTTTAGAGTAAATTCCAAAATGGGATTAATCTTGGCTCATCTATCTCATAGACACTCATCAATTAGCCTATAATTGAGCAAATTAAGAATTTAGCTTGAGTAGCTGGGTTAATCATAGAGTCCTGTTCAATTGTATGCCATCTTTCTTTTGCTGGTATATATGCTTTTTTGAAATGAGAAACAAAAATTTTGTTAATAGAGGTGGACAGGTAGAAGATGAGGGCTGATGTCCTGTAATAATCTTTAAGAATTTATTTATCTATTTGTTCATTCCTATCATCATTATTAATTTATTCTCCTTTTCCTTTTTAACATCGTATCTGAGATTTTTTTTTGTTTCACAGGGTGGAATACAAACAGTTAGACAAGTTGCGTGATATTCTCTTAAATGTTCCATTTGTTGGCTTAACGGCAACTGCTACTGAAAAGTGAGTATTTTCATTTATAAGTTGAGATTTTAAGTGTTCTTTTTGATCTGTGATAGTAGTCCATTTTATTGTTATATAGTGGATACCAAGATAATCATTGGTTTGAAGGCAAGGAGAAAACCATATAGTTATGAAGAAAGAGAATAGTGTACGAAATAATGGTGAACAAGCTACAGTGATAGCTACTATATACTAGTCACAGTTTTAGGTGTCTTTGTAGTTTTTCTCTTACCAATTTTGTTTGCTACCTTGATAGCGAGAAGAAACAATTAACTGTAAATTCATGGGGAAAATATTTTTGTTGAGATCTGACATTTGTTTCATAAGTCAATTCAATCTCCATTTAGTACAGGTTTTATCTCATTTATTTAATTTTTTTATGTTTATCTCCAGGTTATACTCTCTCTCTCTCTCTCGTAGAATTTCTTGTTTTTTGCATATAGGTATTCTTAAAGTTACCTCTTAAATCTATTATTTTATTTTGCTAGATCTTTTCTGCACTTAAATCATGAATTCTTATGAAAGCTTATCCCACTATATTGAGTTACATTGGAGTCTATCATGTGCTCCCAATGAAGTTAAAACTTGTCTCCTCCATACACAAACAAATGCATGCACGCACACACACACACACACAGTAATTGGATCACCTTCACATTTCTTTAGACTCAAGTCACTTAACTCAATGAATCTTGTTTAACCCCAAGGGGTTGGCTCAAGTGGGTAAGTCACTTGGCCCTTGTGCCTCAGAAGCATCACATGATTATTGTTTTACATGTAAAAGATTGATTAGAGTTTTCTTATGTGATGGGTAAGCTGACATCAATATGTATTCATTCCCTCTTTATCCATTTATCGGTTGTAGAGGGTTTATGATATAATTCTATTGCCCTTTTTGTCAATCTCTTTCACCTTTTGCATCCAAAATATGATATTTTGTTGGTTGTTATCCATCTTAATGCATTTAGTATTATTACAATGGTATTACACAATTTCCATATTTGCTCACTATAAATATCGTTATTCATGCCATTGCACGTGCACGTGCATGTGCATGTGCATGCACATGTGTTTAGTCATATATCACTCTCTATACTGTTATTTTGTTCTAGTTTTTTGTATACTTGTTATGAGTTTGCTTGTACTTTTTATGCTGGAAGAAAAGGTCTTCAGGTTTTTTTCATCTTTCCAGGGTTCGGAATGACATTATCAACTCCTTGAAGATGAAAGATCCTTACGTCGCCATTGGCTCATTTGATCGCAACAATCTCTTCTACTGTGTCAAATCTTTTAATCGTGGTGTCTCATTTGTGGATGAGTTCATCAGAGAAATCTCTACTTATGTTGCCAATGCTGGTTCGACTATTATATATTGTACAACCATCAAAGATGTTGAAGAGGTAATTCTATCTTTTATGGTTATTTTATCTTATATTTTTTAAAACTGTGTGCATATACATTTATGTTTACATGAAGGATAATCATGTCACATTAAATATATGCATTTGAATATGGGGTTAAGAAAATTGGGTAGGGTGGCCTTCATATGGACCATAATACCATTATATGAAGAAAGAAATATAAAGAAGATTAATCAATAAATATGACAGAAATGTTGTTCTTAGTTGCTGATATTTGGGGCACACCTTTAGTGAGAATATTACTTGAGTTATTCAGTGCTATGTGGAATAACTATTTGCTTTGTGAGTCATGTTAAATTGGACTATGAGCATTATTGACAGATGTTTTGTCATCACAATCTGGGCTCATGGGTCCTCCAGTGTTGTGCATCATTGTTTTTACATCGTGTTGAATAACATCTATAGGTGCCTTGTTATCACAATACGTGCTCATTCCTATAAGAACTTAACTCTAGTGACATTTTTTTTTTTGGGCTGTTTAAGATGCCAACTCTTGCATGCCAATGAATTGTTAACAATTGATTAGTAAAAATTTAAGCTGTTTAGAGGGAGGTATAACAATATATTTTACATTGTGATACTTCTAAATGCACTCAACGTTGCAACTATGTTTATGTTTTTTTCTTGTCCTGGTGGTTGCTATTAACCATGGTTTAGCAGCTGAAGAGTAAATTAATGATCGATCGTAGATGGTGCAATGGCAAAAAGCTGGGCTGACTAGTGTTTGGATGCATAGCTACTTCTTGCAAAACAATGCCAAAGGTTAGGTCTGTATATAGTTCCCTCCCAGCACCTTGTGTAGGCTGGAACAACAATCGGTGATGGCCTTTTAATGATAGATTTAGCCCCTTTGGCCTTTATTGTTCTTCAAATCAGACTCAGGTAGCCTGCAGTTGAACTCGAACTCGAAAAGCTGTTGATTCGATCCTCAACAAGTTTGGTTTTCCATTCGAACCACTTAAGCAGTTGATTAACTATGAGTTGGAGAGTTTGTGAATGACCACTTGGCCTGGGCACGCTCGCAGTTTGACAGCACCAAACAAATCCTTTTTTCTAACTACTTGGCTTGGGCACATTGGCAGTGATTATAAAAAATACTTAACATTTGCTATAAGTAGGGAGTGATATTTGAACCCTGGTTTTTTTTACTCCTCAATATTTTAGCATTTGTTTAGAGTAGATAATTACTGCAACTTTAGAGTAGATAATTACTGCAACTCTGAGTTGGAGAGTTTGTGAACAACCACTTGGCTTGGGCATGCTGGTAGTCTGGATATATAGATCCTAAACATATTCCACAAGTGGGGAGTGAAATTGGAACCTCGGTTCTTTCTAACTCCTCAACCTTCTAGCTTTTTTCTAGGCTACATGATTGCAGAAACTTTAGCTTTTCCACTTAATTGCTTTGTAAGTAACATTCCATAAATAATCATATAGACATTTAGTTCACCAATCAAAAATATATATTATACTAATAGATATATTTAGATCATGTATAGACACTTCTGTACCTAAAAGCTGATTCACTTGTTTCTCAGTTCATGGTTTATCATTTGTCTTACAATATTGATCTTCTAAAATGATGGTGCGGGGTCTGCGGGCCGTGCGGCTAACAATGCTCTCTTTAATCTTTATGTGGATAGCTTTGTTGGATATGATTATTGTAAATAGCTAAACTGAACCATAGGGTCTGGTTTTGATTAATACATTGTTGTCTTGATGGAGAGTAGACTTCTCATGAATTTTCATTCATTGCTTGTTGGTTCCCTATTGTGGTCCCATATTTATATGATTATATCTCAACTCAACAAGCTTTAATCCCAAGTACTTTAGGTGGGATACATAGTACCTTGTCTAAATGTTATTTGTATCCCCTTGACACTATCAATTTCAATAGGTGACTTTTCTGTGCTGGTTGTATTTGGCCTCTGATGGACATCCACCATCTCTCTCTGTTTTTTTTTTCCCTCTCCCTCAAACAGTTCTAAGAGAGTGAAATGGGACTATTTCCAACATATCTTTTACTTTTCCAATAAAGGCTTGAGTATTCTCTTTTCAATGGGGTTTGGTCATCACCATCCATAGAGTAGCAGGATGATTGGGAATATGTGGCCCATGTCAATGGGTCTTTGGTGGCTTTCTCATTTTTGTCTTGGTGCAGAAATCTCTCTCCTCTCAATTTTCTTTCCCTATTTTTTTTTTTAAATAATTACAACATATATGTGAAGAGTAATAGGCTCTATTCATTGGCTTTAATAGGCTAGGATAAATACCCATGATAGCAACCTAATCTGTGTGGTAGTCAGATGAAGCTAACCAGGCTGCATACGATATCATGCTACTGTTGTAAATTAATTAATTTATTTAGAGTATGGGGTGATTTATTTCTATATTTTAATGGACTTTCATCTTCTGTTGGATTCTAGTGTCTTATTCATGATTTTATTGTTAATTTCATGATTGATTATGAAATCATTTTTGGCTCTTCTAGCTGCATATTATTATATTATTGTTCATGATTGCTTATTACACTTTTTCATTACCATATCTTCCTTAGATTTTCAAGTCACTTCTGGAGGCAGGAATCAAGGCCGGATTTTATCATGGTCAAATGCCCAATAAAGCTCGGGAGGAGTCACACAGGTTTTTGGTGCATTTTGTTTTATATAGTTCTGGGGTAGCATGGTAGTTAAGAATTGCACAGGATATTTTCTCTTTAGTAGTCTTTACCCTTTGCAATCATAATTTTTCTTAGAAAATTTGTACTCCTTGAATAATGTGTTTTTTTTTTTTTCCCTAAAAAATAATGTGTTATTCATATTGGTGGCCTCTTGTTCTATGTTCAAAACCTCTCTACCTACTTGCCCAACCTAAAAATTTGTCAGTGCATTGATCTTCCTACTCGTTATTGCAGATCATTTATTAGAGATGAATTTTATGTCATGGTTGCCACTATTGCTTTTGGCATGGGTATTGATAAGCCGAATATAAGGTATGTGATACACTATGGCTGCCCAAAGAGTTTAGAATCTTATTCCCAGGAAAGCGGACGATGTGGTCGAGATGGTATTGCTTCTCTTTGCTGTCTCTATTATACAAGAAGTGACTTTGCCAAAGCTGACTTCTATTGTGGAGAAGCACATTCAGTATGTTAACCTGAATCTTCTTGGTTATAGATCTTACCAATGTCTTGTTGTGAAAGGTTTCTTTCATTTGTAACGCGCTACAGTTTTTTTCTCTAACACATAATTGAGGTTGTTTTTACTGAATTTGGCGGACCTTTGGCTTTTCATTTGCCAGGCAAATCAAAGAAAATCTATTATGGAGTCATTTATGGCTGCACAAAGATATTGCATGCTAACAAGTTGTAGAAGAAAATTCTTGCTAGAGTACTTTGGGGAAAAATACGTGTCTGATAAATGTGGTATGGATATTACTTGAGTCTATTGCTTTTATAGTTTGCATTTTCCTTTTTATAAAAGTTCTGTTTCTAACTTTTTAATTGAACTTAAGTTTAAGTTTCCATCATATGCATTAATTTTGTGCATGTATATTTGTTGAGTATATGTTGATTTAGTTAACTTCGTATAATGTGCTATAGTTGACCGATTAGGAACCTGTGCATGAATTGGGTACTTTAATTTAATTCTACACTGGAGACAATTAATATATATATATATATATATATATATATATATATTCTGAGAAATTTACTCTTTTACCTAGGAATTATATCCTCTTATCTATCAAGACTATGAATAAAGCAGGTAGTGTGGGTTTTGCTAATCAAATTATAACTGTGGGGCTTAAATCTTTTGTTCTATTTATATTTAGTTTTGGAGTTTGGCTGAGTAAGATATATTTAATGATTTTTAGTGAAGATGATTGGAAGACTGACAGCACCTTAGGTGGCTGATAACTAGCAGATAACTGAGCTAGTTAATTATTGTCATGATGAGGTGTTTGAGTTAGAATTTTCAGAATATAAAACAATATTTGCAACCAATATTGGAACTTGGAAAATATGCACTATTGTACCTAGATATAGTTGGTTAAGGTGGATCCTTCATGCTATGCTAATGTGGGTTAATAATTGTAATCAATCAAATGTGATGCTATTATCATAAATACCTTACTGGGATGTCTCTTGGAGAATTTTGTCTCAAGGAAAGAGGGAAGGTAGCAGGTATCCAGTTTTTGTGCCTAATTTCCCTTGGACAATAATGGCACATGGAGTATTTTCAAACAATAGCAGGGTTAATTATTGTTAGAATGTATATTCTTTATAGTGTTGGGTCATTATGTAATTACCCATAGTAGTTAGGGTTATTTTGTAATTATGTAATTAGGGTGTCTAACCCTTTTCTTATATAAGCCTTATTTAGAGGGCTGAAGAGAGGCAATACAGTATATACATTTCCTCTCAATCTCTCTCTCTCTTTCTCTCCCTATCTCTCATGAATCTGAACATGGTATCAGAGCGGTATAAATTCATGGGTGTGGGAAACAATAAATGTGTTGCCCTTGTATGAGAGCGACTGGAATCGTGAGTATATCGTCGGTGTCTTTGTCGGAAGTTCATGTCGCCGGTAGGTTGAGAACATCGTCCTTAGTCGCCGTCAGATCTGAAGCCCGTCGTTGTCGTCGTCAGATCTGCAGCCTCCTTCGTCGCCGTCAGATCTGAAGCCCCTTGGCCGCTTGTGTTGTTGCCGCGTCGATCGTCAGCAAGCTCGCCGACATCCACCGTCGTTGTTGGCAGAGGTGAAGCTTCATCGATTCGCCTTTTTTTTTTTTTTTCTTTCTTCGTAGGAAGTTGCGGAGGTTGTGTGGTGTCGCCGCTGTGTGCTCGCCGGAGTCTGTTAGTGGGTTGTGAAGGAGAACAGCCCTGTTTGGTGGCGCAGCTACACTATTCCAATCCTGGTTTACTAAAACCGGGATAACAGAGACTTGTTTTGATCCAATCCAGTTACCCAGATCCGATCCAGCTACCCAGATCCGATCCGGTTTCAGATCCGGTTCCGACTCCGAACCGCTTCAAGCTCCAACCCAGATCCGGCCCAGATTCGACCCTGCATTTTTCCCAGGTTTTTTTTTTTTTTTTTTTTTAATCCTCTCCATGGCTTCCAGTTCCGATCTCCTATCTCCTGCATCCTTTAATCCTCCCATGACTTCAGTCAAGCTTAATGGAAAAAATTACATTTTATAGGCCAAGTCAGTGGCCATTTTCCTGAAAGCCAAAGGCTTTGGCGATCATTTGGTTCAAGATAAACCCAAAAGCAGTGATGCTAATTTTAGTTCATGGGAACAAAGAGATGCTCAGATCATCTCCTTAATGCTGAATTGTATTAAAACTCATATTAGCTCCAACCTGTTATATCTGGACACTGCCAAGGAGATATGGACCCGACTCCAACAGTTATATTCTGGTGCTGGTAATATAAACAGAGTTTATGAGGTGTGTAGACAATTTTTTGATCTCCAGCAAGGGACTCACAGTTTAGAAGAATACCTCTCACGAGCAATGGGACTGTGTGAAGAAATGAATATATATCAACCTCTCACCTCTGATGTGAAAAGCATGCAGCAGCAACGTGAGGATTTTAATGTTGTTCGGGTTCTCACAGGATTGTCACAAAAGTATGAACCTGGTCGTGCACAGATTTTGGGTAGCTCTACACTTCCCTCTCTACCTGATATGTTATCCAGACTCCAGCGTGCCACTTTATCTAGTGGCTCTTCAGGCAGTACTTCCAGTGGTGTCACTGCTCCTTCTAACAGTGAACGTTTTGCCTTAGTTGTGAACCAGGGTGGCTTTCAGTCTTCTCGTGGAGGTGGTGGTGGTCGTCGTTTCGGCCGTGGCCGTGGCCGTGGTCGAGGCAAAGGCAGAGACTCCAAAATTTGAAATTTGCGGTCTTACCAATCACACGGTCAATTACTTTTGGGATCTTCACGGGAAACCGCCATCTTCTTCCTATGCACATCAAGTGACTGCTAGTGATGGGGATTCTTCTCTCTCTGCCACATCCACTGCTCCACATGTGGCTGTTGAGACTGCTATGGTCACGATTCCCCGTGATGAGTATGCTCAATTTCTGTTTCAACAACGGACTTCCATCTCATCTTCCATGGGGTCCTTGGCTCAATCAGGTAGTGCCCCTGCATGTATTTTGTCCTCTAGTCAAAGTCCCTGGATTCTTGACTCTGGCGCATCCGATCACTTGACTGGTAGTTCTCATCTCCTATCTGATTTTCAGTCTATTCCTTCCTCTCAAAGTGTTACTCTTGCTAATGGATCATCAACTAAAGTCTTGGGTTTGGGAACTGTTCCTCTTACCTCTATGTCCCTTTCTTCTGTGTTATATGTTCCTCAATTCCCTTTTAATTTGTTGTCCATTAACAAAATTACTAAATCTCTTAACTGTTCTGTAACATTTTATCCCACATGTTGTCTTTTTCAGGATCTCAAGACGAAGAAGAGGATTGGTATGGGACATGAAGTAGGTGGCTTGTATTACTTCGATCTTGCACCATCTCCCACGGCTCTTCAATCATCTTTGTCTTCTTTCCAGTGGCACTATCGTCTTGGCCATCCCTCGCTATCAGTTCTGCAGCGTCAAGTTCCCGGTCTTAGTCATGTTAAGTCTCTGTCTTGTGAAACATGTCAGCTTAGTAAGCATTGTCGTGTATCTTTTAAGCCAAGAGCTAATAATCATGTGGCTAGTCCTTTCCAATTAGTTCATTCAGATGTATGGGGACCAATAAAACATATTTCTGTTAATGGATTTCGTTATTTTGTGACTTTTGTGGATGATCATTCTCGGATGACTTGGTTGTTTTTAATGAAAAATCGTTCTGAGTTGTTTTCTATTTTTCAAATATTTCGCAAAGAAATCAAAACTCAATTTGGGTGTTCCATTAAAGTTTTACGTTCTGACAATGCCAAAGAATATTTCTCGGACCCTTTTGAGACGTATGTTCATGCCAAAGGCATCATTCATCAATCCTCTTGTACTTATACTCTGCAACAAAACGGAGTAGCTGAGCGTAAAAATCGCCATCTTCTGGAAGTCTGTCATGCACTTTTATTTTATATGCATGTTCCCAAACGTTTTTGGAGTGATGTTGTTCTTACGACATGTCATCTTATTAATAGGATGCCCTCATTAGTGCTACACGGTAAATCTCCTCACTCTGTTCTATTTCCCGACTCCGTATCGTTTAATCTGACTCCGCGGGTCTTTGGCTATGTGTGTTTTGTCCATAACCTTGGACCTGGTCTTGATAAACTCGACCCTCGTGCAACTAAATGTGTTTTTCTTGGGTATTCACACACTCAGAAGGGCTATCGGTGTTACAATCCTCATTTCCAACGCTATTTCACTAGTGATGATGTAACATTTTGTGAGTCTATCCCATATTTTTCTGATTCTACTAGTCCTCTCGATATTACTTCTGAGCCACCTCTGCCATCGGTTCCCTCTCAGTTTCCTGTTTCCGCACCTCCTCGGTCTGCTATTCCTTTGCAGGTTTATACTCGACGACCTAGACCGCCTACTTCACTCCCTCCATCTCCTTCAGAGTCTTCGGATCCGACGCCTTTACCTGATGATTTGCCTATTGCCCTTCGTAAAGGTATTCGGTCGTGTGTTACTGCTCATCCCATTTCTAACTTTGTCTCCTATCGTCATATTTCATCCTCTTTATCTTGTTTTTTATCCAAAGTATCTGCTACTTTTGTTCCAAAGACATTGCAGGATGCTCTCTCTGATTTGGGTTGGCGGCAAGCCATGGTAGATGAAATGGATGCCCTTCATCGTAATGGAACATGGGATCTTGTTCCCTTACCTCCGGGCTCCAAACCGGTTGGTTGTAAGTGGGTTTACACAGTTAAATACCTTCAAGATGGGTCTATTGAGCGGTTGAAGGCTCGTCTAGTGGCAAAAGGGTACACTCAAACTTATGGTGTTGACTATGATGAGACTTTTTCTCCTGTTGCTAAGATTTCTTCTATTCGGATTCTTATTTCAATTGCTGCCAATTGTAACTGGCCGTTGTTCCAATTGGATGTCAAAAATGCCTTCTTACATGGTGACTTGGTTGAAGAAGTTTATATGGAGCAACCACTTGGGTTTGTTGCTCAGGGGGAGTCTCGTCACACTGTTTTTCGCCTTAAAAAGGCCCTGTATGGATTGAAACAATCTCCGTGGGCTTGGTTTGGGAAATTCTCTGAGGCGGCATTAGAATTTGGTCTTAACAAATGCCAGACCGATCATTCGGTATTTCACTTGCGCACTAAAGCTGGCTTCATCTTTCTTGTGGTGTATGTAGATGATATTGTGATCACAGGTGATGATTCTGCAGGCATTGCTAAGTTGAAGTTGTTTCTGCAAAATTGGTTCCACACTAAAGACTTGGGTAAACTTAGATACTTCTTAGGTATTGAAGTTGCTAGATCCAAGGAAGGTATAAGTTTATCTCAACGAAAATATGTGTTGGATTTGCTAGAAGAAACGGGTATGTTAGGTGGTCGTCCGGTTGATGCTCCTATGGATTCAAATACAAAACTTGTGTCTGATGAGGGTGATCTATTTAATGACCCAGGCAGATTTCGTCGCCTTGTTGGGAAATTAATTTACCTCACTATCACTCGACCTGATATTTCATATGCAGTTAGCGTTGTAAGTCAGTTTATAGGAGCTCCTAGAATGCCACATTGGATTGCTGTTCTTCAGATTATCCGATATCTCAAGCGAGCTCCAGGTTTTGGGTTACTATACCATTCAAATGGTCATCTCAGGGTGGAAGGTTTTACAGATGCTGACTGGGCTGGTTCTCCTTCAGATAAGAGATCTACTACAGGCTACTGTATATTTGTAGGAGGAAATCTTGTTACATGGAAGAGTAAAAAGCAAACGGTGGTAGCTCGATCTACTGATGAAGCTGAGTACAGGGCAATGCAATGACACATACCACTAGTGAGTTGACATGGATACAAAATCTTCTAAAAGAACTTGAGTTGACAGTTGAAACTCCTACTCCATTGTTCTGTGATAACCAAGCAGCAGTTCACATAGCATTGAATCCTGTATTTCATGAGAGAACCAAACATATTGAGGTTAATTGTCATTTTACTCGGGAAAAAAATATTAAGTGGTAGCATCTCTACTCCATTTGTGAAGTCTGAAGATCAACTAGCTGATATGTTTACCAAAGTACTGGGTCATAATTGGTTAAAGACTATCTATTCCAAGCTGGGATTATTTGATATATATTCTCCAGCTTGAGGGGGAGTGTTAGAATGTATATTCTTTATAGTGTTGGGTCATTATGTAATTACCCATAGTAGTTAGGGTTATTGTGTAATTATGTAATTAGCGTCTCTAACCCTTTTCTTATATAAGCCTTATTTAGAGGGCTGAAGAGAGGCAATACAGTATATACATTTCCTCAATCTCTCTCTCTCTCTTTCTCTCCCTATCTCTCATGAATCTGAACAATTATCACCTCCATGAACAATGAAAGTGTTTTCAAAGAAATAGCTTGACGGAACAAAGATTTGAAAAACCAGTAATTTACCCTCCAGAAACCTATCAAAACAAAGCTTCAATCAGAATAAACTGCAAACATGATTTAAAACCCCTATTGATACCTTTACAACTTGTCAAAAGTAGTTCTCATGCTGCCTGGGTCGTCTTCATGTGCAGCAGAAAGTGCTTAATAGTAAGTTGGGAATAAATAAATGTAAGAATGACATTGGACTTACAGTGATGATATATAATAGATTTGTGAAGCAATTATAGAAACATTAAAGTTTTTTCAAGAGGGCAAGTTTGTTGATTGTTTAATCAATTAATAAGTTCTTTCCCCCTTACTTTCAAATAGTATTTTGGATTGCAAGCTTATTGATTCGACCTTAAAAATCTCTCTCTCTCTCTCTCTCTCTCTCTCTTTTTATTTTTATTTTTATTTTTATTTTTTTTTAAGATTTTGCTATAGTTTATCATTTTAATGAGTTTCCAGTGATTTTCAAATTCTTAATCATAGAAGTGAACTTTTAGAAAAAATTTATCTGTGGTTAATTTTTCTCATCACAGGAAAGTGTGATAATTGCACCAGCTCAAAGAAAGAGAGTGACATGTCAAGAGAAGCATTTCTTCTAATAGCTTGCATACGGTCATGTGGGGGTAACTGGGGCCTTAATATGCCTGTGGATGTTCTTCGGGGATCTCGAGTAAGATTTTATATTTTAATTTTGCTCGTGTCTCCAGGCACAAGATCAATTCAAATTCTTGAGCATGTAATGTTATCATCACCTATTATGCTCTGTTACTGACTAAATACATGTTTTTGACTTCTTTTTCAATGCATGAAAAGCAGGCAAGGCAATGGTTCTTTTCGTAACCAGAATTGATTAACCAGTATCTAACACTTTTATTACTTTTCTGAAGACAACAGTGAATGTACTTTTTAATTACTTTGTAGAACTGAATAGTTTCTCCATAATTTGCACCACTGCAACAATAGTTACATTGAGAAGTTGATTAGGTTTCTTGTGTGCTGAAGATTTAGACAATGTCCAATCGAATGCTGGCAATCTGTTTTTGTTGGATTTTAAATTTTCTGTTGCTTGCTTGTCCCTAGATACTCTTGTGAAGGATGGGCTGCTTGTTATTTGAAAATGCTGTGATAGGTCACTGAAAATTTTCACAACTTGGAGATCTGTTATCTGATAAATGGTGAAATTTTTTGAGACGAGGCTCTTGGACATGGTATTTCATTGAACTTGGAAATTATGTGTGATAACGGTGTAATTTGATGAACTAGGATTGTTCAGCAAGATCATGAAGATGGAAAAGATGCAGAAGGGATGTAGGAAATGCTTTAAGTTACTTGTACATTATAGGTGATATTAATAGCTTTATTAAAGAAATGGATGGAATAGACGTTTGCATAATTGTTTTACCCATGATTGTGATCGATTCTGGATTTGTTTTCTTCCACAATGACAATTTCTGTTTGTTTTACTTGAACTCAAATGCCTGATTAAAAAGCAAGTTTTATCGTGTTTTTCTTTTAAAAAAAATCTATTTTATGGATTGTCTTATTTTATTTTTCCTTGCTGATTGAAGACAGATTTGTAATCCTTAGTCCAAATGTTTGCATAAGGCGTTCTGAGTAAAAGTTGAAAAAACTTGTCTCTCATTGTGGAGTGGGATTTATGGAGAAAAGTGATATCCACCTATATCTTGGAAGTTCCCTCCCCTCCAACAATATTTACAATGCATCATCTTCTAAAAGACCTAAAAGGCTATTCCACATGATGGGATCACTTATCTATTATTTGACTTAATTTTGTCTTGAAATGGTTTAGTTGCCTGCCACTTTTTAAAATGGTAAGATTCTTTTGAAGCTGTGCCCTTTCAGTGGAGCCACGTCCCTAGTAATGCTCTCTTTGTATCTTGATTAGGCACGAGTTTTTTTACACAGTTAGACTACTACAAAGAAAGTTATCTGTTCTGCAGTAGAAGTTGTTCATAAACTGCAATAGTGTTATATAAATTTTTGCCAAGATTTTTATCCTTTTTTCCTTCTATTTATTTCATTTCAACATTTGGTTGGTGCTCAATTAGCTCTGTTTTCATACTTTCCTTTCTTTGTGGGTTGCAGTCCAAAAAAATTCTTGATGCTCAGTTTGACAAGCTTCCATTTCATGGCCTTGGGAAAGAGTTATCAGCAAATTGGTGGAAATCACTGGCCTACCAATTGATTTCCTATGGTATGTAAAGGGATCTTCTTGTATAAAATAATTTAGTGCTAACCAGGCTTCTTACTCCGTTGCATTCTGGTGCTGGCTAAAACACTCCGGTTGGTGCATATTGTTTTTCAAGTTTCAACTAGATGGGGTAGTAGTGAGCCTATGGTTTCACAATAGTATTAGCATTTCCAGAAGCAGGGGAACACCAGAAAGTAGGTTTTTTTATATACAGTAGTGCATAAATTCACATGTTTGTATGGTTAATCTTAAATGGACGTTGAATTAATTTGGAAGCAGTATGTTTCATGTCAAAGATGAAAATAACAATGCTCCCTGATCCAAATTAACAAAGTATGGTACTAAAATGTAGAATCTTTTTTTCTTTCTTTAAAAGCTTATTTGCTGTAGACTAGTTTTACATTTGAATAATTTTATATTAGTGATAACACTAATCAGTTTCAAGATTTTCTCTCTCAATTGGGCTGATTTAAATTAGTCATGTATTTTCTTGTGCTGTTAATATTTTTTGCTTGTTAATTAATAAATAAATAAAAAATCTCTCTTTTTCCCTAGAATTTCATAGTGTTTCCTATTTATTTTTTTCGAACATTTGTAGTTGATTTTGATGCTTCATTGAGTTGGATAATTTCATTTTGTTACTTTCATTACTAGGTCTTCCATTTTGATTTACCATGCTATTTGTTCTTTCTCTTTCATCCAAATTTTTTTAGTAATGATGTTATCCTAAAAACCCTTAAAAGCTTCTTCTTCCCTTTTTTTTTTTTTTTTTTTTTTAATTTGTTGACAAGTTTTACATTTGAATAAGTTTATAAGGTATGATCACCCCTACCGTCATCCTCCATTGGCAAGAGTACAAAGTTTTCCGATCCACTCTCTTACAACAAGAATGTTGCACAGAGTTTTTCACTTCTCTCAATTGGTTTGATTTTAATTATTCATATATTTTCTTGTGCTGTTATCATTTTATGATTATAATTAAAAATATCACTATTTTTCCCTAGAATTTCAATGTTTCCTATTTATTTTTCCAAATATTTGTAGTTGATTTTGATACTTCATTGAGTTGGATAATTTCATTTATTATTTTCATTACTAGGAGGTCTTCCATTTTGATTTACTATACTATTTGTTCTTTCTCTTTCATTCAATTTTTTGTTTAATGATGTTATCCCAAAGACCCTGATCTGTCCAATTTAGGTTCCAACTTTAACAAATTGTTTAATGCTATGTTCCAGTTGCAGTGTCATATCTATGATTGGATGCTAATGATGTATGCGGCCATGGTTAAAACTTTTGTTTCAACAATTGATGTTTTATGTCAACAAAATTAGGAATATTTATATAAAAAAAATACCTTGGAAGTGACTAAAGTTTTTGAAGAAATTTGGAATCTATGGAGTGCTTTTGGGAAGGGTGAAGTAGATAAACTTATTTAGGAGCTTTTTTTTTAAATATATTTTATAAGTATTTAGGAGCAAATTTTCGCAAAAGGATTATAGAGTCTTTTGAAGGTTAACATTTCCACAGAGGAAAAAACAATGTCTAACCAATGTGATAAGAAAACATGGATGGGAGAGTAAAATTTTGTATATAATTCATCAGTATTGATGATCATGCTTAGCTCTCTCGTTATTCATAGACCATAGGCTGGCTTTATTACCTAGAATATGCTCAGCAGTTTGATATTGAGCATCATCCATGTGTTTGATCGTCTTTATGTCAACTGGAAACAAAAACCTCTCATTGACTCTTAAGTTTTTCATATCTAGGCGATATTTTTGAAGCTTGGAACATTTGGATGAGTACTGCTGATTGCCTTGGATTTTTACGAGTGTCAGTTGAAAGCATTAAATTCTGATAAAAAGGCTTTTGGTTGTTTTGACTGGCACATTTGAATTTTTTTGGTAGTTAAAGGGGAATAAAAATCAAGGCTATATACCATGTGATAGAAGTCAGAACATGCTGATCGAAGTGATCTCTAAAGTGACCACAGGGTCAGATCCCAGGATTTCCAACCTCTCTTGTGAACTCCATTTTCAGATAGATTTCAGAAACATTTTGAGAAGTAGGAAGAGCAGATGTCAGAACATAACTGAAAGAGGTTTGAGGAACGGGCCATGGTTCAATAATTTGCATTAAGTTCCATGACAATGGAGTGACAGGTTGTTCCTTAAGAGACGCAATGGCATCATGAATAAGTTATATCTATCCATGAAAGACTGCAACTCTAGCCAAGCTGATATTTTAAGTTTTGGAGAGAATTAGTTTAAATCTTTTCTATTCAGATGCGTTCATAATGGATAACAGTTTGTAAAGAGATCATGAACTACAATATAAGATTTTACCATTAAGGAAAATAATTATGAAAAAAAAGATAAGAAAAAAGAATGGAATAGTTGTCAAATAATGTGATGAATTTTAGTTATTGCATCCACTGTTTAATGATCAGAATTTTTTTTCTTTTTCTTTATTTTTTTTTTTTTTTTCTGGATACATCATAAATTCCACTCATTTATTGTCCCATATCAAGTTTATTTGTTTTAACCATTCTTGATTATACACACCACTTTCTTGTTTCAATAATGTTACAACTTGATGCAGGCTATTTGATCGAGACTGTTAAAGATATATACAGAACCGTAAGGTAGATTGTTTTCTTTCAAATGTTTTAGAGCATGAGTTATGCATTTGTAGCATGCTTTCCCCCTTGTTATCCTCCATATAGCATTTTAATATCAGCACGTCATCTACTATCAATTATGGGAACTTCACTGCTGTAGCCAGTAAGATATAATTCTGATGGATACATTGAGAGTGATGAATATTTTTCCATGGACCAGTGTAAGTGCAAAAGGAAGACAGTTTCTGAGCTCTTCCACGCCTGATCATCAACCCCCACTGCTCTTGCCGGTGACTAGTGAAATGGTCAGCGATGAGGAAAATAGAAACACATTAGGTAATGTTGGAGAGTTCAATGGTTTGAATTCTATGGAGTATGAAGGATTGTCACAGGTTGGTACTTCTAACATGCCAAAGTGAAGTGCATATGAAAAGGCTAAATCGTTTTCCCATACTTTTTCTACCTCCACTTTCTTTATCATTTTCATCCACTCTGCCTGTCATATTATTACTAAATTAGGCACTTGGAAATGTACCACTTCTTTCTTTTATATAGTCAATCTATGTCCTATGGTTTGTCTGGAAAAATGCACTATCTTTACCACAATTTTCTGTTTAAAATTTGCTCCCAGAAGAATGCTTGTTGCATCCCAGCTTTAATATGCTTGAATAAAAGTCAGATTAAGACTTTATGATTGGTTAATGATATATTGTCTCAATTAGGCTGATTGTCTTTCTTTCACGCGCTTCTTTTTCATTCCCTCAGCAGTGCAATATTTTTGGTCAATATCTGTTTACTTACGTGTGTGTTTTTTCCTTATTCAGGCTGAGACACAACTCTATAACTATCTTTTAGAAGTAAGAATGAAGCTTGCAAGAGCCATTGGAACTGCTCCGTAAGTTATTGTTATTCTATCAATAGGTTCAGCATCTTAGTGTAATTCACTTTATGACTTCTTACGAAAGCAACTATTATCCAATAAACAAAAAAACTATTCTTTTTCCGTCACTTAAAATTTTCTACTTTGCAGATATGCTATATGTGGTGATCAAACATTGAAAAGGATAGCATTGACAAGGCCATCTACTAAAGCGAGGCTAGCGAATATTGATGGTGTTAACCAGGTATTTCAGAATGATTGAAATTTTGATTCGGATTACTTGTTAGAGAAGACTAAAACTTTAATCTTTACTAGGCTGGATATTGCTTTCCTTACGAACTTTGTCAGTTCTAAAGAGTGTTCATCCTGAGTCTGTCATTCAAACATATACTTGGGGGTTTCAAGTGGGACTTGTTTTTTAACCTCGGGCATATGAGAGTTCAGGGTTGGCTAATACAGATTGATTTCATACTATATTTAAGAGATTGTTTTTGGATATTGTACCTTTCTTAGAGGACTCGGGTTCTTTAGAGAAGCAAAGAAACATGCTGGTGGAAGTCAGGATGGGACTCAACGCACATGCACCCCACGTGGTCTGCACTTACTTTAGGCATGGACAAAGGGTAGAGGAACAGATTTAGGATTACTTTGTTTCTTATTTTAAGGATTATTCCTTATTTCTAGGGATTTGTTATTTGTACATTTTTTTTTTCTCTGTAATATTTAGTAATTGGGGTTTGCCTATATATTGGAGTATACAGAACTTTCTTCCCAAATTTCTGCTCTCTGTTTGTTTCTCTATCTCCTCGTATTCTCTCTTTTTGGTGATTTCCTTTTCTCTTCCTCTCCTGGATCAATTTGATATAAAGCTCAGTCTATTCTGTATAACAAATTTTGATGATAATGAGGCAGCTGCACATTGCCACATAAGGTTCTCAAAGTTGACCTCTTTATTGGTATACTCTACCTCTAACTAGTGACCTCTATTTTTTTAACTGATGATCTCTGCCACTATCTGGCAATCTTTATGTCTAGTTTCGCCGACTTCTTTAAAGGCATGTAATCTTCAACTGTGCCCGTCCTCTGAACAAGAATCTAATTGTGAATTGTGAGAACCTCCTCTCTGTGGACAAGTCTTGCCAACTGTGTATACATGGCAAGGACTTCTCCTTGGTTAAGTCTTGGTGTGAGGAGCTCTTCTTCTCAGATGAGCTTTGCTTAAAGATTGTGACAATAACCTTTTCTCCTTAGCTAAACCTTTATGTGACTCCTCATAAAAGTATTACTTGAAGAAGCTCATAAGCCCAATTGAAGATTATCATGAGAATGTTCTCTCTGCGAATAAGCCTTGTTGAAGAATTAGAAGATCAACGGGAAACAGGAACTTCTCTCATGGACAAGCCAAGGCCAAAAAGCACCCCGATGGACCTCATCTGAGGCACTGCTTGACTTGGGATCAGGTCTTTAGAGACTTGTACAATCCTTCCCGGGTTCTAGGCGGCATTTCTCTTAGTGACAGAAGTCCCAAGTGTAAATGTCCATTACGTGTCCACTTTGACTCCTGAACCTACATTAGAGGTTGAAAACACTTGCATATTTTAAGACCTTTACGTTAGTCGAAGCTATAAATCATCCAGTTCTGTAAATGTCAAGCAGACCTCTAGGTTTCTACCTGACTTCTTGTACCTAGGTTGACTTTGGGCAAGGCTTTGGCCTCCTAAAGTATCTGGTGATTTGTGTACTATGTGTCTGACCAATTTATGGATATTGGTGTTTTTGAGTTGCTACAGTTGCTTCCTTGGGAGAAATTGGGGAGTGCACATTAAGTTTTTATTGTACATTGTGATGAGTCTGATGAAAAAGCACCCACAAGTTTTGCGCATAATGCAGTCAGTTGATATGACAAATAGATCAAAGCTTTTTGGCATTTATCATGAACTTTTTACAGGATTCCTAGTACTTGATGTTCGCTTTGATGAACAATTAGCAAATGCCCAAGTAAAGGCAAGAGAAAGATCTGTAATCATATGATCTTAGTCTAGCTGGGAATAAGAAAGATCTACCTATCAGCTTGAAGAGCAGTATTGATGAAGTAGCTCTTCCGTATATGGAGGAGTGTGACCAAACAAGGAAGCACTCAAGGAGAGTTCGGTTTCTGCTACTTTTTGGTGGGGACTGGCAGCACCCTACACCCGCTTTCCCCTTTCTTAAGTAACAACTGGAAATAGATTACAATGCTTCTTCCCCCCTCCCTTCTCTTTATCATTGAATTCTTTGATGATTAAACTAAAGCTTTAATGATGTTACAGCACTTTTTAACAACGCACGGGGATCATTTTCTTCAAAGCATTCGACATCTATCACAAAGCATAAACCTTTCTTTGGATGGGGAGACAAGTGTTCACAACACAATTACAAAAAAGGTGTATCCGGTTCAGAACCATCAAAAAAATTTAACACCTGCCAAGTTTGAAGCTTGGAAAATGTGGCATGAGGATGGTCTCTCCATTCAGAAAATTGCTGTAAGTCTTATAAGCAATCACAGCTCTGACTTGACCCTTATCTGCTTAACATACATGCTTGCTTTTATTGTGTTGTAAGCCTTTATCCATTTTATTTTGATTTTATGCCTGTAGAATTTCCCTGGTAGATCACATCCAATAAAAGAACAAACTGTCTTCGAGTATATTCTCGATGCTGCAAAAGAGGGATGTAGAATTGATTGGACCAGATTCTCTGAGGAGATTGGACTGACCCATGAGCTGTCTACAGATATTGAGGCTGCTATTTTGAAAGTTGGCTCAAGAGACAAATTGAAGCCTATTAAAAACGAATTACCAGAAGAGGTGAGGTCTATCAATTACGCATGGATGTAATTTTAGAAATGCTATTATACAAGTAGCACCACCATAACTAGACTTTTATGCACCATAACTCTGCATTCTAAAATACTTTTATGGACTAGAATTCTGCTTCTTTTTTTCCCGTTAATCAGAACAATGAAACTTTTGCTTAACTGATGTCAGATAAGTTATGCCCAAATAAAGGCATATTTGACAAAGCAAGATTTAGAGATATCTGTAGAAGGAACTCCGCTCAGTCACCACCTCAAGGCTGATGAAAATTCTAATGAGACGTCAGAATTACCACCAAGATCCAATCTACCATGCAACCTAAAAGAAGAACCTCCCAAACTTGAAAGACCAGTTGATGGTGTGGTTGGCGATTGCTATTCGGAAAACAGTGGAGCAGTTACTGTTCCCATTGTAGTAAGCACAGGCATGAAGCAACCCTTAATTTATATTGATGATGTACTTTCCTCAACGAAACGCCAAAAGGTTGATGAACCAAGAGAAAGTTCTGTTGCACTGGAGGCCACTGAGAGTTCCATATTAAACTGGCTTGGGAACTTTGATGAGGGGGTAAGTGAATGGTTGACCCTGCAGCATCATTTAAAAGGCATAACTTTGTCTTTCGTGGTTCTTGTTTAGGAATGCTAACCTGACTAATATGCAGGTTCCTCTATCTGATATTTTGGAGCACTTCAAGGGATCTACAGAAGAGACTCTGGTTGATCTGCTGAGCTGCCTTGAAAGTGAGTTTTTGGTATTTAAGAAAAATAATCTGTATAAGCTAATGTAATGTAATACGGAGTATATAGTTATGCATAGGTGAGGGACAAGGATTTCTTGTGCAGGTAATAGTTGATAGAATTTTTCCGTCACTTAATCGTGATGTTCGACGATTGAATCCCATTTTAAAAAGTGATTTTCAGTGTGATTATTGACTATATTTTGTATTTATTTATTGGGTATAAATTTCATCAAGGGAAGTGCTTGTACCTTCTGCAATCTTAGTATTTTCTGATTTGCATAATTACTTTGATTTAATATGAATTTTCAATTCCTAAAAACTTTTGCAGCCTGGTCCTGGTTCAAAACCATTACCTTTAATTTTTTTTTTTAACAATTTGGCGATTGAAGAGCATATGAGGAATTTCATTTCGTTTCTTGGTTGTGTTGAATAAGTTGAGCGTGAATAAAAATGAGAGGTTTGTTGTAACTTTACAAAACATTGAGAAAACTTTTTTGGGAAGAAAGTATAATCAGTATAAAGGGAAGGTAGAAGTCAAAATTTTCATTTCCTTCATTAGGAGGATCAGTTGAATTCTATGTTGTGATTAGGCGTGCGTAAAAGAGAACAATGGAGGCACCAAAGACTCTAGTTCGGTGTTGTCAAACGTTGGAGAAATTATATGGTCCATGTCACCATGCAGAGATGGTACCCCCATTCAATTAGAGCATGCCATTTGTTAAAATAGTTAAACTCACACAATCAGATTTAAGGTCGTCTGATAATTTTTCCAAACGTTGATGGTTTCCAAATAATGTCCTGTCCTAATTCTTAATTATTTATTTATTTATTATTTTTTTTTTTGGATGATTTAAAGTCTTTTCATAATATGTTTTTTTTAATGGTAAAACAAATATACACATATTTTGCCCGCGGAGCTCAAACACTCAATTTTCCATATTTATGAAGTACATCCGATAGGCATTATTAAGAAGCCACAAAAATGTGAATGAGTTGACTTCGAGCAAATGTTGGTCGGTCATGTCGGTGGTTGCATAATTGCATTCATCATTTCACCCTCACCTCGCAAGTTCTATTAGTCTCCTTAAATTTAGATAATATATACATATATAAATATATAATTGTATATACAAACACCTTACCCTATTTGACTAATAAATTGTTTGTCCCCAAAATTCTACAAAGTGCTACAAAAGATTAGACACTTGGTAAATTAATCATTCCCCCATGCACGTAAACATTATTTTGCTTAAGGCAACTTACACCGCCTTATATATATATATATATATATATATATATATATATATATATAGGGGGAGAGAGATGCATGTCCAGTTCTAGCAACTTCCATATGGTTCTGTGAATTTCTCTTGAAAATGACGGGCCTGAAATTTCAGCCAATGGCATCACAAATCGCCTTCAACCTATGAAATTCAGCGATATCAATAAGATATTTCTTGCAAAGATTTCTAGATACCAGAATTGACTAGAAAACATATATGTTTGTGTGTGTATATATATACACACACATGTACTAACTAATAGAAATACCTATACATAAAACAAGCAGGAGGAGTAGAACTACTTGCTTCCCCTTTTCCCTGGCAATGGGTTCAGTAGGCAGGAATAGGATCAACACGCCATGTGCTGCATGCAAGCTCCTTCGCAGGCGATGCACCGAAGACTGCACCTTTTTGCCATACTTTCCACACTCTAAAGCTCACGACTTTGCCGCTGTGCATCGGATCTTTGGTGCCAGTAATGTCTGCAAAATGCTGCAAGTAATTACTAAATTCAGTTGCCACATAACAAGAGTAGTTGAAATAACATTAGTTCCTAACATATATTCACTAGTACTAGTACTAGGAATAGCAGTCTCAGTAAAAGACGAACGAGTTAAAACCAGTACACCATTATATTATTTTCTTTCATGTCATTTGTCTCTGCATAATCGTTCTTATTGAACTTTAATATTTGAACAGGAGATTCCCGCCCATGACAGAGGAGATGCTGCGATCAGCATAGTTTATGAAGCCAAGGCTCGGCTAAAGGACCCAGTTTATGGTTGCGTCGCTCTCATAGCCTCTCTCCAAAGCCAGGTGTTCCAGTTGCAATCTGAGTTGAACACAGCTCTTTCAGAAGCAATGGCAATTAGAGCTCAACAGTCATTATCATTGTTAATGTCTTCCGAGGGCTTCCTATCAGCAGCTGATATGCCAAAAACTGACCTCGATTATCACCAGCCAATGCAGCGCGACTGCACCACCCAGACCCCCACCTCGTTCGCAATGCCATTCTTCCCTCAGGTCATAGACTCTGTCCAGGCAATTACTGAAGTTCCTCCTCTACCACTACCAGAGTCATGGTATTGATTGACATATTAGCACATTGTAGAGTTTAATTAATCCTATCATTGCTTCTTTTTGCTGAGATATCTAATATGTTAGACATATGTTGCAGTGGGCAATAACTCTATTCTTGTATCATTTCATGATGAATCTTTACAAAGAGCTTTCCATAAGTTCAATCAATTCCTCAATGGGGTCTCTAGGGAAAACACCATTCATTGATAATTAAAAATAAAATAAAAAGCTCTCCATTAATAATTTCTACAAACCGTGGAGAATGGCTAGGCCGACAATCAGAACAGATTTCACAGGCATCAGTCAGGTCGTTCACGTTACAATGTTAAAATCTGCCAGAATTTTTTTCATATGAAACGTATCAGAGAGCATAGGTGTTGTGCCTAATTGGGCAAATGTAACACGAACACTGATGTGAACCTACAAATAGTCTCTGAGAACTTGTCTATGCCAAAGAATCAGCATGATCCAGTGATGAACCAACCAACACGAAGTTCTTGTAAGGCAGTTACTTCTACATATAGGATTTCACAAAATAAACAACCAACATCAATAGCAGTAATGCAGGTGCGTTCGAGAAAACAAGAATTGTGATCACTAGATTAAAGTTTCTTGTACAATTTTTGGGAATCAATGATGTAAAAACCAGTAGCTAGATAAAAAATTAGACTGTAATCTGTAACAGCTGAGAGTTTAATTATCAACAAGTCAGCATTACGACATGCCTTCAGATATAGAAAGAGATTTGACCAACTTGTTTACATCCAAGGGAATGCGTTCAACAGTTCAGGTTCCCTATGGCAGAAAGAAGAAATTCAAGAATCCCAGTATCAAGTTGATAAGTAGGCATACGAATCAAGTAAAAGGTTAAAAAAAAAAAATTACCCGGAAAGGAAGTACGAAAACTATATATTTTCTGTCTCAGAGAAAGGAGGACCTTGGTGGTAACTCTGACAAATTCTAAGGGTGACAAAGGACCAAAATTAAGTGTTAATGCCTATATAAAGCGTCTTCAGGTGCCAATTCCACCCCTACCCTACTATGTTTGACGAAAGGGGGGAGATCTAGAGGTGATTTGCACATCTTTTGTAACTCAATGAACCTGTCATGGTCGAAATTATGGTTCTTCATCAGCTTCCTCTGCCTTGAAAGGAATAGTCTCTTCATCAGGTCTTGGTAAGTGGGGTCTCTTGAAGTAAACAGGAAGTAGGCATAACTGATGACTATGCCAGTGGATGCAGTGAAAAATGCAATTGGCTCCATAACATCCCATGAGAATTCCCAGAATGTCAGCCGAAAGAAAGTCCCAACCTGGACCACAGCCAACCCCAGCCCTGACCAGAGGATGCGCCTGACCTGCTTATGCGCCAGCAGGTCTATTTTTTCCTTCTTCTCCTGCAGCTTCTTCAGCTCATCCCTTCTGGGGTCATCTTCAGATGTCAGAGCAAGAGGAACTGCTCTTCTAACCAGATCCACCACCTGAAAAAGATCTTAAAAATGAGACGGAGCAAAACAGATCAACTCCAAATGTCAAATATGTAAATTTTTAAACAGAATAAAATAGATTGCTTGGAGACAATTTTGCAGCTCCTACTGAAAAGCCAATCGATATAGTGTCCAAACCAAAACAACTGAAATGAGCTGCCAAAAAAAACGGGGCACACAATAAAAATTTACAATATTTTACCACTTCTAGACATCACATTTGTGATGAACCAGCAACTAACATGCAACATAAATCAGCACCTAATTTGCCCATTGATAATTAATTTTTAAAAAACTAGGTCAACTGAAGCATGCATAGTTTGGTGCTGAAAGCCTGAGGTACAAGCAAAAATGCATTTTGCCGTATCACTATGCAACTTTCAGCACTCAGTTTAGCCCCAGATTATCAATCCTGTCCTACTCTTTTGCTGGTATTAAAGACAGGTGATATATAGGCAGGCATGTGAGGATAAGGCTGTACTAGGCACAAACAGAGCAAGTCTAGCAATTTGTGGATATTATATCAAATATCGATCAGGCTCCAGCACAAACGCAATTTTGGACTCAACAACTCGCACAATCTAAACTCATACTAAATGAAGTTGTATCAACTATTAGATTTAAGTACAGGAAAGCAAGTTCAACGTTCTTCTCTTTCAAAGGGCACATTCCAATCACATGCCAGCATGTCTTCTTCACTAAACTCATATTCTTTCTTGTCTTCCCTTATCCTGTAGCACCTTCAATCATGTCACTCCTTGCGTAGTCATATGTTTACATTTCCCCTGGTCTCCATTGTCCTAGCAATAAACTTGCCAAAATCCTCACGTCTTGAAACAGATCTTCATATGTTCATGCCATCTTAACCATTATACTCGTCTTGTTCCCTGTTGAAAATCTTGATTGCACCATAATTATCTCATGTCTAACTTGGTGTCATAAGTTATCAGTTTTGATGTGTCCAACACCAACTACACCATAAAAGTCCATGCTAGTTGAAATGACAAGACTAATTATAGAGTAAAAATTCTCAAACTATAAAAATGGAAGCAATTTAAGAACAGGTAAAGTGTCACGAGCATGTCTAGTTGGTAAAGATATACAATATATGTAATATTGCTTGTTTGGTAAGTATCACCATATATTGCATCACAATACTCCTTCTCAATAAGACCCTTAATTTTTATCCCTCCTGAAGTTGATTGAATGAGAACTATGATTGGTTACCATGATTTGGATCCACAATTTTCTGAAGACAAACAATTATTTAAATGAAAAACAAGCTTCACAGGCCCACATCATGAGAAGGTATCACATGCCACTACACAGAATAAAAGGCACCACAACGCTTCACATATATTAAATTTTACCACTTGCCGCACAAAAAATTAGTAACTTTGAATAGAAGCACATTTTAGGTGCTAATTGTGCGTTTGTTTTAAGTCTTAAAAAAGAAAATTGCAAGAGGATCATCTCTTTGCATACCAATGATGCTTTAGACTGTACCAACGCAAATAATTAGCAAGATGCAACTAAAGTTGAGGGGAAGTTCTGGTAGGGAAGACTGGTGTGATGGACATGGTTTAGTTTCTGCAGTTTGTTTAGAGACTACCATGATTACTGAGGAAAAAAAAAAAAAAAGAAGCAGCAAAATAGGAGATGAAATTCTTGAAAGGCAAAGGGAGAACAAGCACGAATCAAGAGCAGAATAACTTTTTATTATTATTTTGTTTCCCTGAGCCATGAGCAGAATATCTTAAGTGATACAAAAGTAAAACTCAGATACCAAGCAGGTGAAGCAAATGGGAGAGTACTACATGATCCCAAAATGGGTTGAAACTTGAAACATTATTGTACAGAATTTGATTGGTTGTTACATGATGCAATGCAGGAAGTATACAATATCATAACTATAAAATTAAAAAGAGGATTTGATGTTTATGTTAAAAGGCCCAAGTTGAGAGAAACTGCAAAATAAGTAAAGAGATTTAATTGAACTCCAAAAGTGAAAACATTTTTCAGAAATTAAACACTATGACAATCCATAATTATAAAAGGGTATGAAATGTAGTAGCGAAACAGAAAATATTATTTAATATGTAAGCAGACCCTAGATATAACATAGAGCAAAGCAGATTCATTTTTCCAAGCCCTAATGTTCTATTTAATGCTCCATCAGCTTGAATTTAGTATAAAACAATACCCTAATATGCAGCTTAAATCCCTCCACCTACCCTAAAACACTTGAAATTGTAGCAATTCATACATTTCAAAAGCCAAAAAAGCTTTAGGGGTTTTGGTCCTTCACACCGCTATAAACCTTTTACAAATCCCCAACACAGAAATAACAATACCACTATCAGAAGCCTCTGTTTATGCGCTCCAAATAAATAATTCTACAAAGGTAACAGAACGAAGAAAAAAAAAAAAAAAAAAAAAAAAAAACCCTGATAGTTCTTGCTACCAAACCATGGTTCCTCAACATGAAGTCGCCAATATGAACATCCATCTAAAACTGTCCATCAATGCAGTGAATATATTTCTTTTTTTCTCCCCTTATCTAGAGCTTACCAAGTTCAATCCCCCTTCTAGGGTCCCAATTCCCAAAGAGAATCGGAACATGACTTCAAATTCCAATTACTACCACTTTAAAGCAACAAAACAGGGAGGGAAAGAGAGAGAACTGTCGGAATATCATTTACATTGGGCCAAACCCAAAGAAAAGCCTCACAGAAAGAATCACAATAAAGTAAAAGGGAAATGCAATATATAGCTTTCCACGATGATTTCACAAAAAAACATTTTCATTCTGTTCATCAACAAATTCTATCCAACATATAAAATTAATATAAGAGGGTCATGTGATATTTTCATATTTATATACTACACAAATTTGTATGAATGTGTGTATATATATAGATAGAAAGAGTACCTTATCGGGATGAAGATAGACTTTATCTCTGAAGAGAAGAACAACACCGGCCTCATCAAGAACTCGGGCAAATGCGACTGCCTCATCGAGAGATCTAGCAACGCCCATACTCTCGCAGGCCTTCAGAAGCTCCGGATAGCCTATCACCTCTTTCCCTTCCATTCCTAGCTTCATCTTCAACGATTCCACATTCACCAGCCTCATCAACTTCTTCGCCTCCGCATACGATATTTTATCCCCCTCCCCTCCACCTCCATCTGCGGTGGCGTCAGAGCCTGAATTAGATGACAATGACGACAATGACTTCGTCGAACACAAACAACCACAATACTCATTAGCCTCCGAAACCACTCTAAACCCTAATGGCGGCTTCGGCTTGTAACGAACCGCCGATGACACACTCTGTTTCAAGAAAACACACGATCTCCACATTTGTAGTCAAACCTATTTTCTCTTTCTATATATATATATATATATATATATGTAATTGTGTATTTATATGTTGATGTGTTTACCAGTTTAAACTGGAGTGTTCATACTTCTGTATCCATATTGACGAACGTCTTGGATGTCGGAATTGTGTGTGAGAGAGAGTGTGTGAAATTGATGAGATAAGGGGAATTGGAGCGATGAGTAGTAATATATGAATGGACGGTGGTGGGCGAGAACACCGGGGCGGACCAAGACGGCGTTAGTACCGTTCACTCGGAGTTGGTGGTAACCACACACGATTGGGGTAGGGTTGGGGCGCAACTGACACGGTGTTACAAGTGGAACTTTACCCCTTTGACACACGGCTTCACGTTTTATTTTATTCCTTGACCCTGTAATCGTCCGCCACCTGTCCCTATACGGCTTATCCAGTGGCTGTGATTTAGCTAGAGAATTGCTTTGGACAGAAGAGGGAGGTTACGTTAACTAGGGTTCACACTCATGTCCGATAACTGTCTCGGAACGTGGGCCCAACGATTGGACCATTTTTTAATGCCAATTAAAAATGATAACGCCGTCCGATCTACATCCGACTTTTTTTCTTTTTTTCTTTTTTCTTTTTATTTTATTATTTATTTAAGTGTGGGTGATGGGATGGATGCATCCCAATTTTGAAAGCTGTGTCACAAACTCAATGCCAAAGGGCTTAGAAGGAGGCGACGAACGTTGATCTCCGGTCTATGAAAAGTGTATCAATAGCTCAATGTTAAAAGGCTAAAAGAAGGTGACATATCTTGTTGTCAAATGTAGAGGTGTGCACTTGATTCATTTCAATTTGATCCACACATATTTGAATAATTTTTTAATTTTACGGTGAATAAGATATTCATAGCTCACGAATCAATAAACAAATTGAAAATTTTAAAATTCAATTCAATCTATTCAAATTTATAATATATATATATATATATATATATATACACTATTTCAATTCAAAATTCATTACATGACTGGGATGGCATAGAAACACTAGAATTTTCACAAAGCATTTCACCTATAGGTGGTACTTGTATTGGCATTAAATTGATAGTAATTAATTAAAATGATATTGATGCTAGTAAATTAAGAGTTACTCCGATTAAGTAGCCAAAATTCCAAATCAGTTATAAAAAAAAAAATAATAATAATAATAGATAAACAAATTTATTATTTTAAAATTTATTGAATTTATATTTAAGTAATGTTATTCACAGTCGAGAAAGCGACTGTCCATTCACAGTCGCACCTCTTATTAGTTAACTATTGATTTACATACCTTATTCTTTTCTCTCTCTTTTTTTTCAATTGTTTTTAACTATTTATATACTCGGGTTTCTCACTGTTTTTCCCCTTTATTCTTTGGATCCATATTAAAGAGAGAGAGAAAAAAAAAAAAAAAAAATTCAATTATTTCCTTTTCTTTGTTCACACACATATATAGAAATTTACCTTATCAATAGATTAGAAAAATCATACTTCTCTTGTTTCCTCTCTCTTTTTTTAATTATTTTTAACTATTTATATACTCGGGTTTCTCACTGTTTTTTCCCTCTATTCTCTAGATCCATATTAAAGAGAGAGAAAAAAAAAAATTCAATTATTTCCTTTTCTTTGTTCACACAAATATATAGTAATTTACCTTGTGAATAGATTAGGAATAAGGTAGGTAAGTAAAGTTTAATTGAAGTAATATTATAAAATTTGAGTTTTAATTAATATATGAAATAAGAGAAGTATGATTTTCTAATCTATTCACAAGGTAAATTACTATATGTGTGTGAACAAAGAAAAGGAAATAATTGAATTTTTTTTTTTTTTTAATATGGATCTAGAGAATAGAGGGGAAAAACAGTGAGAAACCCCGAGTATATAAATAGTTAAAAAAAGAAAAAAAGAAAAAAGAAAAAAAAGAATAAGGTATGTAAGCAAAGAAAGAATCAAAATTATATAGGTACACACGTACAAGTATGATAGAAAAATATAGGTAAACACGTACAAATAGGATAAAAAAAGAAAGAATAAATATAAAAGGGTAATTTGGTCCTATAAATTGAAATTTTATAGTTCCAATAAAATAGAAAAAAACGCATTAATTACACCTTAATTAATTGATTTTTCAACCAATAAAAGGTGTGACTATGAATGGACAATCGCTTGGACGACTGTGAATAACATTCCTCTTTATATTTTTGCAATAAAGGTCTCATTATTTGTTAAGGTAAATAAAGTGTCTTAATACATATTAATTAACGTAATGTCCAAAATCTAGCTTTATCAAAGGCCTTACTAATTAATTTATTGTCCTCAACAAAATCTAGCCTATCTACGGAGACAAGGCATGGGTGTAAGTGGTTACATGGTTAATATATTAACACACACCCTCGGAGTCATAATATGCCGAATAAAAAACTTAATACGTCTTCTTCTTCCAAAGGTGATTAGTCTCAAATTTTATTTTATTTTTGGCATATAGCCAAATTTTAATACGACCAAAGAAACAAATCATTTTTGGTGGTGGAAGCACATGGGAGTCAATTTATTTATTTATTTTTATGACATGAGCCTAAGGATACAGTCTTACAGATATTGTTATATAAAAATTATATTCTTTATTTTGTGATAACTAAATAAATATTCTAATAAAAGTTATACTTATAAATTATATTATTATTATAATAATAATTAGAGTGAAAAAATGATGTTATTTTAAATATTGAAAGGACAAAATTGACCTTCTGATCTAAGATAAAAGAAGTAAGTAAGATTACAGGAAAGGTAAGTAAGATTATAAAAATCTACTTGAAATACAAACCTCACATGAAGTAAGTAAAATTTATCATAATACTACCAATATTAAAATTCATAAATGACAAGTAATGTATCTGTATTTTATTCCATTCTTGAAAAAATATATATATACATATATAAATGTGCATTTGTATGGCTACAGTTAAATTTGAGAAATGATTTGTTAGACGAGTCCACTGGCCGGCAAATATATGAGAAGACTAATAATGAAGTGTTAGCACCACGCACAAGGAAGTGTCCAAGAAAGATATTGGAATTGGACTTAATAATTAGCATCTTCACTGCCAGTCAGTCAGCCCACCAACCATTGAACCTGAAACGAACCCAGTGGCGAACTTGATTGGAACCTTCGTCGTTAAAAACTTTACACTCATTTGGTGAATCAAATAAAGGAATACAATAATCGCAAAGTTCAAGGAAATATCCCAGCTTCTGCAACTGTCATATCAGGTTGTTAATATCTGAAAATAACATTCTATAATACAAACATCAATAATTAATTAACACATACATTGCTAGTAATGGATGTAGTAGGTGAGCCTCTTCTTCCGAACTATAAGATTGAAGTTCAAATTTTTATTGAGACAATGGGGGCGTATGAGTTTTTTACCCGAACAAAAAAAATAGTAATAAATAAATAAATAAATGATCAACACAAGAAAGAACAATGAGTGATACCTCATCTCCTTCTAAATTAAAAGATCAAAGGTTAAGTTTCTGTTGTGGCCCTAGGTTAAGTTTCTATTGTGGCACTGTGAGTGTATGAGCCAAATTATAAAAAAAAAGGTCAACACGGGCAAGAGCAACCAACCACCAGGTCAACACATGTACATCAGCAATAGAGGTGGCAAAGTTTGACACGATCCGCCAACACGATACGAGTTAAATAGGTTTGGGTTGACCTTAAATAGGTTCGGGTCTTAAACAAGTTGACACGATTAAATCGTTTAGTTAATCATGTCGTGTTTGGATTACCCGTGTAACCCGTTTATACCCATTTAACTATAGGTGTCATAAGCAAATTTCTATTTAAGTTCCAAAATAACTATTTAAACTTGTATCTTATAATTCATTATTTTATAGATTAGAGATTATTTAATAATTTAATTGGATTGAAATTTATATTTTTCTAGTATTTGATGTTTGATTGAGTATTATTAATAATTTAAATAATAAAATATTTTATTTTATTAAACAGGTCATTAAACGGGTTACTCGTGTAACTCGTTTAATAAACCAATCGTTAATGTTGAGGGTTCATGATTATTAAACGGGTCATGTTTGGATTGAACTGTTTAGTAAAACACCACCCTTATATCGACACGACATGATTACGACTCGCAAACACAAATTGTCACCCCTAATCAACAACCTATCACCATTATTTTTTCCAAGAATAAAAATAGAAATAAAAATGAAGGAAAAAGAGGGGAAAAAAAAGAGGAATCATTTCACCTGTATAACAAGTGGGAGAATTTTGAAGGGAGGGCTAAGATGAAGGAGAATGATGGAAGGATTTTCCAGTATTTGATAGAAGAAGATGAGCAAAAAAAACACAAAAAAGTCTTTCAAGACCCAAAGAAAGAGGAAACACATTTTCTCTCATTTTAAGCATTTTAGATTTCTTTCTTTTAAATATATATATATATATATATAGGTATGAAAGGATATAATGGTTAGACCACATGTTCTCTGCTCTTCCTTATTGCTTTTCTTCTCAACCAAACAACTAATGATAGGATTCCTTTAAAAAAGAAATCCTCTATCATTGCTTCTACACTCCTTTCAATTAAGTACCAATGCAACTCCAAGGGAATACCTTTGGAGTTCGAAAGTTTGAATTCCCTTGAAGCCACTCAGATAACTTTTCAATAATTGCTTGGTGAATGTGGCCGGGATGGGAAAACTGCATTGTCTGATGATAGACTACGAAGTGTTCGAAGAGGTCTGACCACCATAATAATAATAATAATAATAAAGTACAAATGTATTTCATCACACCAGCATTCAATAAAAGGTTACCAATAACTTCCGAGTTACCCAACACAATAAACCAAAGTACGAAGAAATAAGTTTCATGTGGTTTCATAGTGCTTATTATCAACCTCTCAGTTCATGTACTGATACATATCAGCATCCTGGAGGACATAGCATTATGTAGCAGATGCGAACAGCATGCATATTTACAAGCACTCAGCTAAGTAGTGTTCAAACAAGGTACCAGTCAACTGATCAACAGTTATTGCCATTGTCGTCATCATCTAGTAACCCCCTTGTATATATGCATTCAAGCGGTTTAACTCATCTCGGTGCTCATTCACCACAGCACGAACCACATCTCCAATGGACACCATGCCTATCATTGTCTTGTCATGAATCACTGGAATGTGCCTGATGCGGTTATCTGTCAACCAACAAAAACTCCCAAGCTTACATTGCCTTGATTAAACATCATGGTAAACATCCATGTAATGATTACTGTTACAATTTTTTCAATAAAATGCCACATATAATACCTGTCATTAATTGCATTGCCTTCAAAACTTTGGTGCTGGGTGTGACTGTGATAAGCTTGTTCTGCAACCATCAAATAATACAAGTGAAACATGTGCCATCACAAAAGACACATTTACATAAGAGGCGTGGATTTTTTTATTTTCTTTGTTTTGGTTTGTGTGGGGGGGTGGGGGACAGAATCTATGCTCGCGCACACGCAAACACACACACACGGAGAGAAGCATAATCTATTCTTTCGATGAAATGGGTGCAAGTTATACCTCCTCAGTCATAATGTCCCCAACCTTGGTTGACTTGGATGATCTTCCCTGGACTATGATCTTCCTGAGATAATCTGGAATAAGACCATCAAACCAGACTACCATTAACCAGAAAATCATAACATGAAGAATTAATTATGGGTCACGCAAGCACAAGTGTAGTCTGTAACGATATATGAAGAAGCAAAGCATTCTCCCTGGAAACAACTGCGGCAACACTCACTGGTAAGTGTTCGCTAAGTTCTTGAGTGAGTTGCAACTGTGGTTTGGTAGATATACTTTGGAACAAACACACCAACTATGTTCCATGGATGGAACTTCAAACCCAGGTAATTTAGTGAAGGGAAAAAGAAAAAAAAAAAACTTCAAACCCAGGTAGTAAAGCGGGTCAACTAGATTCAGTCAATTTAGCAGCTTCTAGATTCCAGTTTCACAGGAGGGACATAAAAAGGCCTGGCGTTCAGGATTTTTCTAAGCAATTGAAAGAGCTCACTCCAGGCGTTGTCACAAGTGTTCTCCTTTTTGGCTACCTAGAGGTCTTAAAGAGACTTATCTTCTAACATTTTCCCACACAAAACCAATAGTGTTTTTGTTTTTTGCAGGCATGGACCAATGAGCTGACTCAAACTGTAAAATTTTCATCCAAAAATTATATTTGTAACTTCGTTGACAGCAAAAAGTGTATTACAGCTGCGAACTTACAAACAGAGACAAGTCACCTCAAGAAAAATAAAACTTGTTTACCCCCACCACAAAGCTTCCAAAACATTCGAGGAATTTTGGCATTCAGCAGTGAAATATTAGCAAATACCACAGTTAATAATGTAAAGGTTACGTGGAAAGTAACTGGCAGACAAATCAATGTATCTCATATATTACAAGTATGTATCTTAAACAGACCCAGAACCTTGAATTGACGGGAAAAGCACTAGGTGGCTTTATTTCATTTAAATAATCTTTCCCATTTGTGGAATTTTGAAGCACCGTGCAGAATAGACCAAGAAAGGGAAAAAGGGAGTTTTTTGACATCCATAAGTTAAATCCATTTGGCATCTTGAAAAGGAGAGAAAGGAGTTTAGTAGGTTTACACAATTGAAATAGCATCAAGACAATGAGAGAGGAAAACAATCAAACAAACGCCAGACATTGCTTCCCATGAAAGCTTTTTTAATCATGTGACAAAAATATAAATAGGCTACTCTTTTCGAATTCTAGTACTAATAGGTTTGCTCAACAAAATAATTAAATATAGAAGGTCTTGTTTGTTTTACTTCTCAAACTTATAGCAAAACACATATATATAGACCATTTGCTTCTAAAATAGTACTCCCTGTTCCAATTTAGATGTCGCTTTTGGGGAGTAGGAATTTTTAAGGGAACATGTGGGCCATGCCTTGTTTCTTTGAAAAGTTACTAATTTGTCCTTATATTCAAGTTAGAAATTTTAAACTCCAAGGACATATATGGAAAGATGTCAAATATATTATTTGAAAAAAGAAAGTGGACAACTATTTTGGGATAAACCAAAAGGAAAAGCATGATATCTTTTTTGGGACAGAGGGAGTAGTTATGAATTTTTTTTTTTTTTTTTTTTTTTTTTTTTTTCCCAATAGTGAATTTCATAATTTCTGACTTCAAATAGATTGTCATCTCCTCTGTAGACGTACTCGTGAAAGAAAACATATGCTTTGGTAGCTTCACAAAGAGTATGATTCGTATGTACAAAGTATTGTAATCCCTATTGTGAAGAACCCCTATTGGATGCACAAGGGCCTTTTAATTGGAATTCTTTACTAAGAACTAAAGCAGAGCAGTTTATGATTACCTCTTTCTCATATTGGCACACTATTTTAGAAATAAACTACTCTTTTGCCATCAATGCTCCTACAACACCCTCAGGACCTCTCAATTATACCAATACCATCATTGGGCACAAAATTTTAGAGCTCTTTCTCATATTGGCACACTATTTTAGATATAAACTACTCTTTTGCCATCAATGCTCCTACAACACCCTCAGGACCTCTCAGTTATACCAATACCATCATTGGGCACAAAATTTTCAGTCAAGTATCCTCAATACCATTAGAAACTTCTATTTATGTTATTTTCGAGAAAAAAAACTTCTATTTATGTTAAAAAAAATGTAGGACAAACAGTCGCAGAAGAAATAGAACTGCAGGACATTATCGTCAGTAATCCTTTAAATGGCCTAAAGAAAAAGTAGAGAAGTACACTTCTCATATATACTTTTTTTATTTTAAATAATTTCACATCATATGTACCATTAAATAGTTAATACATGAAGAAGCCCAATAAGGTGAGAACAAACAAAATAACTCTTTAGTATTCTACTATGTTACATGAACTCTCCTATTTCCCTTCACTTACACGTGTCAACATGACATGGGTATGGGTACAACATATGTCCTCACACAAACCCAAATCAAACACCCCTATCCTTTACATCACGTGATTGGAGAAAAGGAAAAAACTCAAATCTAATAGTAGCGATGAGTTTCTATCTATAACATTGATGCAAACCCTTTTCACTTACCACATCTCATTTAATTTGAGTAATAATTGAATATATTTTTATAAAACAACATCAAACATTACATTGTAATAAATATTTAATATATTTACATGCGTAGTATGTGTCTACGTTCCCATATCTAACTTTCAGACATACATTCCCGTATCCTAGGCTTTTGGATTCGAGGAGGTCCAACACATTAACACATACCCACAACCGAAACACTAATCCGATTCCAGGTAACATAGGTATTTTGTGCATAGGAAGACAAGATATAAAATGTGTGAGTAAATAACCATGCAATAAAATGAGCCAGATTGTGACACAAACAACATTTCAATATCCAAGGACTGCTAAAATCCCATGTGGAAAGATAAATAAACAAAAAAAAATCCTGTAGTCCTGTCCATTTCAGAGCATTTCCACTAGGTTACTTTTCACATAAAGCCAGTATCCTGGATCAATTTGAGATGGACCAGATTAGAATTTTGATCGAGAAGTTGTATTTTCTCCCACCAAATTGACATTACCCTTTAACTATAATACATTCTGGTCCTCAACCACAAAATTAAAGGCGAATCGAAGTTGAAAAAATCATATGCTTTTAGTGCAACTACTTATAAATAAAAAAAATGCATTTAGCTAACATCCATGGTTTTAACAGGTGCAGCAATGCTTCATTTGCGGGAAATGTATCGGTCATGGACTCTTAGTAGCTTAAAAAAGAAAAGAAAAAGGGAGACATCTTTACCTCTCTCTGTGATAATCCCGGCGATTGATTTTTCCTCCCCAGGTTTCACGACCACCAAGGCACCAACATTGTGTTGTGTCATCTGCAATGGATGTATTCATCATTCAATGCTTATCGCATTAGCAAGAATGCAAAGTTGCAAACACATCATCAATATATCTATACACATATTCTTTTTACTGTTCCTATACATTTACACGTGTGAGCAGTAGAGCAGAGGGATGAGAATAAGATAAACAGCGGGATATGTACAAACACACAGATACATACCGATTTCACAGCATCGTAAACAGTGTCCTCTGTAGTGCACCAAAGCCAGGAGCCATCTGCACTTTTCCCTTTGGATTTAATAACGTCTGAAATCGTAGTGCTTTCAAAACCATGCTCTTCCATGAGAGCAGAAGAAGTCGACTCATAGCGAGAGAACATAAGAGGTTGCATGACTGGATTCACCAAACGGACGCGTTGTAGAACTGCATTCTTAAGGATATTCCCACTCGATAGGAATGCCCGAATTCCTCCTTGCATTTTACCTGTTGGAAATTTCGTTCACGGTTCAGAGATCATCAATGTTCTTTTCTTTTCTTTTCTTTTCTTTTCTTTTCTTTTTTGTTGTGCTTGTGTGTTCACCTAGCATACAGTGCCCTTTACAAGTGAAGAAGAGGTAATCATCCAGATACATAATTATTTCCAAACACAAAATCACGTTGCTTACTTGGAAGGTACATCATAAATGCTACGACCTAATAAAAAACCTATTCAGAAGTATAAAAATAGAATTAAAAAAATTGAACCAACATAAATGAGGTAAAAACTTATGTGTATCTTTTTAGTAATGGCTCTCAAAAGTTTCAACCATATTCAGGGGGCAAAAGCTTCCAGGGAGCTGCAATTTTGGTTAGTGCTACCCATTTTGATTGAATATACTATTTAATATTAATCTTTGGACAGCAATTCAAAAAAAAAAAAAAAAAATCTGATTTTCTTTAAAATATCAATTTAATAAGACATATTTTGTTATCTTTTCAAAAAAAAAAAAGTCTTGTAAATAAAAGAAAAAAATTATTCCACTAAAAAGTCGAAAACAAAAAATAAAAAAATCTGTTACACCAACACCATGACCTCCAAGCTACCCAGCACCTCCAACATACATCAATCTGTGCAGTGCTGCAACAGCAGAACCACTACCACTGCAATCACCACTTCTGACACACCACCTCTACCATGACAATCCATACCAAATCAGTGAATCCCTAATCCAATAGCTAATTTTTGTAGAGCTTAAAAAAAAAATACTCCTTTAAGAAACGTTTTTCTCCCCAAATTTGGATAATCCAGATAGAGGGGGTGTGGGTGTATCAATGGCCTCTATGATCTCTATCTCTTATTGAAACGCAAGTCCGGATGATGTATCAGCACTCAAAAAATATTGCTGCGCACTAAAGCTCTTGTTAAATACCCAGATCGATAGAGATGCCTTTTCTCCTAGATATTATATACTTTCACATTCTTTCAATAAATCACCATGATCTTTACAATTTTATCAAGAATTATTCTCAATTCCCTTCTTATCTGCGTCTCCACCATTTCACAGCATCAACTTTATGAGCCTTTCAACATTTCAATTCTACAATTAATCCTAGTCCAAATATGGCTAGAAAGATTCACTCCCAATAAAGAATTTGAAACACCCAACACACCAATTATCTTCTTGAGATCTGATCCTTTCACAGATATATATATATATATATATATATATATCTCATTAATACCTTACCACGATCCTTACAATTTTGATCAAGAAATTTTATCAATTCCCTTGGTATGTTCACAATCTGTAGCATTTAAGTTTTAATGATATGATATATCAGTTTTACACTAGTTAAAAAATGTTTAGAAATAATGATTCTCAATGACAAATCTAAAAAAACCAATACACCAATTAGCTTAAATTTGACATCCAAGAGTGGTTACAGAGAGAAGTAGACCTTCACAGATAAAAAAAAAAAAACAAAATCTACTTCATTTATTGCTACAAAATCTAATATACATATGTGTATATAACTATATATATATGTTTATACAAAAGATGAAATCCCAAAAAATTAATTCGAAGGGAGGAGGAGGAAGACAGGGGGAGGCTTACCTGATCGGAAAAACTTGGAATTGGTTGAGCAAGCAGAGTATGGGGCAAGTGGGGGTTACAGTTACAGATAAGACTTGTTCTCTCATATTTATCCAACAAACTACCAAATAATATATTTACAAATCCCAGATCACTATCGAAAAACGAGCTCATCACCACTACGTGTCTGTCTGTTGTCACGAGACTCATGCTACTACAAACCAATAATTACAAAAAAAATAACTGTGAGTGTTAATAGTTAATCCAAAAGTTTATGTACTAATTCAACATAGAAATCAAAGCTTATCTAGTATAGTATTTTATTCCAATTGGGTCCTTTCAGAGGAGAGAGAATGAGAGTTGCAATAATGGAGGGTGACAATGGTGATAAGGTTCAATGGATTTGAGGACTACAAGTGCGGGTGGGGAGCATGTCACATCACCACTGTCCTATACCAAGCTGTTTTATAATTTATAGGGCCACCAAGATCGTCTCTGGAGACGGTCAACTGATTCATAAGAACATATCCGAATTCCATAACAAAGTTGGTCCATTGTCACATGTAACACTAATTTGCAGCTAAGATGGGGGGAAGTGATGGAAAGAGTAAATGACATTGAAGCCATGGTCTATTTTTCTGGTGGAACAATTAAGTTAAATTAGAATTTCATTTCAGCCCTTACTTCAAGTGACCTTAAATATATCATTTTGAGAGTTAATTTTATTGGTCCAAAAGAAAAAATATACTCCTTTCATTCTAATTTAAATTTATTGAGAGTAGTAATTTTTAAAGAGACTTGTACGACATGCAATGTCTTCTTAAAAAGTTACTAACTTGTCTTTTTAAGTTTTGAATATTCAAGTTTAAAATTTAAAACTCAAAGAACATATATAGAAAGATGTAAAAAATAAAACATGACATTTATTTTAGAACAGAAAGAATATATAATAACTGATAAAGATTAGGATAAATTACACTCAAACTCTTTGAGATTAGATTACTTTGCAGCTGGATGAAAATTTTAATTTTAATTTTTACTTACACTCTAATTTACTTTTTGACTTATAATATATATGAATGGATCATTTTACTTTTAATTTTTTAATACAAAATATATATAATCTTAAATATGATAAAAAAAAAAAAAAAAAACCCTACATATATATTCAACACCGGCACCATCACCACTACCCATCACCAGATCCCATCCCCATGCCAATTTTTTATTCAATCGCGTCTCTAAGTCAGCATCATTACAAGACTTTTTGACTTTTTTTTTTTTTTTTTTCAAATTGCAAGACGTTTTGAAGATAGAATTTGATGGGTTTATTTTCAAATTTAAACTTCAATATAGATAGAATTTCAAACCCACACTCCTCTCCTCTTCTACGCTCAAACCCTAAATCTCAACCACCCCTCTCTTCATGCCCAAAAACCTTCAATCCAGTGTGTGTGCATATATATATATATATATATTTGTACAGAGAGAAAGAGAGAATTAAAGGATGGGTTTAATTTTAGATTTGTGCAAATGCGTGATACTGAAGAGAGTGTGTATATAATACACATATTTGTAGAGAGATAAAGAAATAATTAAAGGCTACATTTAATTTTCAGAATTATATATATATATATATATATGCCACTAAACAATTTTCAGATCTAGCTCGCTGAATCATTGAAGATTAATCTGCATTGTGTGATGGTGGTGTTGGTGAGAATATCTTAGACGCGGGAACTTGCTGAAAGGGAGAGCGTGAATTTGACAGAAAAAAGAAAAAGAAAAAAAGAGAGAGATTAACCAGAAGAATAGGATTCTCGTGATGAAGGAGATGAGGTTAGAGAGAGAGAGTGTGAGAGTCGGGAGATGAGAGGTTAGAGCGAATACTGTGTGTGTGGAATGGGTTTAGCTACTGTTGTGGGTCTGAGACATTATGGAGAGTATGTGTGTGTGTGTGTGTGTGTGTGTATATATATGTCCCTAAAAAGTAAGTACTGTGTGGGATTGATGTGTGAATTGGGGATGAAGATGGTCTGAGGAGGAAGAGGGAAGGTGTATGTTGAGAGTATTTTGGTTATAAAAATAGTCAATAGGAGGTCAAACAGTAATATAGTCATTCAACACCTCAAAAGTACTATGATTAATAAAAAATTAATATTTAATATGTAAATGAAATATTAAATCACTCGTTATAAGTAAAATTTAAAATCAAAATGTTAATTTAACTGATAAATGATCTAATTTCATGAGATTTGAGTGTAATTTAACCGAAGATTATTATTACGGATGTTCATTTTGTAAAAATTCAAAAACTAAGAATGTGTAATATAAAATATTCATACAACATATTAAATAATCAATGCCATAACACCATTAAATTAAATTAAAATTTTTATACATCCACATAGCTCTAAGTAGCTAGCATTAACAATTATGTTATGTTAACCCGGATCATCTACTGCCACAATCTTTTAACGCATTACATTTATTTTTCTGCACGCACAATATCATCTGGCTTTCAACACCTACAACACCTAACCCCAACAGGCTCTTTAAAAACACGCAAGACAACCAAAATGCACGTGACAGAGAATCTGATTCCGTACCACGTGAATCAAGAACTTGATGGAAATTCTCAATTGCATTTCTGAGCTGAGCCAATATTTAATAAACAATGCATCTACATAAGGTATAGTTTTAGGAATAGTGCTTCAAGGAGTAAGCAATGAGCATCATTTATGATTTCATCCTGGCTTCTCATGCATGTCTTTTTTTCTCTTTTTTTTTTTCTTTTTTTTTTTTTTATATTTTTAATAACAGCATCTTATACATGTCCTTGACAGCTAAGGAAGCCTAGTGTTGCACCATGAATAAAAATAGACACATATCTCAATTTCTTTTGTAACGAATTCTACAGCTCTGAGGAAAACTAAGCAATAGTTTCAAACTGCAAAATCAAATTACTAGACACTAAAACGGTCACAGCATCTGATGCTGCCCACAAACAATGTCACTCGAGAAAGTACAAAACTGATTCTTCGATCTGCATCAAACTGATAAGATTCAACCCAGAAGGCATGCTGAGTTGCTTGCCACAATGAGTTTAATAAAACTGAGAACAGCACCAGAGCCATCTATCCTATTCTCCTACTGTCAGCCCAAACCCGAACTTGTAGTCTTTCTTCAAGTGATCTATCTGCAAGATATAATTTTAGGAGTCGTTAAAGAACAAGGTTGCAGCAATAAACCAGGAACTGCATCTTCTGTGACTCTTCGGTAACAGAAGGCATTCAATGAACTATGCTAGAGCAGGAGCCTATCAAAGAATGCTATACAGGGCACAGGTAACAAGAAAATCCATGAACCATAATCATCATAATGCTCCATTCACCCTTTACATTCAAATATACTCCTTTTGTAAGTTAATTGAAATCATTTTTGCAGGCATAAAAGGCAGACTAGGACACTTTCACCTGCAATGCTATGCCCCTGACATTGGAGGGGAAAGGGAGAATTGCGGTGGAAAAGATAGCAGGAAAAGAAGGAAAAAAAAAAAAGAAAAAAAAGAAAAAAAAGAAGAAGAAAGGACTAGCACATGTTGATTCTCACCTCTGCAGAAAGAATGAAATTAAGACCCATATTTAATCGCTCTTCCAGAAAAGCAGAAGTGCAGCCATTAGAATCAATCTTCCCTCTAAGACGACACTGTATCAAACACAATGAAAAAGTTAACCATGATAATAATTACTTTGAACTCTACTTTTTGCAGTGAACTTCAACATTTTAGGTATGCAAATCTGGCCCATAATGTCATCTGCACAGGAGCCTTGAGAAACTCATAGCAACGGAACTTCCAATAAATTCGAGAATAAGTGATTAATTTTGGCCAACGTTTGTAGTATTATCAGTAATTCTGAGAGCCAGGAGCTACATATTATTAAACCATCATGAAATATAAAACTAAATAAACTAAGACATGATGTTGACTCGATTCAAGAACAAAGATTCACAAGCAAACCAGATTAAGCAAATTCCGAACCAGTAATCATCTCAATCTACTGAACGGAAAACATTTTGTTGCCGATGCCCACTTGTTGAAAGAGTCAGAAATCATTTATAAGAGAATTAATGGAAGTGACATTTATTATAATACCTCCAATTTTCCTTTAGCTTTCTGTCAGGCTGGGCAAAGAAAGCACTCAGTTCTAAAACCATAGCACATACAAAGATGCACACACCAGCAATGCAAGTTTAATAAGTCATCTTATTTTTATTTGGGTGGTAAACATCTTCAAGGAGGAGACTGCCTAGAGTTTTTTAAGAGGGTTACTACTTTCCTAAACTCTCTCTGGGCTTTGTTTATAATTAGCTTCCTTCACTCTGTCTGCCTCCTTTTAATTTTTTTTTCCTCCTGTATTTATTTCTTTTTCCCCTACCTCCTACCTGCTTTCCTTGGTGGTGCAGAGCTTGGATACACATATTGTACTTTCTTTTCTTTTTTTTTTTATATCCTTCTTCTTACATCAATAAATGTTTCAAAAAAAAAAAAGGAGGAGGAAGAATGAAATAGTGAAGCGTTTCTACAAATCAGAAGCAGAACATATATTGTTCTCCATGCAGCTGCTCACCAGAATACAGGCATATTTTAGGTGGCAAGCAAAAAGATAGCATTTTGCGCAAGAATTAGGATTAAATCCTAGAATATACGCATGCGAACACACCGATAGAGAGAGAAAGAGAGACTTATATAATAATTCTTCAATACAAATTTTACAACTATAAAACAGTATAACAAGTTCAACAAGTTCAGTACGACTAAGTACTTGCAAATTTGTTTTAGGAAATTGAGAGATCCTGTCCTGACTCTTTGACAACAGATGATGACATCTAACAGCTATTAGGAAAGAGTACTTGTGTTACCTGGTCAACATAATGACCATTTAAGGGGACAGAACAAAGAAGAAATGTCTATTAACCTACGTTAAATCTTGTTTGCTGGTTCAGTTTCCATCTCTAGTATACATACTTGCACGAAAGAGATCACATTTCATGGTTTATAGAACATTGGAATAATATCAAGCATACTATGAATGAGTGGACCAAGAACCCAAAAAATAAATAAAAATAATTACACATCATGGATATAGGGAACTTCCAATAGCACCCAACTGACCTGTCGAAGGATGTAATCATAACCGAAGCTTGCAGTAACATCTCTTGACATGTAGTTGTACATGAAGTCCGATGCCAAAGAAACCTACAAGGAAGAAAACAGTGTGAGAAATGTGTGTGAATAACAATTACTGAACAGTTCAACTGCCTTACCTTCTCAGATATTTTCTGAACGTAGCTCAGAGCAACCATTCCAGTGCTAGCAACTTGCCCAGTGGCAACCTAGAGGCAAAAAGGTGATTTCAATTTTTGTTATATCAGACAAAGCATGAACGCATGGTAAAACCAAAATCACTTCCACCTCATCGATCATCGATGCTCTCTAAAAAATATTCACTACTCCCCCCACCCACGGGAGAAAAATGATCAGTGCTAGATGCAAACAAATAATCAAAACAAATTTCATAAATACTAAAGGACCATCTGGCAACCTCTTTGTTTACTGTTTTTTATGTATTTGTTTCAATAATTTGGAAATACAACCAAAAAATAAATAACTAAAAAAGCCTTTCATGTATTCATATCCCATAGGAACACCAATCCAACATGAGTTAGAGCTTCAAACCGCTAAGATACGTTGCAAACCCTTTCACGTATTCATATCCCATAGGAACTGTATTGAATAAGGAATCGTTAACTAAAACCACATATCGGCCACTGAGTCGAACATAACCAAACATAGACCGACATCCCTTCCACGGGTCTAATCACAAGTTACAAAAATGCATGCCAAATGGTAATGCAAACTTCAGATTGTACACCGAAATTTGGCCTACAGATTGAAACATTCTCCAATCAAAGCCAATGGTCAAAACCATGCCAATTCAGGTCAGTATTGCCGATAACCACTAATTGATAGAGAAATGCAAGAGAATTTTATGACTCTCAAACATTGTGACAGAGTATTAAAGCCAATTCACTGTACCATCTTATCTGTGTTGTAACGAGCAGCATAACCAATACCAGACTTTCGATGCTGACCAGCCCAGAATACTTCACCACCCAAAGACATATGTTTTGTCACACTCTGCAGGCAAATGGAAACTTCCAGTAAAATATTGAAAGCAAATTAGAATAAATAATTGTGTTTTTCCTCCTCCTCAGCGAGAGAGGAATAAAGGAAAAGGGACAGGAAGATAAGGAAGGAAAGGAAAACTAAGTAGTCATCTGCAAAAAAACTAAATATTACAAAAGCATATAAAAACCATTCGCAAAGCATTACAGAACTTATTAATTGCAATACAGCATTCCTACACATCTCCTTATAAAAAAACAATATTTCAACTGATGCAGAAAAGTTAGTCACAAAAAAAATAAAACAATAATAATTATTAATACTTGAGGTTTTTCCAATAGGTAATATGTCCATTACCAACTATTACAAAAACTTGGTAAAATAATGTAGCCTTTTTGCACAACTTACATTCTGGTAGAACGCATATATAGAGAGATGTTTTGTGGTGCATGGGGGAGAGGCATTATCACAACAGCACTTGGGACGCTCTCCCTTCCCCTTGAATAGTGAAAATTCATTGATAAAATTAAATAATGTGCGGTCATTGATATTCGTCTCAACTTTTATCCAATTTTTAGAATTCAAGACAGAATTCCTTTCAACTTGAAAAGAAGCACTCGGTAAGTATTAAGAACAAGTATTTAAACAAGTTGAGAGTAAGCACTTCATAAATTTTAAGAGCAAGAATTGCTAGAATGTACAAGTGTGATAGAGCCTGGGAACAGACACTTGTTGCTGATAATGTGAAAGATTAGGTATATACACAGTTCATACCTCCCAACACCCTTGATTGATGGGGCGGACACCATTGGGTAATGGGAAATTGCTACAGTCTGCCTAACCCTGAACTGACTTTGAACGAGGCCTGTATCCAAATTCCAAAAATCCAATATATGTGTGTGCGTGTATGCGCCACATGCTTTATATATTTTTCAATATAATAAATTGAATCTGGGGACGACCAAATTGTTTGTTTATAGATATATATACAGTACACATGTATATTTCTTAAGGCAAAAACACACCCCCATTATCCACAATGCGTCCTTAGTGGGACTCAAACTCTCAACCTCCCCCTTTGGGGAGGAGGGATCATACGATTGGGCTAGCAAAACAAGCTAATTTGGTTCTTGAGATCTGCAAAGTTTGTTCATTCCTCATCTTGTAAAGTACATGCCATGTGTTCTTCATTGCATTAACAAAAACTCTATAGATTCTTATGTCAATAAAAGTAAAAAATTATTTAAAGGAGGGGAAACTTTACCTGGATGTAACTGGCTCCAAATAAGGCCCCGTTGCCCAACTGAAATTGGGTCCTATAGTCTTTTCCCTGAATAAGTAAAAAAAAAAACACATCAAGACTACTAACAGACAACAACTGAGAGGAATCCAAGCGACTTCAAACTACCAGAAGAAAAGATCTTCACTGAAATGTTACTAACTAAGGAGTCTAAGGTACAATGAATTCACCATATCATGTGACGTATGACATGTCTACTCTTAAAAGTGAAGTAATAATAGTGCTAGAAGAAAAGATCTTCACTGACATGATACTAACTGAAGTACAATGAACTCACCATACCATGTGACCTGTAAACTATGACATGTCTACTCTTAAAAGTGAAGTGATAAGAGTGCTGGATATATTGACCTTATTGCCCAGGAAAGTAAATTAACATTCTATATATATGTTTGGGAGTGGGGGAAGCACGGACACGGATACGACACGACACAGACACGGCGACACAACAAATCCAAAAAAACTAGGACACGGACACGGCGAATAGTATATATATATATTATATATATATGATGTAGTACTTTAAAAATTACTGTGTTACTATTTTTCATCAACCTCATAATGAAAAAAATACACAAATCACAACTCATCTACTATAATAGTGTAATGACCGACCCTTAAATATCTATTTGTTTTGTCTAAAATTACATATTAACCTTACAAGTTTAATATTATTATGTACTGACCACATAAGTGAGTAAAAGTTGTTAAATAATTTCACATATTTATACTTTAACCCAATTTTCTTTCAAAAATTATCTTTTAGACCCCCGAAAATAAGATGCGTGTACGTGGAGTGTCCGTGCCGTGTCCGAAAATTAAAAAAAATAAAAATTTCCAAACACGTTTTTTGGTGTGTCCGACACATGTTGGACACGGATTCTTCGCCCATTTTGGCGTGTCCGTGCTTCCTAGGTGATATATATATGAGAGGGGGATTTTAACAAGTATGAGCAACTGACCTTGTAATCAAAATTGAACATGCCATGCGACATGTGCGGCTCATTTGTAAGCTGGAAAATATACACATTTAGAGTTAGTCAACTAGCTTTCTCAATATAAATATACTGTCAACTCAAACAAACACCCAAAAGAAAGTTACTTACTTGAGCATTGGCCTTCATAGTGAGATTCTCAGACAAATCACACTTCATTCTAGCATTTAGCCTCCCATCTGTCAATACCCTCCCAAAAAGCATCAACTGTATTTAGGATAGATGCTTCACAGTTAGATTAACATTCATAAGAATGAATTAGTTCCAATGAGATGATGAATGATTACATACCTTTGGGTCAATAAAGTTAGCACCAAACTCATAGTGAGCAGTGGGAATCTTAATGGTTTCAGTGGACTGAGAAGGAATTTCAGTAGGTCCCATAAAGACACTAATGGATAGTCGACAAGACATAGTCATTAGAGAATATGGAAAAAGGAAATAAAAGAAAAAGAAAGTTACAGAAGGTTAATTTGGAACTACCTGTGACTCAGTGAGAATTTCTGATTGAGTCCTTTGGTAAAATCAAAGCGCATTCCCTCAAAAAGTTCTGGCTTCAAGGACACTGCCAAAACATATTCCAGCAAATCAAGATTCATGGAAGAACCCCCCTTCTTTTAGTAGTAAAATATCAAAGATGACATACTCACACTCATAAGAATCACAAAACAAATGCACTTATCCAAAAAAAAAATCAAAAAACAAATGCAGTCGTCAAATAAAATGAACATCTCATAATCCATTAATTAATAAACTGTCCCAAAACATTATGCATTTTGAAAGTACCTTTCTTGGTTCTATGCAAAAAATAAAATAAAATAAAATTAGGCACCATTTGCCTTCAAAAACAAAATATAAACTTCTAAACTACGCCCAAACAGTCCCCAAAAAATGTGCCGTGAAGAAGATAATAGTACTTCGTTTTAGAATTCCATGACGTTACTTGCACTAAGAACTCTTTAATACAAACCCCAAATACTAAATCCCACCTAAAACAAGTATATAATGTAAATACATATCTTCCTTCGATCTACTAACAAAACTTCAATTTAAAAATAACTAATAATAACGTGTAGACAGCAATAAAGTGTATATAAGATTTCATGATCAGGGTTTAACGCAGAAAATAATAAAAATAAATAAATAAATAAACTAGAATCATAAAATTTTGATTGAAGTAAACATAAGAATATAAATCAATGAACAGTAAAAATAATAATAAAAAATAAGAGCAAAGCATAAAAATATTAGTATATAATTGGATGATACTAACTGAGAGCTTCACGGTGGATTTCTTCGTAAGGGATAGGGCAAGGAAGATTCATGTAATCGACTTTCTCCGGCTGAACCACCGTAGGCTTCGGAGGCGCTGGCGTCGTAGCAGTGGGAGGGATAAGAGTCGCCATTGTTTGTGTGGGTCTCGATTCACAAGACACGGTGAGTTCACCTTCAACTTCTCTTTCTTCTTCCCACTGCGGCTGTAGAGCGCACCGTGACTTCGGGTATGTATGAGAGAGTCCAAGGGAAGAAAAGTAAAACCCTTTTCAAACCCCTAGGACGGACCAGTCTGCAGCTTAAAGCCCAAGCCCGTAAAGTTATTTTAGGATTCAGAGCAATTAGCATCCGCCTTTTTCTATAGCTCAAACTTTCTTATGGGAGAGGTTTAATAAACTCTACTTCAATTTATTTTATTTTGTTTTATTTTATTTATTTATTTATTATTATTAATAATAATTATTATTATTTTAACAAACTCTCCTTCAATAGATTCACATTTGTTTTAATTTTGTTCATACAGAATGTAAGATATATATGTATAGGGCGAGAGAATAATGGAGATAATCAATTTACAGTGTGTAAGATTTATTTTATTTATCGCTTTTTATTGAGGATTCAAGTTTATAATAATCATTGTAAAGGTATTTATATTTATCAATTCAATAAAAAAAAGTTTTATTTTTAATCTTAATTCTACTGTTCTTGAATTTACTTATCAAAAAATTCTACTATTCTTGAACTGTTTTTTTTTTTTTTTTTTTTTCATAACTTCAATAACGTAAAACAATTACTAAAAAAAAATAAATCAAACCAGCATTAATTTTATAGGCTTATATATAAAGATTCAAAGCCAATTCAAAAATTAAGTAAAAATTTAATAGATGTATCTTTGTTCAAGACAATGTCTGAATTGTTACGAAATTTGTGTGAGTCGAAATTCACTGCACGAGAAATTTTGCAACTTTAAAACTATTATACTTATCATATCCCAGTTCACTAAATATATAAGTTGATTGAAACAATTATGGCTCCGTTTGTTTCGTTTGTTTTTTGAGGTAAAATATTTTTTTTATTTTTACTTTTTTGATGTTTGGTAAATATCTGCGTTGTCGAACGAGAATATAAAATATTTTGTCGAAAATTGATGAATAAATTATTTTTGTTAAATTTTAATATATTTTTTCTTTCATAAATATTTTACCATAATCAAACACTAAAAAATAAAAAAAATATTTTCTAAAACATATTTTACATCCAAACAAACGCAACCTCTATATATATATATATATATATATATATAATTTGATGTACCTACGACTAAACCATTGGTATAAAGTGAAGGGTCTAAAGAAAAAAAAAAAAAAAAAAAAAAAAAAAAAATTGTAAAATGTCATTGGGCCAGACAGTGGGCTGCTCAGAGTTTGTAAACCCAGAAACTGCCATATGGACCGACAAGAGAAGACATGCTCTCCGAATACACACGCCCTAGCAGAGCAGGCCCGTTAAATTCCCAAATTCTTATATTTACGACGAAAGATGTTGACTGTCTCTCTCTTGTCCCATGACCAATGCTTCCATTGAAGACGCGAAAGAGAAATCCTCACACGACCTAAGTCTCCTGACTCTCCTCCAACCGCTATCCCCGGTACTTCTCATTCTATAAACAAATATATACACGCGCACACATACAAATGTATACTGTATATTTTCAAAATTTTCGACTCTAGCCATTGATTTCCATCTCCACTCTACTGCTAGTACTATTCTCTCTGATGCTCCATTGGATTCACTCATCCATAAATTCGTTTCTTGAATATCAATGCGAGTGACTTTGTGCTTTTGTTTGATGTAAATTAGTTAAAGAATGAACTCAAGTATTCTTGATTTATTTCCGACATGTGTGTATATATATATATATATATATATATATCATACATACATATTATATATATAATATTGTAATTCTGGATGTTACCTTTTTAAAATAAATAAATAAATTGTTCATTGAATTTGACGGTTCAGTAACTGTGTTGTGAATTTGATTTCTTGGAATCATTTAGTACAAATGGAATTTCTAATTATTATATTTTTTCATTATGGGCCGTTGATAGTCTGATTGTTGGAACCATAAGAGGAAACTTGACATTTTCTAAATAAAAACAAATAAATACACATTTGTCAAAGTTTTTAAGCGGTACAAAGGTGCAATCAAGACCCATCTCATTCTTGCAAAATATATGGCTCAAGAATCAATACGATGATAGATATTATTTTCAATCATATCATATGATCAGCAACCGGCATTGCTTATCAATAGAGTTTATTGGTTAATCTAGCCCTGAATTATTCTATTTTTATATGCGGAATTTGTTGTTGGGTATCATCGAAGGACCTGTTTCACAAATCATAACAGATACTCATTACTAACTTTCATCTTTCTGTTGAACTTTAGCCCGCCAAATTATGATAATATTCTTCTCCAGAATTTTCCTTTTCTATTTATCCATTTTACTCTCCTGCCTTGTATAAGTCAATTCTGGAACTAAGTGACCAAGGAGAACCTGAATCTTGATATAAAACTATGCAATAATCAGTTAATGGAGAGATGGAAAGAAATTCCATTTCAGAGCTTGTCAAATACCAAAATCTAGTAAAAAACTACCAGGAGATTGTAATATGCCTATATTTTACAGTTTTTATTTTAGTTAATTTAATTGCATTATTTGAATTATTTGCATTATTTGAGTATTTGAATTATTTGTTTCTTTAGGTTATTTAATTGTTTAATTGTCTAATTAAAATCGCTTGATTGTTTGTTTAATCTAAATGATTTATTTTAATAGTTTAATTGTTATGTTTATTTAATTATTTATTTTATTTTATTTTATTAAGTGTGGATTGGGCTTTAGGTTAGTTGGACCAGAGGAGTTGGTTTGGACTAGTTGAGAGGGCCTAGGTATGTTGATGAAGGCTTCAGGCCCATGAGGAGGTGTATATATATATATATATATATATATATATATATTTATATATAGATTTTATTAAAGGAGGAATGACCATGGTCAGCACGGCCTACAAAAGGAGAAACCCTCCTCCTCCATGCAAGTGATGAAAATTCTCAGATTTATGTTCGGAAAACCATAACATGGGATGAGGTCACCTTTCCCGAATAATGGACTCTTGAGCATGCAATTCCTCCTTTGAAAATTGAAAACAAAAGATTGGAGCAAATCTCTCAATTTTCTGATGGAACTGTAAAAGTTAGATTTAATTCTAGCAGGTCTTCGAATCCCAACAGACTTTCGATTAGGATCTAGGGCCACCTAGATCATCCTGTTCTCAAGCATCTTTCTCACAAACAATCCATTCAAAAGTTCCATCCAGAAATTCATTTTCAGGAACACCCACAAAGAATCCCAGCCTCATTGGTGTCAAAAACAAAGAAGTTGCTAATCCAATTTACACTGACAATGAAAATGAGAAGACTGATGAAGAAAATGTTCTTCTCCACCGCCAAAGACCTCTCCTTCCCCGTGAAATTCCTCTTGAGAATCAAACTTATCATGATTTTCCTCCATCTCCAAATCATTCCCAATTTGAGGACCCAGATCCCCAGATCTATATGATAGAACGAGTTTACGAAATTGACAAGGAATTTTTACGTACAGACTTCTACTCAAAGGTCAATGATTTACAAAGAGAATGGTACTTCAAAACCTTCTCTTCCCAAAAAAATGCATGAAATTAGAGAAGAATGGTATGCTTTTTGTATATGACACAAATTTTCAGCTCCGTTCTTTTTATGGTTTGAAAAATATTGTCTTGACAATGAAATAAACTTTCCTTTTTCGACCATCAGATCTCTAAATGCTACCTATAAAATAACAACCACATGGCAAACATCCCGTGGTGAAGCCATAGAAGTCATTCATCCTCCCTCAGAAGCAGTCCACTTCAATGTCAGGACGGGCACTCTTCTCCTTTCAAAACAAGAGCTGAAACTGATAATACCCATCCCACAACCCGTGATGTTAAAAATATCATGGAACAAAACAACTATACGAATCAGCATCTCTAGACCATTGGTACCCAGCTTTCTAGAATTGAATCATTGCTTCAAAAGGAACAAGTTATTCCAATTCGATCAGACAATGCACCTCCTTTCATTCCCCATGAAATCCCTCTGCATTTATCTAAACAATTATCCAAGCGCAGTGCTATTGAGGAAGCACATGAAAGAATTAAGAAAATTGAATCCCTTCTATTTTCTACTTCTACGATTCCTGATACTCCTGAACGACCTTCAACTACCAAGACAATCAATACCCTAGACCAAGACGTTGGAACTGACACCGAGATTGATGAAATTTCAGAAATTTTCGAGAACCAACACATAAATGCTTTAGAACCCACTTATTCTAGGAATTATTATCCTAGACCCACATTCCCTGATCTTCAGATTGAAGAAAGCGGACAGTTTTCCCAGGCCGCTTACCATGAGGGAACCATTTATGAATGGAACATAGATGACAAAACTGAGTATCATATCCTCAATACCCTTCAAGAAATGACCAGCACAACCTACAAACCAAGAATAGTTCATCTGATCATGCCATAGCCCAACTCTTGGTAGGAGGTTTTACAGGGCAACTCAAAGGATGGTGGGACAACATTCTTTCTCCTGACAAGCACAACGCCATTCTCCATTCTGTTAAAACAGATCCTAGCGGAATGACAATAAAGACTGAAGATGGAAATGATATAGAGGATGTAGTCGCTACTCTTATTTTTTCAATCGCCAAACAATTTCTAGGAGACCTCTCAATTATCAGGGACAAAACTTTAGAAATCTTAGCCAATCTTAGATGTCGCAAACTCCAAGATTTCAGATGGTACAAAGATGTTTTCCTATCAAAAGTTCTTACCAGAATTGATTGTAACGAAGCCTTTTGGAAAGAAAAATTCATTGCTAGACTTTGCAATCTCTTTGCTGAAAGAATTCGTAAACATTTCAGATCAAAACACAATGGCCATATTCCTTATGATTCTCTTACTTACGGGGATATTATCAGTACCATTACAGCTGAAGGAATAGCTCTCTGTACCGATTTCAAGCTTCAACAGCAAATTAAGTACGAGAATGCCACAAGTAGAAAAGAATTAGGATCCTTGTGCCAACAATTTGGCTTTGAAAACCTAACCCCTCCTTCCAAATGAAAACGTCACAGCAGCTATAAGAGGACTTTTTCCAATAGGTGTGATGACCTTGTGGGCGGGTGTGCTGTGGGCGGGTGCGAGAGACACTGATAAGCTACCACACTGGCGAGCTACGGGTGCACAGTCCCACATCACCTGGATAGAGGAAAGGTGAAGTGCTTATATGTAAGTGTGTCATCTTCATTATGATGACCTTGTGTACGGATGTGCCGTGGGCGGGTGCGAGAGACACTGTCAGGCTACCACACTGGCGAGCTACAGGTGCACAGTCCCACATCGCCTGGGTAGAGGAAAGGTGACGTGCTTATATGTAAGTGTGTCACCTCCAATTGGTATGAGGCCTTTTGGGGTGAAGCCCAAGAGTAAAACCATGCGGGCTCAGGCCCAAAGCGGACAATATCATACCATGTGGTGGAGTGGGTCGTTACAAATATGAGTGGGTCGTTACAATGGTATCAGAGCCTGACCCAGCTGGAAGTGTGCCGACGGGGACGTCGGGCCTCTAAGGGGGGTGGATTGTGATGACCTTGTGGGCGGGTGTGCCGTGGGCGGGTGCGAGAGACACTGACAGGCTACTACACTGGCGAACTACGGGTGCACAGTCCCACATCGCTTAGGTAGAGGAAAGGTGAAGTGCTTATACTTAAGTGTGTCATCTCCATTGTGATGACCTTGTGTGCGGATGTGCCGTGGGCGGGTGCGAGAGACACTATCAGGCTACCACACTGGCGAGCTACGGGTGCACAGTCCCACATCGCCTAGGTAGAGTAAAGGTGAAGTGCTTATATGTAAGTGTATCACCTTTAATTGGTATGAGGCCTTTTGGGGTGAAACCCAAGAGCAAAACCGTGCGGGCTCAGGTCCAAAGCGGACAATATCATACCATGTGGTGGAGTGGGTCGTTACAATAGGCACAATAACAAATCTAGAAATACCTTTCTTCAGAGAAAAATAAACAAAGAAATATCCCTCCTTCAAAACAATTCCAGAAGAAGCCTGATCCTTCCAAAGTAGCAATTAAATGCTTCAAGTGTGGTAAGTTGGGTCATTACAAACGTGATTGCAAAGCCAAACAGAAATCAATGAGCTCGATCTCCCTGAAACTGTCATAAACCAATTAATGCAAATCCTTTTAAACTCTTCTGATGAAGAATCTGAGAATGATATCGATGATATTCAAGAAGATGATTATCATGGTGATACAGATTATGATTCTGATTCTTCCAATTCATTTTTTGAAGCCCAGCCTATCAAAACCAAATGCGTCTACATGATTACTGAAGACCAAGAATTTATGCTAGAACTCATTGATAAGATTGAGGATCTTGATCAGCGCAAGGAATGTCTGATCGAATTCACCAATGGCATTGGCCAAAGGAATGACAAAAATCCAGTTGTCATAGAAAACACTTACAATCTTACTGACATCTTCGAAAGATTTGGTACAAAACCCTAAACGCCAATTACGATCCAAGACCTCCACAAAGAAATCAAACAAACCAAACAAGAGATTTCTATCCTAAAACAAGAAAACAAAGCTTTGAAGGACTCCACTACTCATGATATTCTTACTCTCAAGAACCAACTTCTTCTTCAACAATCAATGTTAGATGCCCTGAAAACACCACCATGTTAACCTCAAAATTGTCATCAACAAAGCCTTTACAATTCAAACTGTAGCACTAATTGATTCTGGCGCTGATCTCAACTGTATTAATGAAGGACTTGTTCCTACAAAATACTTTGAGAAAACCAAAGAACGACTTCAAGGTGCCAATGGTTCACTTCTTATTATTCAGTATAAACTAACCAATGCCCATGTTTACAACCAAGGTCTTTGTATTAAGACATCTTTTATTCTCATCAAAGACCTCAATACCCCCAGTTATTTTAGGAACTCCATTTATTTCTCTCCTGTACCCATTCAAAGTTGATGGCTAGGGAATCTCAACCACTCTGGTAGGACAAGAAATTTGTTTTCCTTTTGCTCATCCTATCGTCATCAAAGGTCTCAATACCATTAAAGATTCTTACATCACTCGAATCCAGTTGTCAATAGGATTGAAAGCAAAACAAAACATCTAGACTTTCTCAAACAAGAATTAAGTTTCCAACAAATTGATGATGAACGTCTCAATCACAAAAACCTCCAAGAATCTATTCAAAGATTCAAAACCAGGCTAAGAAGGCCAGATTTGCTCTGATCTCCCAAATGCTTTCTGGCACAGACGACAACACATCGTTGAATTGCCCTATGAAAGATCTTTCGATGAAAAATTCATCCTTACCAAAGCTCGTCCAAGCTAGATGAATCAAGAACTTGTTGATTATTGCATGAAGGAAATCCAAGAATTATTGAGCAAATCTCTTATATGAGAAAGCCGTTCCCCATGGAGCTGTGTTGCTTTCTATGTTCAGAAGAATGCTGAAGTAGAAAGAGGTGTTCACAGATTAGTTATCAACTACAAGCCTCTCAATGAAGTCCTCCAATGGATCAGATATCCACTACCTAACAAAAAATACCTAATCCAACGACTTGTTCATGCAAAGGTTTTTTCCAAATTTGATCTTAAATCAGGTTTTTGGCAAATCCAAATTGCTGAAAAGGATAGATACAAAATAGCCTTCACAGTCCCTTTTGGCCATTATGAATGGAATGTAATGCCTTTTGGATTGAAAAATGCCCCTTCCGAATTTCAAAAAATCATGAATGACATTTTTATTCATTTCACAGATTTTTTTATTGTTTATATTGATGACATACTAATATTTTCTTCTTCCATAGAATCACATTGGAAACAGCTCAATATATTTGCTCAAACCATCAAGCATAATGGATTAGTTCTTTCTTTATCTAAGCTAACCTTATTCCAGACAAAGATCAGGTTTTTAGGTTTTCAGATCCACCAGGGTACTATCATCCCAATCCACAGATCTATCCAATTTGCTGACAAATTCCCTGATGAAATCAAGGACAAAACCCGGCTCCAAAGGTTTTTAGGATGCCTAAATTACCTCTCTGAATTCTTCAAAGATCTTTCACCTCTTTGTGCTCCTTTACGTCAGAGGCTTAAGAAGTCTCCTCCCCCGTGGTCCGAAGAGCATACTAAGATGGTCAAACTCCTTAAAAGCAAAGCAAGGAGTCTACCTTGCTTATCCATTGCTGATCCTAGAGCCTTCAAAATTATAGAAACTGATGCTTCTGAATTAGGATACGGGGTATCCTTAAGCAAAGGACAGATGCAAAAGAACAATTAGTTCAATTTACATCTAGCACATGGAACCAAGCCCAGCGCAATTATTCTACTATCAAAAAAGAAATTTTATCTATAGTTTTATGCATTTCAAAAATTCAAAGTGACTTATTAAATCAAATTTGTTTAATCAGAGTTGATTGCCAATCCGCAAAAACTGTTTTACAAAAAGATATTCAAAACATTGCTTCAAAACAAATTTTTGCCCGATGGCAAGCAATACTTTCTGTTTTTGATTTTGATATTGATTATATAAAAGGTGAAAACAACTCCCTTCCTGACTTTCTTACACGAGAATTTTTGCAGGACAAAGCAGGGGTATAGGGCGGACTCTATGCCTCCCAAGACCGGAAAAAATTCCTCAGTTGCAGATACAAAACCACACATAACCAAATATGCTTATGCACAATCATCCTTTTCCTAAACTCCCCTTAAATTAAGCTGGTACGACAAAGTCCAGCTTAAAGCAACAACAAATTCAGTAAGTCATTCACTTATTGATACCAACCAATTTTCAGCCCTTTCAAAAATACCCCAACATGTCATTGACCTGTGTCCAGTTCAATATGATCCCATCCAATCTTACTTACAGTCCCAACAACCAATTTTTCCTCCTTCAGAAAAAACTTATGCTGAAATTTATTCAGCATCAGACAAACAGATTTCCTCCAGCAACCTCAAGCAACAAGTGGTGGTGAATAATCCCACTCCCAAAAAATCTTGTTATTTTCAAAAACCAAATTCAACAACCATTTGTGTGGTTGAAAAACAGCTTTTTAACAAAAATCCAATTTTACTTTCTCAAAATCATTTTGTCAAAGGATTTCAATATCCTTCATCGGATTTTAGAAAAACACAAAATTTTTATGAGTTTATTTTAGTGGACACGGATTCCATTAAAATTCGTACTTATTCAAAACCCGGTGATGAGTCTTTCATATCTCACACCACTTGTACAATTCAGAAGGTTCTTACTCCAGCAGCCTGGGGTAAAACCATCAATGCTCCGAGGCAATTTTCTAGACCTCGCGATCCTCAAACTTTCAATTATTGGGATTATCAAAAAGCCTGGTACAATACCTTTTATTTTCAAAACCAGGATTATAGCCATTCATGGCTTATCCTTTTTCAAAAGAACTTCAATATGGATGTCCCCAGGTGGTTTTTTGACTGGTGGCAACTATTTGGTCCTTGCAAAGAAATCATCCCTGATTTTATGTCTAAGGGATTTTCAATCTTCCAAGAAAAATTCCAAGCTCCTTCTGAGCTTTTGGAATTTCCAAAATTATTCTTATTTTTTGCAAATTTCGCATTGTCATGGATTGTTCAATGGCAATTCCAAATTCTCATTTCTCCCTCAAATCTTCCTCTTCTAGGAAGAATTTTCAAAGTTAAATGGTGGGACCAATTTTCCATAAAAAATGTTACTCCAGAAGCCATCTCGGAATGGTTTTCCAAACATCCGGCCATTTCTTGCTCTGGTTTGGGAGAATCCTCAACTTTCCTCCTATTTAAAAGCCAGACCCAAGGAAGACTTTCTTCAGCAAGATCCAAAGATGAGTATGAAGCTTTCCTTTTGGATGCTTTAGCTCAGGTCAATCCCATAGCCTTCTCACAAATGGGTTCCAACAGGAGTGATGGTGGTGCTTCATCCTTTCATGGTTTGCAAACAGATCAAGCCCAAGCCAATGACGAGGCCCAAGCCAATGAAGATGATTGTTTTGGTATGTATGTATATTTGTGCTATATATATTAGTATTACAATTAGGGTTAAATGTAAAAAACCGCCCTGAACTATTGGCCTATTGCTACAAAAAAAAACCCCTAAACTATGAATTTGTTGCAATTAAGGACATTTCGGCAGTTGAATTGATCGGAAAAATGAAAAGACAAACATGCCGTTACTGAAAGGATGAGTTTAGGGGTTGTTTAAGCTAATCAAATCAAAATACACATTTGTATTGTAATTTTTAAGCTAACTAAAAAAACCTTATCCAACAACACAACCCACAGGTACCAGTATTACCCGTATCACAAACAGGTCTCCAGAGAGCTTCGTCCCCATTTCAATTGCTCCAGCTTTCTCTGTAGAGAAAAAATTCACAAACTCAAAAACTCAAAAAAAAAAAAAAAAAAAAAAAAAAAAAAAAAAAAAACACAACCCACAGATCCTTCACCAAGTGTGTACGAAATAGCCTATCAAGGACGACGAAGAATTAAAGGGCGTTGGGCACTCTCTGGTGACCGAATCTCTTCCTGTGGGATCTACAGCTGCGAGCAACAACTTAGACACCACATCTAAGTCCTAATTCTGATCCTATAAATTTTTAAGCTTAGTTATGGCATCTGTATCTACGTCTTCACGGGGCGGTTAACCTCAGACAATGGAGCAACAGAGAGAGATGACAATTAGGCAAATTGGGTACTTGCTGGATCGTGGGGTTTTCGATTGGTGGCTTACAGCCAAAGGGCTTGATGCAAATTGGGTACTTGCTCGATCATGAGGTCTGGTTTGTATGATCACTCTCTTGCCACTAAGCTTGGTAATCAATGGGTTACACACACACACAGAGAATATTTTACAAGGGTTCATTATTTGTCAGAAAGAAGCATTGTGAAAAAGATAAACAGTGTGTGTGTGTGTGTGTGTATTAGACAGAAGGGTATAAGGGTGTGTTTGGGTGTAAGTGTCCTTTAAAGAGGTATACTAAGGGGCAATAAAATGTTTTGATAGTCAAAAGGGCATTATGGTGACCACATTATTTATTGTGTGTTTTAACGATAAGATCCAACCAGCACATGGCCGGATGGGGCTATTTGTAACAAAAGTGTATAGTTTAGGGTTTGTTGCTCATTGGATAATAGTTAAAGGGTTTTTTTTTGCATTTAACCCTTACAATTATTATTATTATTTACTTCTGAGACTAGGATTAGGTTTATGTATTAGTATATATACAACCAACGGGCCAGTGGCCTAGCGGTATCAGCTTCTTACTTTCCAAAGGGAGGTCAAGGGTTCAAGTTTCAGAAGAGACAAGTGTGCGTGAGTACCAACAAGGAAAAAAAAAGTATATATGCATATGTAGTAGTTTGGGAGAGGGTTTTACGTGAAACCAACAGAGAGGCAAAGAGAGATACACGAGAGAAAGAGAGAAGAGAAAGACGACCAGAGAGAGAGAAGGAAGGAAGAAAGAGGAAACTGGCCAAGAAAGGTTGCCGGAGTTGAGGAAGACGACCGGAGAAATCACAGAGAGTTGCGTAGTTGATTTTGAATCCAAAAATCATAAGGCAAGTCTCTTTTCTATCTCTTCCCCTTAGAACTTATAAACGTTAAATCGCATGCTAGACTTTAGGGATTAAATCAGAGAATGAAAACTGGTTATAATGTTGTGGTGTATGTATAAACTGAACTTATATGCATGTTTGTATTATGTATTAACTTGATTAAATCTTTGATTTGATGTTGTATTCTATGTTTTAATTGCTAAAGCATGTAACTATATGTCATATAAACTGTGGAAATCGTTTGGAAAATAGTATGCATGTATAGGACCCGGAACAATGAATTTATAGTGTTGGAACTTGTTGTCGCGAAGGAGGAAGAAATAGGTTTCGGTCGACCGGATAAAGGGCATCAGTCGACCAATAAGTTAGAGGCGTCGACCGGTTTCCCTAACCCGGTCGACCGAAACACCCTGCTACTGTAGAGCTGTGTTTGGTTGTTGTGTTCTGATTTAGAGGCTTTTAAGGTGTTTAATGAGTACAATGAACTTGGCTATAGATTTAAAAACTTAGAGAAATTCAGTATGCTTTGGGAATTTAATAATTGAGGCTTAAACCAATTTATAAGTTGTATTTATTCTTTAATGTGGCTTAAATTGTGATACATGTTACAATTTTCTCATTTATGATTTTAATCATATAAATTGTTGTTCTTGTGATCTTAAAAATGATCTATGGCTATACTATTTGTTGTATCTCTGATATTCACAATGTTGATGAGATTGATGTATTATTTCTATGTTTGAATGAGGTTTAGTGAGATGGCTAATAAGTTTATACTCACTAATATGTGTCATGTTAGATATGACTATGAGATGATGGAGTGAGTTGGCTAATAAGTTTAGACTCACTATGTTATGCCATTCTTAGATATGGCTTTGAATATTGATGTTGTTATCATTATATATATATGTATATACCCTGATACAAGTTGATTCATGGCCTCGAGATCAATGGTTAGGACTGAGGCGTATATTGTCGGAGATGAGTAGCTAAATATAGGAGATGTGTGTGCCTTGGTAGAGGGGGACTCTTGGCCACCTTGTATGCGATTTCTCATGAGATACCCACTATCCAGTTGAGACTGCCATATATTTCAGTGAGCGTCTTAGGCTTCGTTTGGATCGAGTGATTTGGAAGGATTTGGAAAGAAAATAAAAGAAAGGACAATGGAAATCGTGTTTGGATAACTTTTAGTGGAGAGAAAAGAAAGGATTGGGAGTAAGTAGTATTTTTATAATCCCGAAACTACCCTTTTATAACATGTGACTCATCTTATAACATTTTATAAAAAGGTTATTATAGTAATTTAGTTCTTATCCTTTTTCTTTTCTCTCCTCTATCTTTTTCAAACAAGAATACTATCATTTCTTTTCTTTTCTCTCATAATTTATCCAAACATGACTAAAGGTTATTGTTATCCTTTCCTTTCTTTTTTTTTATCTTATAACTAATACTATCCTTTCTTTTCTTTTCTCTCCTGTTTATCTAAACGAAGCCTCAGTGTGTATATGTATCTATTGACTATATAGTTATTGCATGAGTTTAGCCAGGGATGTATTGATTATCGGTTCTTTGTTCGAGTTGTAGTAGAGAGGGCTTGCTCGTGGGTCTAACCCATAATTCATTTTTCAGGTCCACGTTAGTTCTAGTCCTAGAGATTGTTCGTGCTGATAAGAGATATTCATCTTCACTCTTCCGGATTATCGACGTATGGCATTATCTTCGTTTTATTTCATATTTAGACTTAGATATTATTTATTTCAGTTTATGGGTTTCATTTAAGGGTCTATGATGCGAATTTCCTTGTTCTATATTGGAGGATTATTAATTATGGTTTTATTTGGAGAGTTAATGGTATCAGAGGATTTTATAATTAATTATTATTTAGTTTCCCTTCAGTGATTATTTATTTATTTTATTATTTTCTCTTGTATTCTGTGCTTATCTATTATTAATTGTTTTGATATCCCCCGGTCTTCGGACGAGGACCTGATCAACCCGTGCTTGGAAATTGGGTGGTATCACAGTTGGTATCAAAGCACTCGAGGCTCAAGTGTCTCCAGGGTTTCTATCATATTTCGACTTCCATGTAACGTATTCTTTTAGTTAGAGCCTAAGTATTAAGGTTCATTGTATTCTATTTACGGTCCATTAAATGCGTATTAATGTCCATCTTTCTTTGTTAACAGAATGGTTAACACTGGGAAAAGATGGGAGAGGAACAGATTCAGAGAGAAAGGCGACAAAAGTGGCTGGAACGTAGGTGTCAGAACCTCTTTCAGCGTCAGAGAGCTGTAGAGAAGCAGCAGTTGCCTTTGTTTGAGGAGGAAGAGCAGCCGGAGTACCAACTGCCTCGGAATCAAGGCAACAATCAGGGTAGAGTTCCAGAGTATCCTCCTCAGATGGCTGACATCATCACTCAGGCGGTAGCTGCAGGAGTAGCAGCTGCACTTCAGAATCAGCCACCTATTCGGCAGGCATTTGTACCTTTACCAGTGGTTCAGCCTAACCCTTGGGAGAAAGTCAGGAATTCCTTCACGAAGAAGAGAGAGTTCCTTAACCTACAACAGGGGGATAGGACAGTTGCAGAGTATGAGCAGCAATTTACCAGCTTATCCTTATTTGCTCCATATGAGGTGGACACCGAGGAGAACAAGCGTATTTGCTTTGTTAATGGGTTAATCTGGCCTATTAAGTGGGTTATCGTGGGTAATCCAGCTTACATTACTTATTCTCAGGTAGTTAACACAGCTTTACAACATTGCCAGATGAGGAGAGAGTACAAGCAGTCCAGGGGTGAAAAGCGGGGCGACAGAGATTCTACTAATTAGCCAGCTGAGAAGGGTAATGGCAACAGTAACAGGCACAATGGCAAGGACAGATTCCAGGGACAACAGCCTTGGAAAAAGCACAAGGGTAACTCAGATGTGCGGAGAGATGGGGCTCTTAATCACAGACAGCAGAATGGGGCACCACAGGCAAGACAAGGTCAGCCATATGGCAATCAGCAGAGGAGACAGTTTGGTCCTTTCAAGGGTCGTTGCTATGAATGTCGAGAGCTTGGGCATGTAGCTAAATAGTGTCCCAAGGCTAGACAAGGACAATATGTGCAGCAAGGGCAGAAGCCGCCATTACCTTTACCTGCTCTACAGATTCCGCGCATTCAGGGATGGATATTCCCAGCTTTACCAGTGTCGCCGCCACCACAGGGACATGCACCTCAACAGCTACATTATAGAAGAGTATACAACATCATGCCACAGAATGTTCAGGAACCTCAGGCCATTAAGGGTATGTTTCTGATTCACGGTAGACTTGGTCGTGTTTTATTTGATACGGGTGGTACACATTCTTTTGTATCTCGTTCATTTATTGTTTTATCTGGGATGGTGTTATTTCTGGTAGTAGCGTTACCAAACAATTAAATTGTAGTGTAACG